TGAATAAAAATTTGAAGCGTAATATTTCAAAGCTTTCTGCCACACGATTCTTTGATGAACATTTTTCCGAAGTATTTTTTGTGAAGAGCTTTTGCGCATACTCCATTTGCGCATATTGCATAACCATTTGTGCATCTTCATTTTTCACCACATGCAAATGACAAAACAGACGTGTATAAGTGTTGTGTGCCTTTTGGAAAAGTGAAGCTGGCAGTCAGTTTGAGCACAGAATAATGATTATATAGAAGGGTCACTCAGGAGTACAACGCATCGCCATGTCAGTCATTATTCCAGCCAGATGATTAGGATTTCTCACTTGCTTCCAACCATTAAAATTAGATGACGTCAATACTTAATAATGAATTCAAGTATATTTTGACATATGAAATAACTTCGGATCATTTTAAAGGTTTGGAAAAAGTCAAAAACCCTAATCATCTGGCTGGAATAATGGCGGCCACCATGCCCAGCACGACATGCGCGAGGACAAAAAACATCAGAGGTTCCGACATAATGACTCTTCTGTATATTCTTATTCTGTGGTCTGATTACGACGGCCTATAGTTCTACTAAAACCATTGTCACCGACGAATATTCAATCAATTCAATTCTTGCCAAAGTGAGTGAAGTCCAATGAATGAACAACTCGGCAAGAGCGTGCGAATGGCGATTCTGGCTTTGTCAAACTAAAAAAGGAACGATACTACTTCTATACTTGGATTTAGTCGTTCGATGACAAATTTTGAAATCAATTACAGATATGAATCTTTAAAAACGGGAACAGCGGTTTGCAAAAGCCTCGATTTCTATCGCTCGCACAAAGAAATTAGAAGTTCAACTTATTAATTAATCGTTTGTAAACTGCCTCTCTCTAAGGCCATGTCCACACGTATATGGACTTTTAAAAATAAGACGATTTTTTCCTCCGTTTCTAAAAATATTTTCATCCACACGTAGCGTATTTGAATCGTTTTTGCCTGTCCCCACGTATCCGCATAAACGGAGTAAATTCAATACTTGTAAGCACTGAGCATGCGTATTTACTTGTAAGCACTGAGCATGCGTATTTACTTGTAATAAGGGATTCTTCAAGCTTTTGCAGCATCGAATTGCAATATTTGTTATTTGTATTTTGGCGCTATTCATTAACATTTCTTTTGCATCTTGGGCACTCGGTTGATTTCGTGAGTTTATATAAAAATAAGAATGGTAAAGTGAAATAAAGGCTCCATAAAAGAAAAAGGCAAAATCATATGTTATATTTTGTGGCATGTTGTGACACGGAAAACATCTTCATAATGTGTTTATTATTGCAACATACAAGTGAATGCATGTTATCAAATTTGAATTCATTTTAAGTAAAATAGCAATGCACTTATGACCCACCATTTTAAAAAGTACTCGGTTGATTCAACCATGAGACTGAACTTGATTATTGACGTCATCGTTTTCAAAAACCTCCGTTTTTGCCCGTTTACAATTAAACACAATGGATTTAGAATGGATTCGAGTTTAAGGGTTGTCTTCTGCATAAGTGGAGTACGGCGACAAAGAGCCTGACAACGCGCCGAATCAATCAAGAGCAAAGAAGAATATGATGTTACAGTTTGTTGGTGCTGGCATGACATGGGTTTCTGCTGCATACGAGTTAAAGAAAGCAGGATTAAAAGTTTTGATATTAGACCAAACAGAAAGAATTGGTGGACGAGTGTACACATATGAGGCATTGAACTCTGACTTTGCCCCTGATTTATTTGCAGAAGGTGCAAAATGTATCTTTTATAATCAATGTAGTAAATCTATTTTATTTTAAATATAGTTGACAAAATTATTTTCCTTTATATAATAATGTTAAGAATTTAAGCAGTTTTATTGGTGAGCTATGATATATTAGAGGACATGTGCACTGAATTGACGTCACAGAAAATTTCTCTTTTTTTAATCACAAATGAACGGCGAAATTATTTGAATATTTACTTGAATTTATCTTTGAATGGCTAAATGAAGTCATTATAAGAGCCTGGTTGAAGCGGTCGACGTATCTTAAGTGTTGATTTGCACTTTGTCTTCGATGACAATTTTTTGACAAAACTGGTCCGCCATCGCTGGTTTATTCTGTGAGCCAATTACATTTTAGTACGTGACTCAGGCTGGCCAATAGCTATTCTTTAATCCAATAGATAATGTACGCGATGTGATATTTGCTAAATGTTGCCTTTTTCTGGTTTTTCAAGTGTTGGGGAAGATAAAAAACGTTTGGCAGTTGAATCTGAGATTTTTTCGATATTATATAAACGAAAAATTAGTTTTTATCACAAATGACGTGTATCTATTGGTGAACAAACAACAGTTGACTATGATCTATTTGTTAAATAATTTAGTTAATTCATCATGTATGTTGCTTTACTATTGTCCCTTTCTATCTTCTACTGAGCTTGTTATAGTATTATTATGCATAGAAATGTGTCAATAAACGTTGAATTAGATCTACCAAAATTACTGAACCAAATGAACAGTGATTGAAACAAAGATGTGATCGTTGAATCATTTTCACTAGAGTACCGAAAACTATAGCATTGTTTAGGTGCTACTGTTGCATATAAACATTTTTAAGAAGTTTTTCGAAATGCAAATTCTCTAACTAAAGCAAAAATTTCTGATTATTGCAACTGGAGTGAAGAGATTACCTGGCAAAGACCGTGATCCGAACGACAGAACCCATTACTGACAGATGGCTATATTAAAGATTTCAATTTTCTAATCCAGCCGTTTCCTAGCGACGATAAAAATGCAATTCCTAAAATTTATGAAGTCAAAGAAAAAACTAGCGGTTTGTGTCCATTGAATTGTTTATCATTGCTTTCAAGAACTATTATTTTGAACAAAAAACTAATTGAAAAACCAAAAGGCATGACGAGGCTTCGTATTAAGTTCAAAACGAAACTTCAAAATCACTGTCCTCACTGTTTTTGTTTGCTATCACTTATTTCTACCTCAAACGCATTTTTAGTCCCTTGTCAGTCTTTTCCTTTTTCTATCCCGTAATAAAAAGTGATAGAAAACCAAGTCAGGTGCAATTCTCCTTTCATCTTTATGACTGATCTGGCTTTGTCCTTTCTGAATGAATGTCATCTCAGCTATCTTTCTTTGTTTCGAGCTGTAAAATTTTGTATGATTGACAAATGATCTTTCCAACACTACTATAATGACGTCATGAGTTGGCATTCCGATGCTTATTAAGCCCTTAACAACCAATCGCGGGGACTTTACGGAGAAATATTGGACTGAGGTCTTTTTTTACAGCCCAAGAGAGAAAGAATTGCATCATGCCTTTTTGTTCTTGTTTTTAATGTGGGAATTTTTCTTTATGCTAAGTAATTGTTTGTCTTTGAATAATATCTTAAACCTGTATGAGTTAATTGGTGTAAACGAAATTGAATTTTTTTTTCTTTTTCCATTATAGAATGGGAATGATAAGGCATGGCCTAGTTGGAGAGACAGTATAAAACCTTCGGCTGGAGAGGTCAAAAATATTGGTTTGTACAAGTTTAATACATTAATTAATTTTATACAGGGTGTTTAAAAAAACCCTGAGCAGTTAGGAAAACGCCGCTAAAAGTCATCAGCGCGAAAGATTTGTAAAATTTTGTGGTGGAAATAGATATAAAAATGGTTTTATTGCATAGACGTGAGTTTAAATTAATGCCAGTATTTAAATTGACGAGGTTCTTAAGAAATGACATTTTTGAAAAGGAAAGACGCAAAGTAATATGCGATTAGCATGCCTAGCATTCGCATACAATTTAGCCAAATTTCCCGAAACTTTGTTAGCTTGAACAACATATGCTATATTTTAACTCTGTATTCCAATTGCTTTTTAGCTTTGTCATATTTGTCTAAAAATGGTTACTAATTGCGACAAAAAAGTAACCATAAATAACCATTTTACGCGATTCATACAAAATGGTGTAGATACAGCACAATTGCGTGCATGATTGAACAAAAATGATGATGATGATGTCAATTGTGATGTCAAACAATGGGATGATAAGAATTTGTAGTCAATTCACAATGAAAAGCTTCCTCAAGAGTACTTTGGATGTAATTCTTGCTAAAGTCAAAGGCTGTGATCGAGATGATCTTGGAAATCTTCTTCCTTGATCCAATGACGCACTGCGCGGTTACTTAGTACTTTCCCACACTTTGCAGTTCGATCTTTCTCTAGTAGTATTGTTGCGTGACCAGCTTGGAGGTTGGTGGTCTAAAAATATGCATTTTTTGGTCGGCGGTACGGAAAAATTGCCGAAAGCTTTCTTTAGCGACAATGGCGAAGCCAACAAGTTGGATAAGAAAACTAACATCCTATTCAATAAACAAGTATCAAACTTTCTCCAACGAAAATCTCAATATGGACTCGGAAACTGCTGTTACATGTTACCCAGTAAACGGGAATGGAGAGTTAGAATACCACGGCAAAGTAAGATGTAGTGTTTTTCAAATCGCATACAAGAAAGCATGTGAATTAATGAAATCAGTTTAGAACTACACGACCCTCATCCCTATATAAATGTAGGAAATACGTCAGTAAACGTTCCTGTGAAAAACAAGACCCGAGGCGGCCATGTTATTAGTTAAAATATTTCATAGACAGTTGCCCAAATAACATATAACATATAGCTAGAACTCAGCGCTTTCATAATATTTGAAAACTACGGTCGTTACTTCAGTAATTTGCAAACATCAGTGCGCCGAAGTTCGATCACCTTTGCTTTTAGAGACAGCGTGTATAATACAACCAACCGCATACTTGACCTGTTTACCAACGGTAAATACATTTGCCAAAACAGCCATTGAAATTATATAGATTAAGAAAGTACACGAATGTTGTAATGCCTAGAATTATTTGCTTACAGGAGTGCATGAATTAACACTCGGTTCTCGGTATAAGACTGCACATTGCACATCGACATAGCTTGGTAGGATTCATTACAATACATATCTTTCAAAAAGATAAGAATATTGACTGAAAATGAGCACATACAGTTATTTACAAATTCATCTTTACTGTGCTATCAATCAATCAAGTTCAATTGTGAATGGCATTATGATTTTAAGGAAGACACAGCCAACAGAAAGCCATGCCAGTGTTGGTTCACATTAAGAACACCATACTTTTTTTCTATTTACAACATTTTGGGAAAATTTCGCTTTTGGAAAATTTCTGGGAAATGTTATATTGCATCAAAACTACGAATTTTCACAAGGATCTCCATGCAGGTGATTTACTTAAAAATGTTGAAGGAGTTGCTTTTTAAATTGCCACAAATCGACGTTGATATTTCCACTCTGTAAACAAAAATATGCGTTCAATCTTAGAAACGATGCAGTAATATATCATCGCTATGTATAGATACATAACTTCATCATTAAAGTATGCCTTTTCTCGTGAATTTATTAGAACTTTGCGTTTTGACGGCATTATATTTTATTTAAGAAATAAAAAATGTTTACTGTGTTTGCACGGGCTTATGCAAACCGAGGAGACCTTTGGGAGAACTCAAGAGCAGATCAGTGTAAGCCCGAGACCGAAGGTCGAGGGTTGCACATGCTCGAGAGTTCTCAAAACGTCTCCTGGGTTTGCATAAGCCAGTGCAAACACAGTAAACATTTTTTATTTCTTTTGTAAAATAAAATAATGCGAAAATGACAAACATTTTAATTTTTCCTCTAAAATGTATTCATGATCGATTCGCAAATTCTCTTTGACTGATTGATTGCTTTGATTGATTTGATTGGTTGAGCTCAGATGTGCTTTGCACAGGCTAATGCAAACACAGCTCTAGACCAATCAGCGCACGCGTTTCATTGTGTTTATTTTATAAATGTTTATAACTAAGCTTGCACTGTTAACGAATGGCTTCAAAAACGGCTTCTAACATCCTTCCTTGATAAAATAAAAGAAACCTCGACTTTCCTACGCATTCGCTACATCAAATGGTATTTGGTTTTTAAAAACTTGCACAAAAACCAGATCCAAGTTTGCAACATTTTTAAAAAGGTATTTGCCCGCATATTTCGTATCGCAGGAAAACGTTTTCCACTTGAAATTGGATAAAATGATACAAACTGGCATTCAAAAAAAGCTATTTACGAAGTTGAACTTACCCCAAATAATTCCATAGAGCTGATGTCTGACCGTGCCCTGCAATATCAGACATAAATTGTCGACAAACAAAACACTTTAACACAAAAATATCGAAAGATATTGGAATTTTTTAAAAGGCTGCACAATTTTATTGTTGGTATTAAACGCTAAAAACAGTCCTGTTCACGCGATACCGGATTGGTTTGATACCAGATTACTTTTCTTATCGGATAGGCCTTGCGTTCATACGGCTCCGCTGCGATCCAATACGGTTTGTATCGTTTTTCCGGAGCGATTTGAGTACGCGGTGGAAGTGGTATGAAAACCGATCGATACGTTCCGCAGTTCCGCTGTCGTGTGAACGCTCGAATCCGATACGTTTCACTTTGGAAACTGAAAAATTCGTGCGATTTTTCAAAATGAAAGCCAACATAGAGATACAAACTATGTTTTCAATCAGTAATCCGCCAATAAATATAACATATCTTCAGCAAGGCACGTTTAAGCCTTTAACAATGTATTATCGTAGGGTGAAAGGGTTTATTCTAGTATTATTGTAATGGCAACATATATTCGGTCGAATTTTGACTTTATACTCTTCCAGTCCTTGCGCCCATTCGTACAAAACCTTAACACGCTAAAAAAAACTCTACGTTGTTATCTGTCAAAAAAATTTCTCATTACTTACGAAATATTTGAATTAGCAAACATCGCTGTAATTACTTGCACATACAAGTACTGGGGCGAATAGACCTTTTCAAGGTTATCGTAGCCATATTGCAGGGGGTGCAAAAACATTGGGCCGAGCGCGCGGTCACGCATGGCGTCCACATATATTACTAATAAATGCGCAAAAATTACCCTTATACATATTGGCCATTTCTTTCAAAAATATTTCTCAAAATCATCCATTATAGTAGTCAAATTATTATTTGCGATTTTTTATACACGTGAGTCCAATTTTGTGTTAATCAAAAAGCGGAAAGTTAAAGAAAACATTTGTTTTTTTTGAACAACTTGACCGTCGTTTGAGCGATGTTCTTCAGTTCGCAAATGTGCGGATCTCATAAGCCAAGTCAAACGAACTAAACCCTAAACTTGCCGAGTAGCCGTGAGCAGTCATAGCCGAAATTTTAAAAAATGCGCGTTGTGCAGTTGGATATTGCGATAATGATAAACGCTATCCCCTATTATTAAGTTAAGAGGTCTCACGTAGAAAATTCAGTTTTTCATTAGTGGCCCAAAGATCAAGCACTTGCTGAAATTTGGCGAAAACAAATTGCAAACAGCAGAGCCGATGACTTTAACCCAAAGCCTGGTGCACAAGGTACTTTAGTTTGCTCAAATTATTTTCCCTAGGTAAGAAGAACCCCAAATAACCGCGGAACGGATTATCCTTCGGTTTTTATTACGCTATCAGAGTACGAGCAATCGAGGACTCCGCTTAAACGTAAAGGAGGAGAAACATGGACGACATCAAAGCGTCCTCATCAATCCTATGACACCGAGTATTCTGATTCAAGTTTTGATGGAAATCCAGCAAAATCTGAGGCATCTTTACTCCCTGTCCCTTAGGAATTTGAACAGTTGACGAGAGAGTATGATGTAAGGTTTCACACCGGCCTGCCATCGACTAACAGTTTTAAGTGTGTATTTGAATTCTTGGCTGTTTCTTCTTCTGGCTGTTAAGTCGCCATACATAATAATAAAAATAGCAATGTCACTTTACAAATAATTGGAAATACTAATAAGAGTTTGCCGTAGAATAGTTCCTCGTGATACTTGCTGACTTTGCTGTAGACATGTGCGTGTGTTGCGAACTCAAGAACATCGCTCAAACGACGGTCAAGTTGTTCAAAGAAAACAAATGTTTTCTTTAACTTTCCGCTTTTTGATTACCACAAAATTGGACTCACGTGTATAAAAAATCGCAAATAATAATTCAACTATTAAAATGGATGAGTTTGAGAAATATTTTTGAAAGAAATGGCCAATATGTATAAGGGTAATTTTTGCGCATTTATTAGTAATTTATATGGACGCCATGCGTGACCGCGCGCTCGGCCCAATGTTTTTGCACCCCCTGCAATATGGCTGCGATAACCTTGAAAAGGTCTATTAAGAACTTATGTTGCGTCTTACGAATCCGGCAGCGTACGAACAGAGTGCATTTTTCGTATCGGATTGCTCAGCGAATCCGGTCCAATACGAATCAGGTATCGTGTGAACAGGGCCTAAGATTTGTCAGGCAAGCAGAACCTCAAATGGACACGAACTACGTTTACACTACTCTGGAGCGAAAAAGTGACGACGAAATTTGAATGCGCTTACACTGATCCGTTTGAATTGTGCTGCAGTTTTGCGGGTGTTTACACATAATGTCTCTTGTCAAAACTCGCCGGTTGTTTTTGAGAAAATGGCGCCATTTCTTGTTCACACAATGCTAGATGTTTGTATCTCTAGCCATAAATTATAAAAACACTGATTTGTCAAAATAAGAACGAATTTGTCATAAAAAGCTTTCCACACATAAAATTCTCCCAATTCAATTATGCGCCACTAAGCGGGAGAATTCGAAGAGAACTGGCTTCTAAACAAATGCAAACCGGTTCTGTTGGTTCATTGGGCCGTTTTCAGACCAATCTGGTGTAGTGTAAACGTAGTCGTAATAAATTTAACAAAGCAGTTTGCCATACAATACCCAGCCTTAAATTAATATACGCACTTATCAATGGCACCACGATAGGCTATTCTGATGATGCAAGGCATTTTCTTCTTTGAGGAGGCAGGGTTCTTGAAAAATTCAAAACATAACTTCTCTCAGTTGTCATTAACAAAGAAGGAGATGACGTTGGAAAAAATACATTTACGGATTGAAAAATAAGCGAAAACTTAAAATTCCATAAAAGAAATGAATTGGGTTGAACATCTGAAAATTTCAAGTAATTTAAGTCTATGAATAGACTCTTACCAGTGACGGAAAGACTCCGCCTGCGCTGATGGCATAAAGTTTCATCTTTATGAATGCTATAAAGGAAAACAAAGTTCTTCACTATAAAAAGGTAAGAAATGGCTGTTTTAAAAAAACATCGAGCACCTTTCATGATGCGATAAAATAATACGAAAAGATCCCTTCCAGGATGCTTGCTCAAAATGACGACCTCGTTTGAAACACTGGGTGTCTGAACGAGATAAACATTTTAAATAATCAGAAATTAACAAATAAGAAACAAGTGTAGAACATGAGATACAAGCAAGAACTGCGGTCTCACGGTTATTGCTGTGATTAAGAGGATTAAGAGCAGCGGTTGACAAACATGAAAAATACATCAACACGCAGAGCATATGCAAAATGCTCACAGATTTGCGCTCAATACGATCATTCTGGCTTTGATCTCAGATTTCACGTCTAATTATTAATGGCAAATATCCGCTTGTGTTGAAAATCTCTTTATTCATTGCGGCGGGAAACAGAATTTTCCTCACTATTTGTTACTAAAAAGAAGTACTCACAACAGATACAAAGGCAACTGAATCTCCATTAGTGATGCTCAACTGCAATATCGTGTGAATCTGCCGCGAAAAATTTCAGTTAGTCATAACGAGTGAGAAAATCTAACAGTACTTTTGAAATTGCAGAGTGAATGAGAAGATCGTTCGGTAGCATTTGGCTGAATTGTGAATTGTGCAATAGATGCAGAACACACCAGTGGGCAAAATTGTGGTTATAGACTACAATCCCAAAATTGAAAATATGACTTTAGGCAGAAAAGTTACTAAAGAGACACGACTTCGGCTGTTCAAGGCTTTATGACCAGCGAATTGCAAATTACAAAAACCGTAAATTTGCCATTGCTCCTCAATCATTTTACACATGCTTTAGTTGATAAAGTAGTAGGCGACCTATAGTAGGGAACCAATGAATCTCGAGACTCTCCCGCATCAATTTTATGCTCATCAGGGACAAACGTTAGCCACAATGGTCCAACAGGGGTGTTCTTACGACATTCTGAGTACTTATAATACTGTTATGAAATTTCTGTTCCACCTTAATGAGATCGTTGAAATAATTGCCACCTTCCGCCATTTTGTATTCATTTGTCGCGTGAAAGATCTTTTCCCAGCCGGCTGTAAGTTTCAAAAGATTGAAAGTACAGTCACTTGAAAAATCATCATCTACGTAACTATCAACGGGGGGAGGGGGGCAGGGGTAGAATATACAAAAATACTTTGATAACGACTACAAGCTTACAGAAATAGAAATCCTTGGAGACGAACATGTGAACATGAGGATGAATTTGACTAGCGCTTGCTTTTGGTAGAATATCCCATAGGAAGCTTGGTAAAGTAAAGTTTGGATCAGTGTCAAAGCATTTTCGAAACCTATTTAAGTAGAAAATAAACATATTAGACTGTGCGTCATACTTTTACATATTTGCTATAAGTTTTCATATATGTAGAAACATGCTTCTGACGGACAAACTAAGACAATTAATCATATTATTCGAATTATGGAAGCGCAGGATGAACTTTTAATCGAGTATAGAAATATGGATGTTTGTAGCTAGATGTAGATCATCGAGGTTTGTATAGTCCTGAGAAGTATTATTAGTGTTGCTGTTGACTGACGTTTCAACAACATTAGCGGTAGTCATCTTCAAAGTCAACCTGAGAAGGACATCTAGCAACAAACATCCAACGATACTCCTGGGTTCAAAGCATTCACTTCTTTAAAAATGTATACCAACCATTCTTGAGACAGATTCATTAAATCTAAAAACTGGAAAGATAAATATACGATATAAGTCACAGAATACACATCTAACAGAAGGCCCACTCGGCTAAAATCGTGGCGTATTTTTTCACTACGCATGCGTGACTTCCCATCAAGATACTTTCACAAAATCAAGATGGAATAGTGTTGCACGAGAATGCCATTTTACTAATAATTCACGTTTAAAGCAAAAGTTTGCCGAAATTTTTACAAAGAGTTATCATCTTGGGAAGGAGATAAGGTTCCAAGCTATTGTATTGCAAAACGATATATTATTAAAAAAAACTATATTTTCTATTGCGATCTAGCGGAAGTATTTTGCTGGAAGGCGTGTCTCCTTTAGAATTTGCTTCAGAAAAGTGGGGGACACAAACATCAAAGGCTCCGACACAAGTGGACCTTCTGTTAAGATATCTATTCAGTGATATAAGTAAAGAAAAAGACAAAACAAGTCTAGATGGGGGTCGAGTTAATATAGCCTAGCAACCTTTGTAACTAGTGACCTGAACGGAAAACATGTTTCATGAATCTAAATTATAAGCAAATCTCTGTCATAGAAATAGTCGTGAATAAACAGCAAAAGGGTGGACAAACGATTTACGAAGTGGTGTGATTGAAAATAAGTTGAATTGCCCGTTAAAAGGAGAGGCTATGTGCGTTATTTCTTAGAAAGAACTTCATTACTTTGTAAAAAAAGTTAAGTGGGCTCAAAATAAAGTTGATTTTCAAGTAAAGTAAATTAACGTACGCACTGTAGCAAAGGAAAATGATGACTTTTGAATCCCTGAAGAGGAAGTCTTTGTTTAAAACAACTCGCACACGCAAGACAAAAAAGTAATTCTTATCTTCCCGAAAAATACGAAAACTCAAAAACAAATGGAAGTCGAGAAATGAAGCAAACAAATACGGAATTTCGAACGATCATGGTTTCAGCCAGTGACGTCACTGTGCAGTTGAGATTTCAGAAAAATCCTTTAAAGAAAGAAAGACAAATCCATAAGCAAACAACTGCGTCCTTTGGAATGCGTATGAATGTATGAGCTCTTCGTCATATTTTGCGTATTCGCACTCATGTGTAATAAGTTTCAAAGATACGAAGGTAAAATATTGATTAAAGTGTAAGAAACATGGAGCTTTGTCAATAAATACTAACTACCTGTTCTTCGTTGAATTCTAAAGGATTATGGTGCTTCCAAATGGCAAGACCGTGAAACCGTTCGATTTTGAATGTGTTCGCAACTAAAATAGAAAACAAGAATATGAGCATGCGTCGAAACAAACGCTCGATGTATTTTCTTTAATGTTCTTCCGTTACTCCTCTGCATAAGTAAATGCCATGAAAACAGGTTATTTATGACAGAAATTGATGAAATTTGGAGCAAACCCCCCTTACTTGCTGCAGAGTACTTTGAATCCAGGTAACCGAAAATATCCTTTCCGGTCATCCTTAATGTAAAAAAAGAACAACTGAAAACTACAAAACAACGAAGGGGACGATAGAAAAGGAAACTTGACAAAAGAGAAGGAATGAATGAGGAAGGAAAGAGGAATGGAAGGAAGGAGGAAGGAAAGGAAGAGGGAAGGAAAAAGGAAGGAAAGGAAGGAAATGGAAAAGGAAGGGAAGGAAGTGGAGGAGGAAATGGAAAAGGGGGAAGGAAGGAAGGAAAGTCTGGAGGGAAAATGGAAATGGAAAATGGAAGGAATTCAAAATGGAAATCGGAAGAAGGAAGAAAAGGAAGGAAGGAAATCTGGAAGGAAGGAAGGAATTGGAAATGGAAGGAAAATGGAAAAGGAATGGAAGGAAGGAAGGAATGGAAATGGAAGGAAGGATGGAAAAAATGGAGGAAGGAAATGGAATAGAGGAATGGATGTTGGAGGATAAGGAAGGAAGGAAGGAAGGATGGAAGGAAATAAGGAAGAAGGAAGGAAGTCCTCTTCTGCTAACCAACTTCTCTAAGCAAAGCAAACATAAACTCGTACATTAAACATTTCGTTAATTTTGTTTAATGTTTAATTTTGGCGCGAATCTGCCCATAACGTGACCATGTTTTCCGCTTCACAATTTGCACCACACAAGCCGCAGTTTAAAATTTGAAACTTGAAAACATTTTCAAGGTCAACTATAGGTGTTCGTATATTTATTGAGATATTCTTACAGTTTATCAACGTCTTCTGCACCAGCAAACCCAGGTCGCTTATTTCGTAAAGGATTTAATAGCGTCGCATCCTTAGTGTATTTGTTCATAATTACTAAAATAAACTGGAAAAAGTAAATTAACATTATTTTGCTTCCATAGAAAGAAAATTGAAAAAAACTTTGTTATATACCTGGTGTTTTGTAGATTCCAAAAGTTTCTCATCGCCATTAAACCAGGACAAAACCTTAAATAACACTGAAGCTTAATCGGTATATGGTAACAAAAGTTAATAAAGTAAACAAACACGTCAAGGAACACAATATTAATACAATCTTAAACGTAATCTGCATTGACTATTATTTTTGTTAAATTCTTTTACTCTTACGCCATGATTGAGAGATATTTTTTGAAAGTGTGCTCTATTAAACAGAAAGCACAATTGCGTTTGCATAATTTTGCTTCTTATATCAATATTTAGCAGGGAAATTTGTACTTCAGCGCAACTTACCTGTAAATCTATCTCTGGGGACGGTTGTACGAAGACCGAATAGCGTTAACCACTGAATAGCAATTTTTTGAACAAAAATTCTTTTAAGGGAAAAATATACGATTCAAGCGGAGCAATCACTGAAAAAACTATTGCTTCTAAGATTACGGAAATTTCTTTGTCGTTAGGACAAAATAAACACTTTTCTACAAGTTTGAAAATTTTACCATTCCAATGAATAACGCTATCCAGGCTTCGTGCAACCAGCTCCTGTAAAGCAAGTTCTCTATTACGTACATTGGACGTTAAAATTACCTTTTTCGAAAAAGTATCAGACAGAACAACTTCCGTTTCACTCTTTCGAAAATAAAATAATCTTGAGAAAAGTGCGTGTGCCGACCTTCATGGAGAAAAAATGTCCAAAAATTGGATAACTTACAGTTACAATGTTGAAAGAATGAACAGACCAAGCTCAACAATCAAATCACAATGTATGGATGCTGGCTGAGGCAAAAATGGCTCAATAAAACTGAATAAAACATGGCTGCGTACCTACAGACTTCAATCCTGGTATTCTTCAAGTTATTTAACACTTCATTGAAATTATCAAGGGAAATCCCATTGTTGATGCAGGTCTGTGAAACCTGAAAAATAGAAAATATGCAATTATGTCGCTAACATTTACTACACATCAACATAAATCATTAAGTACAATTTATAGGCAAAATAACAAAAAACTGTAGGCTTATTTCATTGCAATCCATTATTATTACTGAAAAACTTGGTTTGAAAGACAATTAGGTTGGAACAACAAGATTTGCAAAATTTTTGCGGACTGGAAAATTTTGTTGAGCATGTATCCATTATGATGTCGATGGAAGTGAAATATGATACGGCTGTGACAAAAAATATTTTAACTTAAAGATTTAGGTGTGTCAGCTAATTTAGCTATGATTGCTAGATAAAATTCATCAAAAAAACATGGATCAAACTTATAGCATGCCATGAATGTTGTTAATCTCCAAATAATATAACATAAAAGCTATACATTTGGTGATTGATTAGAAAAACAATCCCAACAGAATAGGCTTGGGCCAATGATTATAACAGATCTCATTAAGTATTTTGAGCTAAAGCGCAACCAGATTTACATAACACATAAATACATCTAAGAAAATCCTAGATATTGTCAATCAATGCACAATATTAAGCTTTAAGTTTATGCCATTTTAGGTACGTAAAGTATGAGCTTATATAAACTAGCGAATATGCATCATTGGCAAAGCTTGATTTTTTACTATTTTCATTTTTGTCTTTTCTAGTTTGTTGTTGTTTACTTTTAGTCTTTAGTTCAACATTGTATGATATATTTGCAATAATGAACAGAATGGAAACAGTTTTTCAAGTTATCTTACATCAGCCTTACATGAGTCTTTAGTTCAACATTGTAGGATATATTTGCCATAATAAACAGAATGGAAACAGTTTTTCACAGTTATCTTACATCAGCCTTACATGAGTCTTTAGTTCAACATTGTAGGATATATTTGCCATAATGAACAGATTGGAAACTGTTTTTCACAGTTATCTTATATAAGCCTTAAATGAGAAGACAATCACATTGTTTACAAAGCTGATGTCAAACCCATATTGTCATATGGGTTTATAAGCATAATCAACGAAAGCCAGCCTCATATCCGTTTGAACTGTCACATAAATTATACTGGTTTACAACCAAGCAGTAAACAACCCATTTTGCAATAGCTTTTCAAATTATATAATGGCAAATTGAAATTACAAATTAAATTGATTTCAAATAAAGCAGTATAATTTATGCAACTGCTTAAACAAATGTGACATATATGTGTGGGGGCTAAGCTTTTCTTCAATATTGCACCATAGGTGAAGTATGGGTCTAGATGTAGACCAATGTTTATGTACAAGAATGAATCTTTAGAGTTTTTCCAATCATATTTCATACTATTGACTTAAATACTAATATAACTAAACAATCTAAATTTAAAAACAAATGATATTTCAGTGCAGAGTTCCATGAATAACCTACCCTACCCCTAACCCTATTCCTAATCCTGACTCAGCTTGATAGTCGTTGGCAGTCTTCGTGACATGATATTCAGTCTGTAATTGTGCCTATGTTTGTAAAGGGAAATGGAATAGTATGGGAAGATAAAGACTGATGTGACTTCTGCAGTTTGATAATCGATTTAGCATCGATGATACGTTCACACGTTATTCACACTAGCAGAATATTAAACAATCAAACATTATTTGTAATTACTTCTTATTATATCGTATACCTTCTGCAGTTCGAGATAGTTAAACTTCAATAAGTCCTCGGCATTATCACGGTCTACCAGACTTATGTTGGTATAAGACGATAAATTGTATCCAATCGCTCTCATCCATACAAACGCAAACGATAAGACAATTACCACAAAAATTATAGCGACGTTAACGTGAGATTTAGTGTATAGACGCATTATACTTCTTCTACTTCACGTTAAAGTATCAAATTGTCGCGCGAGACTTCATCGACTTGTTCACGGTTGTTTACAACACCCTGTCGACAAAGAAAGTTAATATTGTCTAGCAATACTGTTGGAGGATGTATGATTTAAAAGACTTGACAACATTTTTCGAGTAAGAAAAAACAACTTTTTATAGTCTGTGATGTTTTATGCAAACCAATGTGAAAGTTGTTGACTCAGCAATGCATAAACAACAACATGTTCCGGGGGGGAGTGGTTGAAAAACAATCTTATCATGGTCGCCGACACTTAGATGGAGATTGTATTCCTGCAGTGTTGCTGAGTTTAATACTATAGAAATACATCAATAAAAGGTAAATACAAAAATAATATAGATCAATTTTTGCACTTGTGTTACTCATGTTTACTTTGTTGAAAATGATTTCTCCAGGCAATATGTAATAAGAAATACGAATTACAAGCCAGACATAAAAAGCTTACCGTATTTGTTGCCGGGTGTTTATTTATAAAATACTTCGGTGTTTATTTACAGTTTGTTAGCATTCAGTTCTTACATGTTCATATTACAACCCAATTTCGCATATCTAATGTTATATTCATGAACTTTTGAAATAAACGATTCTCTGTAATAAACGCCCCCGATTGTTAGAGAGAGGCGTATATTAGAGAGGGACGTTTATTTCCGAAGTTCATAATTACAAAATCTGGGAGTCACATGAACTTGCAACTACTTAACGTTTACAAAATGCCAATGATGTCAAATCGTCAACCGACCTGTTCACTACGTATAACTGGTCATCTTCAGCTTCTTCAATCTCCCAACCAGAAATGTCTTTGAAAGAGTCGGGTCGTATGCTTTCGTCCAGAACTAACAGCTTTGAGCTTAATGTGACAGAATGATGTGACGTCATCCCACGCTGGATACGGCTGGTCTTCCTTAAAAAAAGGAGAGATCATATTCTCAATCATGGGACCATCCTCTTTTCAAATCCACATGTCTTTTTTTTATATTTCTTTTATTTATTTTTTTACAGCAGGAACCACTCTTCGAAAACGTAATGGACAATGCTTGGCTTCGTGTTTCCACATGACTTGAATTGATAAACACTATTTCTTTGATTTTCTCACCGATCCATTTATAGTACATTTCGTTAACCTTTGACTTGGGGCATGAATGTGATGATTGTAAATCTACAAGGAATTACGGCTTGAGCAACATTCAATCGTCAGTTTGACGCTTACACAGTGTTTTTTAAACGAAAAAGCTTTTAAATAAAGTGAATGCTTTGAACCCCGGAGTATCGACATCGTTACATGTTTGTGGATATAGATCGTCAAGGTTAGTAAAGTCCTGAGAAGGACTGTTTGTGTTAATGTTGACTGACGTTTCGACAACATTAGCGGACTGACTACCGCTAATGACTACCGCAAAGGTTGTCGAAACGTTAGTCAACATCAACACAACGGTCCTTCTCAGGTTGACTCTGAAGATGACTACCACTAAGGTTGTCAAAACGTCTGTCAACATCAACACAAACAGTCCTTCTCAGGACTTTATTAACCTGAAAGATTTACGTCTACGAAAAGCTTCTGCTTCACCCAAAATAATGCGTAAATTCTTTTAATAAAGTAGGCATTCTTTGAACTGCCTACCACGCAGACCATCTTGAACGCTTCAAGAAGAACGAGTACGAAAAATGATCATCGGCTTCGTTCTTGCTCTTCCTGAAGGCTCGAGCAGACAGAGCCCATGACTTTTCTGTAACTAGCTTTTTTCCAATGGTAGAGATTTACATAAACATCGTGAACTGTCGTGAACTGTCGTGATTGAAACCATGTTCTCTCACTCCTACGCCTGGTCCATTACAATTACGGAAGATGGTTGATTTAGCTACTTGATTGTCATCAAATTTTTGCTGTCAGTCGAGAAAGAGTTTGTAGTCTATCTTACACAGTTTCCATTTATTTTCTATTATTAATAGTTGGCTTTTATTATGGTTGATTCTTAGCTTCTCGCAAAACTTTTTCAACCGATAGATTGCCGTCCACGAATTCAATCCAACTCTTCCTCTTCCTGTCCTTCATCGACGTAATCTTTCGTCCGACAACTTGTAATTTCCGCTTTCTTTTTTTCTTTCCCATACCACACAAGTGTCGACAATTTTAGTTGTGTTTTTTTTTTTTGCCACTCCCGTTCGTACATCAACAATTATGTTTTTTCTCTTCGCAGGGTTACTCAGCTTCAACGAAAGTAATCGCTTTTCCTGCAGAAGTATCTTCGCCGTTTAGCTTTGTCACGAAAGCTTTTGTGGGGATGGGGTTGGAATATTTGGTCAGAGTTACTTCAATATAGTATATTGGTATAGCCATTTTATTTTGTCTTTCGTATTAGGTGTGTGAATACTTTAAAAGTCAGGTTGTTTGAATTTTCAAACCTTACGAGAAGTAAATTAGGAAAAACTTGAAAGAGAGACTCGCCCATGCATTTTAACCATCGTTATTTATTTAACTCGACCGGCACCAAGAGATTTTGCACTCTTAAACCCTGGATACAGCACTTTGGCGCATAATTAGTAGTTCTTTGAACAATGAAATGATCTATATAATCGTACTTAATCTGGAGAGACGTTTTAGGCTCTTTATGAAAGGTATTTTCGTCATAATCCATTCTCCGTTTTCCGCATAATCCTCCTATCAAATAGCGTTAATTAGTGAGGAATGAACTTTTTAAACCATCTGCATTGATGTATTATCTCCAGTCGTATTAACAATGACCGTGTCTCTGTTGCAGTCAATATATTGGTAGCGTGAAATTATCTTGATCAGCATTCTAAGAAATACTTTAGTCCACGCCTAGTTTACGACAAAGCAAGATTCATTTGCTTCAGTCTATATATCGCATAGATTACCGCCCAAAAGTCAACAGTATATTACAAGATCGCGGTAGAGATCGTTTATATTAAATTGAAATCAGTCCAAAATAAGAAAATGTGTGTGTTATAACGAATTCAGTGTATAGTGTTAAAACAAAGATGGATATACCTCTAAATACTTTACAGCTTATCCCATAGGCACTATTTTATCAATACGTCATTTTTTATCATTTTCTCCCTAAATGGTGCAACCCCGCATTGCATTTCTACAACCCCAAAGTTGTTCTTACGCTATGAAAGAGCACCCAATCGCAAAGCCAGTTATAAATATTAATAATCTCTTTCACGACCTATGCAAGTTCAGGATTTTTTTTAAAAAAATTATTTAAACCCGTCTAGAATCACCGACGGGCGGAAAGTATTAAGTATTAAATAGTTTTCATCTATGCCTAACTTCAAAACCTGTATTTTAATAAAGGACCGTGCCTTAAACGTTAATTGCGGGGACAGAGTGTTTATTCATATATTCGGTCGTGCCTGACTGATTTCTTTCTCCTCCCCCCTCCTCCAATTAATGTTCTAGCTACGTCCCTGTTCTAATGCCTTAAAAACTCGTTGAATGAAGAGTTTCAGTTACTACAAAATACCTGCGGTCAAGTTAGTTTTCTCTATAAAAATAGCTAATTTTCTATTTCATAGCTGTCAAAATATGCAAACTGTCAAGGAGCTTTTTGTATTCGACGCGTTTGTATGATCTTTTTCTCCGTTGGAATACCTGCACCGAAGGAAGAGGCGCTTGATTTGAATACCTGTCTTTCCCATATGTCTTCCCCAGACCCGCTGTGCAAAAATTACCTCAAAGAGATGCGCACACGAGAGTCATGTGCACGCCATGCCTCTTATTTTTCCATTCTGTCATCAAAAAACATATTGCGTGATGATTACCAAATCATAAGCGGCTTTTTTTTATTGAAAAGCGTTGAAAGCATCGAATCAAATTGTTAGCATCGCGACACTAGCGTCTTGATCTCAGAATTTTGTTTATGCGCGGACAATTATGTGCTCGGCATGCTGTTGCTCCGCATGTGTTTATTTGGTTTGGGCTTGTTCGAAACGAAATCGCGGGATTCGGAACCGCATGTCAGTTCGGCGAGCAGACATGCCTTTCTATGGAAATTATCTTTTTTACGACTTGAGTGGAAAAGGAAGTGATTTTTTATGCGAGCCCTTTTTTTCATATCTGTGATTTTATTCCCCAAAACAAAGTTTAAGACCATCGAAGGAATGTACCACCTTCGCTCGAAGTTTTAATTTTAAGAGGAAAGGTCGCGCTCAATTTCCTGATCACAATAGTAACTTGCCCAGACTTGTAAATTTATGTGACGTAGTATCATGCCTTGCACCGCCTTTTCTTAACCCTTGCTAATCGAAACATAGTCACCGTGTCCTGCTGGTTGTGTCTCGATGAATGTAATGGCCGTCTTATTATGCGTAAGCAACATGCCGCGTTTTCTATCAATGCTTGGTACTTTGCTGTTTACGCAAATATAAAACTAGTCAGTCTGTTTGTAAATGGAAGTAACTTGATTTCTGGGTATCCTGTGCTTTGTCTGTCACACAGTAAGGAGGAGAGGCACTGTGGAAGAATTTTAATTTCACCCCCAAGCCATTTATTTTGTTTAGTACTGCGCAGTGAGAAATTTCGTCAGTTATGAACCTGTGGCGAGATTCGACAGATCTTCATGAGAAACTCTGGCGAATCGATCGCAACCAGTTTTGAATAGTTTAGTCCATTCAATTCGCACAATTTATTACGTAATTTCACTTTACGAATTTTGGAATCACGTAATACATGACTGTCGCACTTAACTTAAAGTGTGTACTTCATGTTGGTGTGACAAGTTTGACTGTTTGACAAAGAGCACCATTAAAAAATGCTCTCATTTTATGCTGTAACTTGATATCTTTTGAAAACATTGTTTTCTATAGGCGTTTCAGCATACTATCAATAGTTTATCATCCGCCCACCCGGATATAAATATGCGCTTGAACAAGTGCGGGAAGACATCGGAGCAGCCTTGGTGAACGGCACGCTATCTATAGACGTGCAACAAAGTCTGTTGTTTACGAATTCAATATTGACATGAGAATGTAAGTGTAGCTGTATCGAAAGTGTGAGTGGCATTTTACAGGACTCTGTAAAGTCCTGATGTTTTATGCATGTAGATTGCTATAGCTTTTGGTAAATACGTTATTGTAAATTGTTATCGTCGAGGAATTAGCTGAATAAGGTATTTAACGTCATATGACCGCGAATTGTCATGTTTACAGCGAATTAATTGAGAACGTCACTGAATTAAATTTTTAAAATTCATTTTTTCATTATTTCGATCTTGGTTTTCCCATCTATGTCTTTTATGAATACCTCTATATCTGTTATAAATATGTGAATAAGAAGTCTTTAGTTGGTAGAGGGCTTTGTAGGATCGACATGCTTGTAACGATCTCTGTGTGTAGTTCTCGCGAACACATTGCGGCAGTAAAAATTTATTTTATTACATAAAGCGATTTGATGAATAAGTTTTTACTATTTTTTTTTGTTTCGTCGTCGACATCATTTATGATGCAATGGTTATAATTTACTGCATGTGCGCTCTGCGAACGATCGAGAACTTTGCCGTCGTTTGAAGAATATATATGCTTTAGACATGAGAAAATATGCTTAACTATGTTCTGAAAAAAGATTTTTGCCAATATTTTTCAAAAATTATCTACTTCAAGTGGTCGGTTACAGGCCAGCACGCGGGAACCGAAAGAACAACGTAAAATAAACAAAACTTTTGGAAAGGTGGAATAAATACACAACAAATTCTTAAAATTCAGCATCATTCCGCTTAGGGTTTGTGCATTTTCCTGCTCGCTGAAATTTTAACGCATTTTTACTGTGCGAACTATGCAATTTTAACGCGAAATCGTGTCGGCATTAGAAAACGCGACAAACCCGGATGTTTATTGACGCTTTGTATATATATATAGCTTGTCTATATGTCTATAGACATGTTGTCAATAACAGTTGTGATTGTATTTATAATTTCTGTCGGCTGATTAGGAACTTTAGGAAACTTTTCAACCAAGTGCGACTGAGGGGCGACGTCTAAACCAATTTACAATGTTGCAAGCAATATTGATTTGATCTGACCATCGAAGTAAAAATATATGAAACGTTGCTTGCAACACAATTGTCTTGTAATCCAATGGAGATAAATTTTTATAAGCCAGATCGACGCGCGTGCTCGCACATGTTTACTGTTTCGCGATGCTTTTTATCGAAATTACTGCTAAATACATCCGGGAGATTGCATTTGTTTCTAATCTAAACTGTCGTTCGTTTATTGTAATTTTGTGTTGACAATTGACCTATTGTTTTTTACTTAGCACTTGTAATATTATGGAAATATTGTCCTCGTTTGAGAAATACAAGTTGCTTTGTGCCAGCAAGCAATGTAAGAAGCTGTTTAATGGAAGATTGCATTCCCCTTGATTGTCGTGACGAGTGTTTTTTGGTTGTTAAGCACGAAATTTTTTTCGATTAAAGAAAATTGCCCCGTAAATAATGTAACCTGATTTGGGAAAAGTAATGAACAAGCTTTTTTCAATTTTTCAATTGAAAAAAAAAACATGGCGACAGATTTCCACGATTGCAATCGAGTGAATTTGAAGAAATACAAACCAATGCAAAGAATAAAAACACAACGGCGAATGCTGTTTTGTTTTGTAAATGTTTGTAGAAGTTGGGCTGCGTAGCGAGGCTTTTCTGAAGAGATATATAAAGCTAATCACTAAAATGAATTAATCGAGACAGTCAGGCGGATGTAGACGGTGTTATATCTCCAAGTATATTATTAGCAACTCAATAAATGCATGAGAAATCTATCTATTACCTACCCTAATTTCGTTTCAAAGCAATCATTCTACTTTTTTTTAGATATTTTGACGTAACATTCCTACTTTGTCTCGGGTTGCTGAAACTTTCATCAGGTATGTTTAAATTATTTTTTACGTCTCAAAAACATGCTGTTTTTAAAACTGATGGCCGTCGTTGAGTGTGTAATGACGAAAGCAAATAAGCAATATAGTGTATACACCCACATTATTTTTAAAAAAAAATAGTTTCGCAAACAGTTTCGGAAATTGAGAAATCAATTGATTTAAATGGATTCAATTCCTGTGAGAACAAAACAAACTAACGGTCTATTTGTCGTCCATTGAGTTCTGTCTTTATGCCTATTTTCCACTAGGCGCAATTTTCCGCGTGCTAAGTAATATTGGCAACCTGATTGGTTGTGAAAAAACTAATAAAAACATCATCTACAAATCTCGTGTTATCAGTTATTACCAATGAACTCCATAATCTGTAATGATTACGGCGTAATGATACATTTGATTGATTTAAAATTACATAACATACAAATGACTAAATGTTTGTAAATGTAGATCGTCCAGGTTGGTATAGTCCTGAGAAGGACTGTTTTTGTTGTTGATGATTGACGTTTCGACACCTTAGCGGTAGTTATCTTCAGAGTCAAATGAGGAATAAACGTCAGGTTGGCCGTATTTGTTATCTGTTTCTTACGTCATTGTATTGTGTGTACAGGAAATGTGCGGGTGTCAATTGTGTATTGTCATTGTGAATTAGTGTGAAGTGAAATGTTTTTAGTTGTGATGTGTGATTTAGGTGTGATGTTTTTAGTTGTAATGTTTGGGTGTCAATTGTGTATTGTCATTGTGAATTAGTGTGAAGTGAAATGTTTTAGTTGTGATGTGTGATTTAGGTGTGATGTTTTTAGTTGTAATGTTTGGGTGTCAATTGTGTATTGTCATTGTGAATTAGTGTGAAGTGTAATGTTTTTAGTTGATCATTTGTTTGTATTGTGAATAAGTCGTTTGTAAGGTGCCGTTAATTGCTGTGATCTGTTCAGGGGGGTTTGTTCCAAGTTGGTATACCAACTTTATAATGTAAGCCGTTGTCTATAGTCAGTACTGTAAGTAATGCATATTGCCGAGTCCCAGTAAATGTTGTGCTTTGTGATTCGGTGATGTTCAGCAATGTAATTAGTTTTGTCTTGCTTCTTAGTAGCTCGTTTGTGTTCAGTAAGTCTTATGTTTAAGTTCCTGCCAGTTTCCCCGATATAGGAGGCGTGGCAGTCGGAGCAGTTTATTTTGTAAACTGCACCTTGTCATTCGTTGGGTTGTTCTTTGTCCTTTATGTTCGTTAGTACTTGTCGTAACGTTGTGATTGGTTTATGTGCGACACGTATGTTGTATGGTCGTAAGATACGCGAGATAGTCTCAGACGTACCTTTGATGTAAGGTATCGTTGCTGATACCCGTTTACGACGATCGTGAAAAAGTGCTATCTTTCTTTCCTCTATACATGCTCTCTTTCTTTATCATAGCTTATTCGTGCGGAAGCCTCCTCTCCGGTATATATGGGAGATTTTATTCGCCTGGCTTTCCTTCAAGTTATCGCGATTATTTGCATTGCACGTGGGAGATACGAGTGAACAAAGGATTTTACGTAAATCTGCGTTTCACCGTGTTCGACATCGAGCACTACACAAACTGCTCTTATGACTATCTCAGTGTTATTGAAAAAGGAATAATCAAAGGCCGATGGTGTGGTTCGAAAACGAAAAACGAAAGCGAGGCAATCACTCGATTAAAATCCGAAGAAAACGTTATTGAAGTTGTATTTCATTCTGATTACTCAAACGAAGAACCTTACAGAGGCTTTCTGGCACACTATTCGGCAATGGGTATGTACACAACATTTATAGATTGTCAGGAAATCCAATAACTATTGTAAAATAACAACGTGTGCTGATTTGTCTATAGCTGAGTTTGCATTAGCTTCAGAGCTAATTGATTTGAGTTCGTTTACTAATTAAAGAGGATTTGCAAATTAAGTATGAATACATGTCATAGGAAAAATAAAAACATTTGTTTTCAATCTATCTGTCTAGCACTATTGTTATTTTATAAAAGAAATACAAGATTTTTTTGTGTTTGCTCTGGCTTATACAAACCTCGTGAAAACTCTTAAGCAGATGCAAAACAATGGTGTAACTTGTGTAACCCTCGACCTTTCGTTGGCTCGGGCTTGCACTGATTGGCTTTCGAGTTCTTCCAATGGTCACCCTGGTTTGCATAAGTCTGCGCAAGCGCAGTGAACATCTTTTATTTTTTAAATGAAAAATGTGCAATGTATCCAAGCACGTTTTTATCAGGCTGATTAAAAATATTCATTCATTTTTTGCTGGTCGATGACTCACGTCGTTTTAATTGTATGAATGCGCTGAAACCACTATTGTCTCAGCAAATTTTGTTCTTAAATTCCATCATCGAAAAGAAGCTTTTTCTCACCGCTTTAGATATAAATGAGTGCGAAGATAACAATGGCAGATGTGATCACTTGTGCCATAACTATCTTGGTGGATACTATTGCTCTTGTCGTTTGCATTATGGTCTCAGAAAGGACAAAAAAACCTGCGGTTATAGTGAGTATTCATATGAACTGCATTTTAATGTGCAGTCTTAAACGTTGTTGGCAGTAGTCTTGAGCCAGCCTCCACCCAGCTTGCCGACCCAGGAACGTAGCCAAACCGCATATTTTGTCCTGTTATTCGAATTTCTCGGTGTTCACTTACAACAAAAATTTCGCTTTCAAACTCAATACAAAAAATAATACTGTTTTGAATTTCATTTCGAAGAACCAAATCTTTGTTTGCTTCGGTCAGCGTTAGTTGGACAAGCTACGTTACTCTTGATAGATAATTTTGTACTGTTTGCGATGTAGAGTACCGAGTACAGTATAGTGAACATACATTAGAGCCACTCTATTGAATTTTTTCATGCTACTCAAATCTTATTACGCATGTCATTAGCTACCATAGTGGCAGCCAGTCAATTGCTTTATTTTAACCAGTAGGAATGATGAAATGGCAAAAGGCATACATTAATGTATTTAAATATGCAGTTACCAGCTGCACACGAAGTGAACCTACTGTATGTTCTCTATGCTGTGGTTCCAAGAATTTGGCGAAAATTAATGAAAAACAGAAGATACCAAGTTACTTTTCATCTAACTTGAAGAGCTCTACATCCATTAGGGCACAATTGATTATGCTCTAACTGTCTTAGAGAATGACTGCCTTCACGAAAAAATTAAGAAACTCCAGCTAGAGTCACTATTCTGGGGTATTCTTTACTAGACACTATGAGATAGCTATAGCGCATGCAAATAATGAAAGCCGATTGGTTGAGTGAAGGTAATGATTCCCTAATTTTGATTTAAAATGATGATCACATGACGTCTACTTGCCCAATGAAACGATGCATCGTAAGTGGGAAATCTTTATCATGACTCATCTTCGCATCATGGCTTAAAACTGTTGAATTCAGTAGTCAAAAGTGGTTGATTTCGGAAACTTTTCGAGCTTGATTTTTTTCTGATATTGATAAAATTTTAACGTTTCTCATCATCTCGAAAAGATTGCACCAATTGCCATCAATATAGTTTAGGGTAAAATCAAATTTTGCATTCGTTTATAAGCCAGTTTTCAACAAACGATTTCTTATTTTGTGTTAGAGTTGTGTCAAAATGTGCACATGCGCAGTATGCAGGGGAGTATATCCAGCCCAGAATATCCAAACGCATATCCGAGTCATTTGAACTGTTCTTGGAGAATCACTGTCCCACAAGGTTATCGCATTGTGCTGCAGTTTCTTCAAGTATGTATGTCAATTTTGCATGTGTATGATCGAAAGGTAGAAAATTACCATGGACCAATTTTCTGGGGGTTGCAAGGGGGTCCGATATTCAAATATCAGATTTCACTCCCCTAATATAATTGTTCAAGAGACATTTTAATTCCCCCGCCTATTTTTAGCAAAAAAATCAGTAGCACAGTTGAACTGAGTCTTTCTGAGCAATGTTTTAAACTCTTTACAATATCTTTGGTGGCTATACTTAACGATAACTGCCCCTAAAATCTAGACCTTTACTTTGTTTTGTGTCACTTCCTTGCCGGCTCAACCCCTCACCCACTTTTTTCATATTTTTTTTCATCACCCCTGTAAAAAAATTTCAGATCCATCCATGAAAAATACTTCAATTTCTGTATTCAATCACTTAAAAAACTAAGGACATCTATGGGAATGTGTAATGATCATGTTCCGAAATTTAGATTGGACAACCGAAACTCCCGGCCTTCCATTGCTACTAAATTCAAGACTCGTCAACGAGCATCTTAATCTGAAATCCCCAAAGGCTCTTAGGGAAGACAGTCTTCATGATTTCTTTTAAAATTACAATCGCTAACAAACCAAATCAGACAGGCAGAGATGAATATATGAATATTCACCCTTCTCCCTCTCCAAATTAGCGTTCTAGTTTCGCACTTGCCATCATTATAACGGTTTTATTGCGCTTTTAACATCATCGAATGAAGTTAGCATTTCAAATCAGAATTTACCTGTTAATTCGATAGTTGATACATGCCCTGCTCTTATTTTAGTTTGAAATTGAAACGCATCCTGATGTCGTGTGTCCTTACGACTATTTGAAGATTTTCGACGGTACAAACTCCGCTCCACTTTGTGGCAACACGCCTCCTCGAAATATTTCCTCTATAAAAAACTCGTTGTCGATCAAATTCGTGACGGACTACTCGTACAATATGGGTGGATTTCTGGCAAAATATTACACCAAAGGTATGTCAAGTTAAAATGGTTTGCATGTTTTTATAAATAAGATCTTCCCAACTAGTGGACGTCATACATGCACACTTTCAAAAAAAATTTTTTTCAACTCGTTTCTGTTGCCACAAAAAAATGGAAAAGTGGAAATTTGCCTGCAATGCGTGGCCATCTTGGCTAACAGAGCGTTTTTTCTTTTGGTTGTTGTTTGATTATTGCATCAAAGCACGTCATCGAAACAAAAAAACTTGATGGGATATTTTCTTTTTTACAGGTGTAAGTTGCCCGCGATTGGTGGCACCCGAAAATGGCGAAATGAGTGCTCTCGGATTCTCGTACAAGGACGAAGCGACATTTTCCTGCCTGGATGGATACATCATGAATGGAACGTCAAGTGTCACGTGTCAAAGTGATGGAGAGTGGGATAGAAAACCTCCATTATGCGAACGTAAGGTTTTAGTTAGATTTTTAATTGTAAATCAAAGACTTGGTGGTTACGAACTTAAATATTGCTGTGAACAGCGTTTTGTCATTGTGAATGACAAGTAAAAACCAAAATAAACATAGCTATAAAACTGAAGGACACAATGAATTTCGGCAGACATCTCCTCAGGTGCCACGTCCGCTTTGATGAAAGCCAAAAATTTACTTCTATTTATGATGAAGCCATGGGAGATGACGTCACACCTAAACGGGTTTGTCACGTGTAAAACAGGGACAATTCAAAGACATAATCTTTTTAATGACAAAGAAAGGGATTAGTAAACTTAAGAAACACGAATTCCTTGACGATAATTCTCAAACTGTCATCTGAGTAAGAGCCAGCACATTGAGTGTTGCTTGAAACATCTCAAAAGATGTTTCCCAATCGCAGAGTTTAATTGTTTGTCGAGAGCGATAATATATGTAATATGTGATTCAGTGCTGTTTGAAATACATATCTGTACTGAATTAAAAAGCTCAAAGCTTAAGTTATGGCTAGTTAGTGTTCAAAAGGCTCTGTGATAAAACGGTTTGTCCTGTGCCTCAACTTTATTAGTTATGTCAACTTCCTGAAAATAACAGTGCAGCCATTTTATGCGTGCCAATTTCAACATTCATGAAAATTTTCGCCATTTTATACGTGCCAACTTCAGCATTAATAAATTTTTCCTATATTTCGATTTATTATGTAGTTGACAATTTATCTTTCAGTTAAATGCGTCTAAAAATTTTTTTCGTAGCGGTCTCTTGTGGCCATCCGAAAACTCCACATCGTGGAAGAGCTATCGTCGAGGGAATAACCTTCGGTCAATCGGTGTCATTTGAATGTGATAAATATTACGAAATTGAAGGAGGAAGCACATTGACTTGTGAGGCTGATGGTCTGTGGTCGAATATTTCACCAAAATGCATCCCAGGTAAAGTTGCTTACTGTAAATGCTCGCTTAAGCTACGCTCTCTGTCAAGCGCTGCACTCACAATCCGGGAAAATTATTTAGCACCGCTCACGGTTAAGCGTCTCGCCTGAGTAACTTTTGTGCGGCGTTCGGAAGAAATATAGAGTTATTAAACTTTGAAGGTCATGACAACAATGTTCTCCACTTATGTGACATTATTTTCATCAAGTTTTACATTATGATATCATAAAAATAGATTTTGTGTACTCGTTATTTTCTTGAGGCAGTAAAAAAAATTTAATAAGCACTGCTCCAAATTAAGTGCCGCTCCCGCATAAACGTCGCATTCAAAATCGGAAAAATGAAATAAGCGCTGCGGCGCCAAAGCGAGCATTTACGGTAGTTGTTTTTTCTTTGAGAAAACTTACAACATAAACCGATATCCTAACTCGCAAAAGCATCATCTCTTTTTTGTCGCTCGTCTGCAATTTAACGTACAAGTTATAAATATGTCTTGAGATCATCATCCTTGTCCGAAAAATGGAACTGTGTTTCGTCAGTTTGCACTTTCCATATTGCTTTATTTATTATAATAAAAGGACTGCGATTTTTAAATTTCAATTTTTAGGGTTTTCAAGCTTCTGTGGTATAATACATCACACTTCTTTTTCAAAAATATTTTAGTGTGTGGAAAGTCGAGTTTGTCGGATGAATCTATCCAGAATTGCTCGGGAAATTTGCTGCACCAACAAGACACTGGCCCCAAGTCCTTGCCTTGGAATGTTTTGATAAAACTTGACGATCAAGAAATTTGCAGCGGATCTCTTTTGAATGAGTTTTGGGTGATTACGGGTAAGTTACAAACTCTTAGTTAATTGATTAATTGATTAATTGATTAATCAATTAGGCGATTAATTATTAATTACTACTATTATTATAATCGAAGTTACTATGATTATAATTTATTATTTATCATTTTAGCTTGTTACTATTTATTATCATTGATTTATTGATATAATTGCTGTTGCTTAGATAAATTTATAAAAATATTTACAGCGGCCCACTGCGTTGTGAAGGAACAACGAGTGTTAAGTCCCTCACGATTCACCGTTTTCCTGGGTCTATATAATCGATCCGAAGATGACAGACATGCGAGAAATGATATACAAGTTGGTCAAATATTTCATCATAGGAATTTCAACCCGACGTCATTTCAAGGCGACCTGGCGCTCTTGCGCCTTAGACGTGCGACGGTTTTCAGTGATTTTATCCAACCCATATGCTTACCTGAGGAAAACGGGTAAGTTTGTGTTAACGGCAAACCTTAACTACCCGCTTGCCGTTAAGGTTTGCCCGTTTGAATTTAGCTTGACGTTTTTGCATTTGTATTTTACAATTCGCTTTGTCCGAACTAAATTTCATGTTTTGTTAAAAGTTTGTCGATAAAAAGATGCATATTCATGTTGTATACCCAAATAAAATATTCATTAAGCCATAAACGTCACTTGGTTGCAGGGACGCCGGAACTTCGATAATTGGGGAGCAAATATTCATATATGCGTGTTTTGCATGATTACTTTCTTTTGAAATCAATTGTTTTTACGAGCTGTGATTATGGATATATGAATATTGTCCCCCCCCAATTATAGATGTTCGGGCGCCCCTGCTTACATGTATTTAAAGTACTAAAAATCCTGCTCTGAATCACTTACCGCAAGAAGGGAGAGAAGGATCTCTTTCCATTTAAATATGAACTGCAAATCCATGATCATTTGACTTTTTGCGGTTTGCCGTCTGCCGTCAACGCGAAACTAAAACTCTTTTAATGAGAAAAAATATGTTTATTTGAAAATACAGTTTCACGATGTCGGTAGCCTGCTCACATTACCTGCGTATTTAGTCCAGGCATGGATTTATCACTGGCGAGTTTAATCCTAGAAACTGTTGTTCTTTGCAAACATTATTCTCGTTCCCAGCGCGTCTTTAGATAATTGTGATGGTTTTGCTATTTTTGAAAATAAAAAATTTCATGTTTTAGGGCACATGTAGTCACAACGCCTGGATCTCGAGGTGTTGTTGCCGGATGGGGAAAATATGCCAATGATTCCTTACCTCATGTATTGAAGGCGGTATGTACCTCATCTGTCTCCACCGAGATTTGCCGCGACGAATTTATGAAGGAGGGTTTTCAAATCACTCACGATATGTTCTGCGCGGGATCTGGATCGGGGCGAAATTACATATGCAAGGGAGATTCAGGTGGAGCGTTTGCCTATAGACACGAAGTGAAGGGTCGTTGGTTCATAGGTGGCTTAGTGTCTTGGGGTAGCTTCAAAGGTTGTGAAAGAGGGAATAACTATAGCGTGTACCTAAATATTGAGCACTATATAAATTGGATACGAAGTAGAATAGTAAGCTAAATATTAGTATTTGCGTATGAGCTGCAGGTTATGCTGGAAAACGTGTATGACATTCGCTAACAAAAGAACACCAAGTCTGGATATCTTGAATTGAACTCAATTGAAAATTCAGCTGGAGGTGTAACTAAGATTTGTACCGCAAAAGAAGCTGGCGTCGTTGCCAGTCCATATAGTCATTTCTGTATTTTGCGAGTGTTTGCTCAATCGTGATTATGCAGACGCTATTATATTTTAAGGATGTCCCGTTTGCACTATTCTGGGCTGCCATAGTACCAGGATAATATTTCTATGTATTAAAAGTCATGTGATAATATTTAGTGTTAATCATTGACAACCATATCTTGATGAGCGCATCCGGCATGGTACAAACCATAGAATAGAGAATATATAGAAGGGCAACTCGCAGGTGAAACGCGTGGCATATTTTCTGTGCGCATGCGTTAGGTCCGCCATTACTCTGGGCAGTAACTTGACGCTGGCGTACTATAAAATGATATTGGAAAAGTGCGATTTTGGGATAATAATCGCCTAAAACGCAAACTGTTTTTGAAGATCATGGAATTTTGTGACAAAACGTGATAGAAATAAGGTGAGAGACCATTATTTAATTGCTGGCAAGTCCGTAAAGGTTTTTTATTGGTAAAAATTACATGTTTCAATGTAGGGTGTTTATTTTACTGCTATAGAGTTGTCAGTATGTTAGGTGAATAGAAGTCCAGAAGTAAAATCTCTTGCGTTTTCGTCCATTCTGAATTATAAATTTCAAAATTTTGAGGTGTTATTATAAATGTATTATTTAAAACACAAACTTGTCAGAGTTTTACTTGTACCAACGCTGTAATATTTCAGGTTGCAACTTGCCAACTTGCTAAACTATAAATCAAGTTAATCAACCAGCTAACCAAGTAATCCAATAATGATTCATGATGGTTGTGTGTGAATTATAACTGATAATAATTTGCAACATTCAGTTTCAAACCATGGAGGGTTTGTTTATCATTTTAAGCATGAGTGAAATGTTAATATGTTAATAGTTGGGCATTTTTAAAACCAAATGTAGTTTTAGTGAGGTATACACTCTGTTTGCCTTATTTATAAATTTTGCCTTGCTGTGATTTGTGCTCTATTAAATTTATTACCAATAGTTATGATTGATTTTCTGATATTTTTTTCTAGTTGTTATTTTGGCATTCAGTTCTCAAGTGAGGATTATGTTGCAAGTGTCTTGTGTTATGTTGGATTAGATTTTAGTGGCTACTTGTTGCAGTAGCATGTTTAACTTTGTTTGTTAAATTCTATTATGTTTTTATTATGATTGGGTGGTTTTTGTAAGGGTGCTCTATTAAACATTGATCACAATTTCTTCAGCTTAATTGTTTAGTATACCAATATTTATAGAGAAATTAGCATTTCTTCTGCACCCCCATCTAGCTCAAGCTAGGAGGGCTGCACACCCCTATCTTATATCCATCTCTGAATAAAGTTGTCATTAAATTTTTTAAATGCAAATATGTGTACTGAGTTGCTGTATTTTATTCTGTATATTCTATTGCATGAAATGCACACATTCTAAATTTAAATTGTTTTGTGTTAAAGATTTTTGTGCACCATGTAAATCTTTAATGACAAAGACATGTTTTTAGCCTTGTAACCATTAAGAAAATATGATATTTATTATATTGCTGTTATTTTGTACATATTTTTCACTTAGAAATGTCTTTATCAAAATAAGTTTCCAATGTTATTCAATTCTCAAAATGCCCAAAGCATTGTATATTGGGTTTGCTGTGAATCTTTCTCACATGTGTGTTTCTACTGCAACTTTTTGATCCGAGATTATAAAGTTGTAAATTTTCCATTTTTGGTACTATTCGTCGCCAGGGAGGCAATAGTGACAACCCCACTCCAACCCAATTTATGCAAGCATTTAGAAAGGTTTTCTTCAGTTCCCTTCTAACCTGTTCATCTGGAAATTGTGACAACGACCTTGATTCTATGCTGGTTGAGTATTCCAAAAATGTTGCAAAGAATAAAGTCAGCCAGAAGAAAACGGTTCAAGTCTTTCCACCTCCGCAACCACAAATTTTAGCAATTGGTCCTACTGACTACAAGGAGCCAAATGTTGTTACTAACATAATGAGGGAAAATGCCATTGCATATGTGTCTGGTTTTCTTCTAATGAAGAGTTTCAAACTCCACTCTTGTCTGAAATGCACCAATGCTCTTTCATCTACAGAACTGGAAGATAGCAGAAAGTTATTCTGCCACTTTAAAGCATTGGATCAAAAGAAATCTGATTTAGGAGGACTACAATCACCATCTTCTCCTTATCTGGAATACATCATCAAACTTGAAGACACATTTATTAAGACGTTTTCTGTCTACACAAAGAGCGAAGGTGTTGGTCGAAGTATATTAGACACCGTCAAGTCCATACCAAAGGAATTTGATTGCTGTACGGAATTCCCATTCGAGTTCTTGCAGAAACTTTTGTAAGAATGCGCATTTATTACGCCATAAAATTTGCGAACCGCATATTCGCAACAACTAAAAAGAAAGACAAAAAGTACATTAAAGTCACACACCTTTGAGGGCTTTGTGCATATAATTTTTTGTCCTTTATAAAACTAAATTGAAAACAAAAGCTTTTTATATCACAATAATATATTTAACATGTAATACATCCAAGTTCATTTAAGTCCTCAGGACTTGTGAACCTCAGAACCTGTTCAAGCTTTCCGAATGAATTTCGCTATAAATATATTAAATAAATGCATTTGTTACATGATATATAACAAATTATCACACAATCACTTTTTGTGCTGTATTGTGCATGTAAGTGGATTTCTGGCTTTGGTAAGCCAACTCACCATTCCTATTAGTTAGAAAATATAATTGATCGGCTGCCACAATGCTAATCACATGCGTAAGATAATACGCGCTATACTCGAGAAGTTTCAATAGATTGGCACTACCGTTGGTTTCTATACTGTGATCGAACCAAGGCTGCACTGGCGTAGCCAGCCCGCTTATTTAGTCGTGCTATATTGATTTTTCTTTGTTCAATCACTGTGAAAACAATACATTTCTAAAGAAATGAATAATGTTAATGACCTAAAATTTACATAGCAGGAGAAAAACTTGGTTGATGTCAAAAAAACAATGGAAAATACTTACCTTGTTTTAGACTCCGTTCACACGATGCCAGTATAGTTTGAAAACGATGCAGAACTCTTACATCTTGTTCATAGGATGCCGGTATGCAAAAGTATGAAACCGTTACGCTGACCGTAGAGTTTCATTACGGTTAGGCGAAACTTTTCCTATGCAAAAAAGGATGGGATAAAATATTCGAAGAAAGTTGTGACGGCGATGTATGGTCAGCAAAAATTGGCAGACTTCAAACAAATATAACTTAAATAAACTGAAAGCCGGCATCAATCCGGAGTAGTGTGAACACAACACCAAAACGGAGCAAAACTCTGACGGTAACTTGTGAACAGTGCGAAACGGTGTGAAACTATACGGGTAGAGTTTCATACCGGCAACGTGTAAACGTAGTCTTCACAGCAAAGTTTCAAAGATACGTAGAAGCGTGATACGCGTATTTTCAAGCGTAAAAAGTACCGCGAGCAATTATTTTATTGTTAATCACTGATTTGGTTTCCTTAAGTAACTTTCAGTTGCCGTGCCTTTAAAAAAGGTAGAAAATTATGGTCTTGGTCGACTGTATATGAACGTATATTATAATGTCAGCAAAACATGAAACAAATGATGAAAAATACCAATGTTTTTATCTCTATTAGTGCTTTCACTAAAAGATTCAATCATTCTAGTCTTTGTTTTCCAACCTTGAGTTATCGTGGCCTACTCAGATTTCTGGTATGGGTGGCTTGCAATCAATCCCCAAGGAGTCAAAGGTAATGGCCATCTTATTTGAAATTTGAGTTGTTAGTGAGAAAACTCCTTTGTTGAACTCAACCAACATGGCGGCCGTGACGTAACACGCAATCCACCATAGAGATTATAAATAATAATTTTAGATTATAAATAATAATAGTTTTGATTATAATCTCTATGTAATCCACCGTCACGGCTGCGATGTTGGTTGAATATAACAAGAAAATTTTTTCGTTTACAATTCAAATTTCAACTAACATGGTTCTGACTCCTTGGGGAATGTAATGCTTATAATAACAAGGTCACCAGGAATCTTGCATGCCATGAATGAATAAATAGTATAACGTCAATCAGTTTTCTATTCATGTTTCTGCAGAGTGCAATCAATTTAACTACATAATGGCCCTTACTACTTAATGTGTTTACTAAGTTTGGTTCCAAACTAAGCAAGCAATCATTAAAATGTGGGATTGATTTCTGCATCATTCGAAAGGAGAAAATAAAGATAATCCATTTTTTTAGACCTAGTAACATCGCGAGTAAAACGGGTCTTGTCGTTTTTGCTCAATTTACTCGGTTAAACCAGGCATAAGCTTTTGCTTTTTTGAAGACTAAAGCTTGCTTTCCACTAGCAATGTATCGCAACGTATCGTAGCAAAACGTAAGAGGGCGCATGCGTGCTTATGAATTTGATGGTCAATAAGCGCAAGCACGCATGCGCCATGCTACGTTTTGCTACGATACGTTACGATACGTGGCTAGTGGAAAACAGGCTTAAAGTAGAAGCAAAGAAACGCCCAGAAACTTTGCTAATTACGTAAGTGTAAGACTTATTTTCCAAGCTTATTTGAATTGGTTTCGATAAGTCCCAAGAGAATATTCTTCCTTTATGATCAAATGCAACGAAAACTTCATTTTTTGATTTGAATATTCAAAGAAAGGTGGAATGTATTTTCCGTTTAACATAGGTCGGTTTAATGCGCATTTTAGCTTCAACTTTTAAAGAAGCCACTGCAGTGTGTCGTTTGTGTTCGTGACTGTGTCCGTCTACGTACTGTTGATTTTATCCCTTTATTTTACACTAACTCTGGTGTAACTTTTAATCTCAATGCTTGAATTGTCCATATATCTCGTAAACTGTTATATACAAGATGCCAGAAGTTGGATACGGGCGTTTAGACGATTTAGTAATCGGGCATATTTTAGGCTCGGGCGGCTTTGGAACCGTATACAAAGCTTCATACAAGGGTGAAACAGTTGCTTTAAAGCAGTTGCACACGAACACAAAGAACAAAAAGGCGGCAATGCAAAGTTTTCGTTCAGAAACTCGCCCTGAAGTGTTGAAGTTTAACCATCCAAATATTGTGCGTACGCTGTATGTCTCCCATGCGGCAACCATTGAAGATTCTCCGTTTTTGGTAATGGAATACATCGAAAATAAAACCTTGCAACACATGCTCGACGACTCCGAAGAGATTATCAACGATGCTCGACGAATATCTATGGCTTTAGAAATAGTAAGCGCTTTAGCTTATATACATCAACAAAACATCGCCCATTTGGATTTAAAACCAGTGAACGTACTCGTCACAAAAAAGGTGATAATGAAATTCTTACGGTATATACTACTTTAACGGCTGTCATTCACTGGGCTCAATGCATGTGATATATATTATTATTTACCGGGGTGTGAGGTCGGTACTGAAAAAATATTTTCACGAGGTTTCAGAAGCGGCCTGAGGATGAAGGCCGAGAGAAAAAATTTTTTTAGTATGGACCTACCATAATGTATTTATTTTTTTGACAAAGAAGCAATTTACGTTGTAAAATGGTCGATGTGGCTTTTTGAGACTGACTTCAAATTGATTTCTAGAAACATTACTTCGTCTGGATAGTAGCTAGCATTCACTCTCGCTACGATAACTACTATCTCAATACATTTTGCTTTCTCCTAAAACAATTAAAATGGCTTTTAAAACAATTTTAAAAATCTCAAGGCAATTCTTATAACGACTTAAAAAAATATTTTTTGTCATTGTATTTCTATGAAATGAAAAATGAAATACTATAACAGAATATGTAGTTGGGTCAAATTACCATACGGCAAAAGTCACAAAAATAAACATGCCTTAATTCCTGTGTACGCTCGAAGCTTGGAGTAACAACAGTGGCGGGAGAATCTCCCCACCATAATGCGAGGAAAAGTGTAAGAGCTTAGTGATAGCGTATACAGTAAATAGAGATTTGTGCATGAAAATTTTTCACAATTGCTTCAGAATATTTGCAAATTGGGTGATTTTGGTTGCTGTGAAGTGGTGGAAGATACTCCAGTTAGTCCAACGAGATCTTATCTGACTGGCACTTTTGCGTACCGAGCTCCGGAGCTTCTGCGAGGCCAATCCGCCAGTTGCAAGGCTGATATTTACTCTTTTGCCATTTGTCTGTGGCAGTTTTGGACGCGCGATATCCCGTACAGAGGCAAGAATCAACATGTCGTCATTTTTGGTGTCGTGTCGAAGGGACTGAGACCCAAACTTAGTGCGGACAACATGCCTGATAATAAATACCACGAACTTATGACGAAATGCTGGAGTGTGCAGCCTGGGAATAGGCCTTCATCCAAAGACCTTCTTGACGTGCTGACCAGTTGGAATGCTAAATAATAAAACCAGGCTAAGGTGAGAATGTCAGAGTGAATTTTTTGTCGTTAGTCAATTGTAGAATGCACCGAGTATATAAGTGACATACCGTATTCCCACTATTTAGCTACCAGCTCTCATTTTACCCTCATTTTGTAATTTTTTGCACAGACTTATGCAAACCGAGGGGGCCTTTTCACAACGTCTCCGAAGTTTTCATACAAAAGCATCTTTTATACGGAAAACATCTTTTATTTCTTTTATAAAATCAATGACACAGGCAAACTCAAAACAAGCGTCTCAATTTTCTTTTACTATAAAGTGTTGATTGCATTGTAAATTATCATTGCTTGATTGATTGATTGATTGATTGATTGATTGATTGATTGATTGATTTGATTGGTTGAGCTCAGATCGGTTTGCATAGGCTAATGAAAGCAAAACTATTAAACCAATCAGTGCACGCGTTTTATTGTTTGTATTTTGTAAAATAGATTGCAATGCTCCCTCGTTGAAAGTATGAAGGTCAAAGATCAAAGTACGCCATATGTGAAGGTAATAAAGGAAGTTTTATTATTTTTTTATATCAGCGTCTCGAAAGTTTTACAGGTTTTGGAGTGTTTTGATCAATGTAATAATATCCTTTGAGATTTTTTTAACTGCGATTACTGGTTGATTGCAGTGCAGTTATTTGTAATTGCACTGCAAAAAATGTAATTGCGCTGTTCAAAAGCATATACTTGCAGTATAAATACTCTAACCTAACTGGCTGAAACGCAGTGAAAATGGCGAAAGCCAAACAAACAAGTTTTCAATAAAAAACAACATGGCGGTAGATTTAAGTAAACCATTGAAGCAAACAAAGATTTCCACCGTTGCAATCGTGTGAACTCGAAGAATTAGCAAACAATGTAAAGAATGAAAAAAACCCAGCAAGAACTGTGTTTGTGATTAATGTACCTAAAGTTGGGCAACGCAACGAAGCGAGACCGGGTAGACCGTAGATGGCGTTTTGCAAAATGTCTCAAAGATTATGTTATTAGGAAGTAATGGTGTAGTTTCTTGTGCAATTACAGCGAAAAATGGTCGTAAGTTTTGTTAAGGACTCCAAGTCTAACAAAAACTCACTCGTGCATGTTTATCCGTAATTGCACTCGAGACTATACTAGTACCTACTCAAATATGCTGCAGATTGTACAAAAACATTCAATTGCAATTCACCAACATTAGCAATGCTTTCTTTCTATTAAATCTGGCTCCATGCACATTTGCTCCTGACTAGTTACTAAAGTAATACAATCTAAAAATGTATGATTAAAATAATTATATCGCTTAAGCTTTCATGAGATCATTTAAAAGACTTAAATATAGTTGTCATATAATTTTTCGATGAATAAATTAATTGGAAACCATTTCAATTATAGATAGAAGAATACAGTATTTCGGTTTCGACCGCTGCTTTTAAATATCATCTTCCATCGTCCTTTAAGGCAAAGATCAAATACTAGAATCGTCAGTTCGTTCATCTGGTCAGAATATGAAACATATTATTGCACTGGATTTGCTACATATCAAGAGTTATATTAAAAATATATATATATGTATGTATAGAAGCAAATTATATAGAAATTTATAAGAGCATTGTATATGAAATAATGACAACAATATTATTAGTTTGTTTTATCCAAAGAAATTATGTTAAACATGTATAAATTTATGTATCAAATTGTTTATATAAAAATATGACAGCCATCTGGCTCAAAGAATTTCTCCGTTCCAAAGTCAAAAATCTTTCCACAGTTATTTAAGATTATATTTTGGGTTTGAAATCTTATAATGACGAATTCTGGTTACTGTTTTTAAAACTTAACGTAACCGGAACTATAGCGTGCCATTTATATTATGTCGACGTCGATAGCAAATCTGGCAAAATGCAGCAACTTCCAGCATTTCATGTTCCCAAAGTTAAGGTAATTTTTGTGATCATTTATAACGCTAGTTTTGCCCAAAGAATCTTCTTAAACTAATTTTTGAATAAAATAACACGAGTTGTATAAATGCATGGCCATTGTAAGTGAAAAAATTTGCCAGCTTAAAGCTAGAAATGGTGCATGAAATGTCATATCTTCCAGACTTTTTCAATCACTCAAAATGCATAGGTAAAATAACGCGACAGAGATATCTTAAATTGACTGGTTTGGTTTTTCATTGTTCGGATAAATTCTATGAGCCATATGCTTTCTATAAAAATATTGAAAGATTATATATTAGCTATATTATTAGTTTACAGTTAGAATGAAAAACAACACTTTTTAGCCGACATAAGTGATTATAAATAGTATAATTGTTGAAAAATGTACATATATTGTAAGTATAGCAAACGTTGATACAATAAATGCGTAAGTTATATGTATATATTAAGAATTTTAAAACATTTTCAAAATAAATGCATTATATATAAGATTGTTTTCGGAAAAAAGATAGCACTATATAAAGAGATCTACGTAATTATAAAATCATAATATTTGATATGTGTCTATGTGCTTTATTTTATCCATGTTGCAGCTACATGTCTATTGAATTTGTGCATAGATCACAGTAAATATACGAAATTTTACAAAAATAAAGACAATAAAGAGTAAACATAACGAATGTATATGAAATTAGTTCATTTTTCATTCATCCCATATCGCAAAACAAAGACTTAGTTGTGGTTACAAAAATAAATATTGCTGTGAATAGCCGTATTTGTCATGGTGAATGACAATTGAGTATTTCTTAACTGTTGAAAACAAGTAGCTAGCTATAAAATTGAATGACACGATGAATTTCGGCAGTCAACTCTAACATCTCTAACAAAATCATAGGTCCAAAATCTACTTCTATTTATAATGAAGACAAGTTACGAACGTCATTACACCCAATACACCAAAGCGAGGAGCTGACGTTTGAAAAAGGGACAAGTTAAAGCCAAGTTTTCTTGTCTCGTAACTCGTAAGATGAAGAATTGGCGTACTGGGCAAGTTGCTCAGTCTGTCTCGCTCATGAGCGCACACAAGGGTGCGTGTATGTGTGTGAAGGCGGGAAGGAAGCAGTCCCAGATTTTGTTAAATATGTAAAATTAGTTCAGAAAACGATAGAGAACAAAAATACATCTTTCCATTGCTCAAAATAACGGCCCATCAAAGGACGCATTTAACGCTTTGAACAGTCACATTTCCACAGGTTGTCCACAACAATTATACATCAGTTTTCATTTCAACGTTCTTTTGATTATGAGCTCCGTGAGCTTGAATCGAAGACTTTGATTTCGTTTTCTTAAAGAGTCCTGTTCAGATCGTTTTGCTTGTATGTACAACTAAATTGTGTGTTGGCTAATTTTGCCTTATGAGGGTTTGTCCAGAAGCATTTTAGTGAAGCAACGTCAAGCATGAGAATCAGTAGTTTCTCAAAAATATACTTTTTCATGTTTTTGTTGTATTAGCTACAAGTCAAAATCTGACTTCGACTGAGCTACACATTTCGGTCGTATTTTGTGGCTTACATTCCCTCTAGACTCGTGAGTTTTTTTGTTAAGTAATGATACTACAGAAATCGTTCTCAAAACGTTGAACACTCCAAAAAATGTTTGGAGACCTTCTCTCCTGGTGTCAGTTGGTCTTATACTAGTTAGTTTACTCGCCATACAAGCTCATTAGACATGTTTATAAAATCATATGATTTGTTAAAATTGAAAACAAACTTGATCTATAAAAACGTTACCGTTATAAAAATTGATTTAAAAGACACAAGCTACTTTGAATTACACATGGTTTTGTATACTGTGGAAATAGATTTTCCATTTACAACATTCAAAGATTTCTATACTTACCCAAGTCTTTAGAAAGTACAACCTCCTTGCAAAGTTTCGGCCCAATTCTACAATTAGTGAGCTTTTTGTTATGTTAAGGATTCCTTCGACATAAAACTAGCTATAGGAATACTCTAAATGGCCCTTGTTGGGAATTTATGCCTGGATTTTGCATGCCCAGAGCACCAGAGCACTGGTTGTTGGTTCTCAGAGTCACAGAGTAGAGTGGTCTATAAAGTGAATCAAAAGAACCAAAATGGAAGCACAGGAAAAAGAGCGCAAAGTCTTGTGGGAAATATGCAAATCTCGTTTCCAATCCGACTCACACATTCTGACGGTGAAGGTTTTGCCCGAATCCCTGGAGTAATGTCCGCTATTTTCTAAAGATTTTTGAGGGAAACGGGCAGTGTTTTTTTTTGAGTGCTCAAGCTTATTGCGAAGATGATTGGTGGTGTGTTTGTGTACAATCACAAAGGAGAAGTCCTTATTTCCCGAGTTTTCCGCGACGATATTGGGTGAGTCTTGCATGCATCGCACATCAAGATATTTTAACTTGAAAGGTGCTGTTATTAATGCCATAGCTGGTAATATTTAAACACTTCTTGTGTACAACTTTTTGTGTACGTCAAAATAGTTGACCTCTATATTTTGCTTATTGTGAGCTGGCGTAATGTTGTAGAATGGTTTTATTCAAAACTAAGGAAGTATCAAATAGAAATGTTTGAATTTTGTATTCCATTTCAACACGATTGTATCTGTAACAGCTAATCTCGCACATTTTGGTGAGTTTTTCTGTATTGTATTCTTACCATTTGTCTTTACAGCTTGCTTGAAGTACGTATTTTCATAATGTACAAAACGTAATGAACAAAACAAAGTTGTTTATTAGAGTTACATGTGGAAGGAGTATTGGTTTGGTGACAAAATATTTTGTACATTTTCTAAACACATTCAACGCTCATACAGGTTTTAACTTTTAACTGGAGAACAATGATGTGTCCTTGAATATCATTGCATTACACTAAAATATCTCCCTTAATATCACAGTTAACCCAATACCACACTAACATACCAAAATATCACACTGAATAATATTGGCAGTTTTTGTCAGACTGACAAGCAAAAAATTGGATTGTTCAATTTACGTTACTAATCTTATCTGTATGGAGGATAAGCATACCAAGAGAATTCAGATATTTTTGATATTTTTCAATTATTGTGCATATATACATAGTATACAGAAATCATAGTATACAGAAATCATAATTGGTTACGTAGACTGAAAGTGGGTGACCATTAAACTAATATCATGGACCACAAGTCAGTGAAAGAGATTTTTTTCTCGATGGTATAAATTTGAAAATAACCAATTGAATTTGTTCGAAAAGCTATTGATTATGCATCTTGTTTAAATGAATTGACTATTTATCAAAAAGTTTAGTGTTAAACCTGACTCACACTTGCTCCATTCGTTTGTGCATTATTGAATGAAGACATTGTCATCCACTCCTTGATTACATCTTTGAAAACAAAATTTATAAAGTTTTGCAAACTATTTTGATGTGGTTAGTCAATAGTTTAAAAAAATACCAGTGAAACAATTCACCAATTGAATGATTAGATGTTAACCAGCCAAGTTGTAAACACAAAACTGGATTGATTTTACTAGTCTAATTTTTAATTAACCCCGTAGTATTCAGTACTTTTTGAAGGTATTTAGTTGCAAAGTAATATGAACAACAGTTTTTCAGATCTGATGTGCTAAAGTTAATTTTGACTGATAAAGCTATGGCTTTCGTTTGCTTGCTTGTTGAGGAGAAAAACAGGAAAAGATTTTGTTCTCCATCTTCTGAAAGTTGTGAGTTGTGCTCTTTAGCAAGGTGTAAGATGTAAGAAAGTGATGGGCTGGAGGTGTATGAAGGTGAAGGGCTGGAGTTGAATGAACGTGAAGGGCTGAAGGTGTATGAAAGTAAAAGGCTGGAGATGTCTGAAGGTGAAGGGCTGAAGCTGTATGAAGGTGAAGGGCTGAAGCTGTATGAAGGTGAAGGGCTGAAGCTGTATGAAGATGAAGGGCTGAAGGTGTATGAAGGTGAATGAGTGGAGGTGTACAAAGACCGGAGGTGTATAATTCATGGTCAAAGGTCGTTTGTGTAAATTTCTGTACTTTCAATTGTCATTTGTGTAAAGTTCTGTATTTTCATGTATCAATTGTGTCAAGTTGTGTATCTTCATAATTACATCATTTGTCATTCCTTTTTCTCAAGACGAAACTGTATCGATGCATTTCGTGTCAACGTGATTCACGCACGTGGCTTGGTCCGTTCCCCTGTCACGAACATTGCTCGTACCAGTTTCTTTCATACGAAACGCGGCAATGTATGGATCACGGCCGTGACGAGGCAAAACGTCAATGCTGCCATGGTGTTCGAGTTCCTTTTTAAAGTTGTCGAGGTTATGCAATCATATTTTGGCAAACTAACGGAGGAAAACATTAAAAATAATTTTGTTCTTATTTATGAATTATTGGATGGTAAGTTCATTTACGTTGTTATGGAGCGCCTTCTCCAATGTACGATCTAACATAATGAAATACTGGATGTTACCAACGTTTATGTACGCTTTTAAATTTGCCTGGTACGAAGGGCTTGGAAAGTTAACCTGAAACCTTGTTTTCTATTGCCAACCATGTTCATTTATTTTTAGAATTACTTGTTGTATCCAACTTTATCACGATTGGTAATTTTTGTCAAAGTGTGTTGGCTGGAATTTTCCCGAACACATGTGCCATTTTTAAATTCCAATCATATGAAATCAAAGCACTTAAATATGATTTTGTTTTATTCACTTAAGAAATCTGTGACTATGGCTACCCCCAGAAGACCGATACGTCCATTTTGAAAACGTTCATCACTCAACAAGGAATAAAAACGCAAACTCGCGAAGAACAAGCCCAGATTACCAGTCAAGTGACCGGACAGATTGGCTGGAGACGCGAGGGAATCAAATATCGCCGCAACGAGTTGTTCCTTGACGTGTTGGAGTCTGTGAATTTATTGATGTCTCCTCAAGGTGCGTGCTTCTCAAATCTCCCTTCGTTGTGAACGTTTTGTAAAGTCAGTGAATAAGTGAACATAAATGATCTGGAATATAGATTTTGAAGTAGCTATGATTCTGCGTAATTATAAGTATGTTGTGATAGATATTTATGATTACGGTATCTTCAGCAAAATACATATAACGTACATTGTCCTGCCCTAGTTCACCTTGCTTTTCACTTTCTTAATATCATGTTTTGTCCATCGCAGCTCATTTTTCATGTAAATACTGTGTAAATGTGTTTTTATTGCTGTTTTGATATCTCAACTTTGGGGTATTGCATATTTACACACATTTCCTGCTGTGAGATGCGTGAACAAATCGTTTTTGTGCGCCTCTTGTCATTTAGTTGATTATATAGTGTTTGTGTGCAATCCTTTATCCTTGTCCTCAAATGACGCTATTTGCTCAGTTTGTTTTTCATTTCGATCAGGTCAGACATTGAGTGCGCACGTGAGTGGTCGTGTTGTTATGAAGAGTTACCTTTCTGGGATGCCCGAATGTAAGTTTGGAATGAATGATAAACTGTTGTTGGAAAAACAAGCGAAGCCATCAACATCCGAATCTGCTGCAGCTGCTGAAGCTAGCTCGAAAAGGTACATTAACGGATAAACAGTGTTTTGAAGTAGTTCCCTCAACTGTTCGGCGATGCTCTTCTTTTGGATAAGAAAGTTGTCTTATTTTTAAAACTGCTTCCCTTCGCCATAAGTTATTCTTATTCTAAAATTCGTGATGTTTAAAGAATATAAACATGTTCTTAGTTTGAAGAAGTAAAAGATGTTTACTGTGTATGTTCAGGCTTACATAAGCAAAATGTGGAGACATTAGGGAGAATTCGAGAGCTGATCAGTTGCACCTGCTTGAGATTTCTTACAAACGTCTCCGAGGTTTGCACAAGCCAGTGCAAACACGAAAAACATCTTTTATTTCTTTTCTGAAACAACACTAATGCGAAACTGACAAATTTTAAATAAATGTTTTAATTTTGCTCTAAAATGTATTCATGATTGATTTGCAAGTGTTCTTTGATTATTTGAACTTAGATCTGTTTGCACACGTTCATGCAAACACTGATATTGACCAACCACCGCCCGCGTTTTATTGTGTTATTTTATGAATTGTTTTCATTAACACGTAAGGTATTCAAGCTTAAGATTTAAAGGTGTATTTTTTACCAGGGTCGCTGAAAGCAGCCGCAAATCAATGATGATTAGTAGGAATGGAAAATAGGGCATTTCTACAATTTATGTGCATCATAAATATTTGCTTGTTTGCAAGTGTCTTTCGCCCTTTTTGCTCGTTAATTATAAAATAAGAACAATACAGTGTGTGCGCAGATTGGTCAACAGCTGAATTTGAATTCGCTATACAAACCGATAAAGTACCTGAATCAATCAAATAGGATTTGCAAATCAGTCATGAATAGACGTTAGAGTAAAAATGAAAAAAAATTGACCCGGTGCAAAGCCTTGACCTTTGGTTTCGGTTATGGACTGATTTGCTCTTGAGTTCTCCCAAAGATATCCTCTGTTTGCATGTGTAAGCCTGCGAAAACACTGTAAACATCTTTTCGTAACCGGATCATGTTCTCATTTTCAGGAATACTTCAAGTAAGAGCGGAATTGCTATCGATGATTGTACTTTCCATCAGGTACTAATGTGCTGCATTTTATCATTTCCTAAATCTGTTATACACTGTCAAAGTTTCTTTGGCGATCGCAGAGGAAAGCAAAATATAAACTAGTTTTTGTCACTAAAATGTTCTTTGCCTTCCGTCTACACTTAAAATTTTTTCCTGTCCTTTGAAAGTAAAAGCTTTAGGTACGTGTCTGTGACGTAGCAAGCGGTCACGTTTTTTGTGCTGTGTAAATAATTCGGCTATGTCATTACACTTAGCATTGTCTCCACTCAGCACGTCTACACCTAGCTACGTCTACAACTACGGCTACGTCACTGCACCTACGGCTACACCTACACCTAAGTCACTACACCTACGGCTATGCCACTACACCCAGCTACATCTACACCTACGGATACGTCTGCTAAGTAGCAATATGATTTAAACCCAAACAGCATTGCAAGACTATTGACAATCGACATTAAACTTTGCCAACACTGCATTATGCGTGCCATTCAAATGTAGCGAAGTTTTTGTCGCTATTAGCGTTCTATGTCTACTGACCCACATCTCATTTCAACTTTTTAATGACTGCATCAAAATCTGTCGGTTTGCACAAACTCTGTAAACAAAATGAAGTCATTATCATCTTGACGTAAATATTCTGTTTATCATATAGCTCGAGTTGAGTATTTTTTTTTTGTTTAGTGTGTAAAGTTGAGTAAATTTGAAACGGAGAGAAGCATTAGTTTTGTTCCTCCTGATGGCGAGTTTGAATTAATGAGGTGAGTTTAACTAAATTGAAATCCGAGTTCGTCATTTGGTAGTATTTCCATGATATTCAAGTGATATCAACCATTTACTTTTTCTTCTTTACCTGGATGTTTAATGTGTTGCTTTATTTTTCTATTAATTTTCATTTTATGAGACGTCGAAGGACTTACGACGTAAAATGATTTCCTTCACTGGAATTGTTGTTATTTTCACATGGCATTGAAAATTATTTGTAGATGACGTAACTTTTATCTGTAGATGACGTAATTTTTAATGTGATAACTGAAGACACAAAAAGTAGTATGGCGAAATCTTCGTCGAGATTTTCAAGCGGTTTATAAACTGTTTTCGCTCGAATTATTGAGAGTAAGAACGAATATAAAATGCTGAAATGGCTTAACTGTTGGAGAATTTTCAACGAATGTTTACGGGAAAAGACGAAGGCGAACTGCTAAGATTATTTTACTTCGAATCACAGAAAACTTTATTGCTTCCGTACGAAATAGTTTGAAAGCTTCGGCATATATAATTGTATTATGCAATTATAAAACAATTATTGCATCGGTTTTGAAAATCATTCTCGATGTCATGCTTAACCTCCTCCAATAATTAACAACGTTATTCTTCAGATATCGTACGACCAAAGACATCAGTCTCCCATTCCGTGTAATACCCTTAGTGCGTGAGGTTGGCAAAACTAGAATGGAGGTGAAAGTCGTCCTTAAATCCAACTTCAAACCATCCATTTTGGGACAGAAGATTGAGGTCAGTGACTGTTTATCTTACGATTCCAACCCAACATCAGTTTTATAACCCACAGCAAGCATCAAGATATGAACCAAAAATCCCCAATTCATCTCCAGATGCTGACACGAGAATCTTACATAGTTTTGGCAGAACATGACATTTATATCACGAGCACGCTTGCCCATGTGATTCGCAAAAAAATCGCAGTTTAAATTTGTTTCGACAAAGTATTTCATAATTAAATGGATTCATTTTCTCCCAATACATGCAGAGTTAATGTGATCGTAAGAATTGTGGAAACTGAGAAAAATATTTTCATTTGCGGTGACGTTCCCTTTTAATGTCGAGAAACAAGCAATAGCTCTGCAGATAAATAAACCGGTTTTTGTTTAGCTTCAGCCACGTTTGATGATTATTATTAAGGAATGAGTTTGCGCGCTTGTGTTTACTTCTAGTAATGAGTCTCCGTGATATCAAATAGCACAGAATATCCACAGATTACAAACTGAGACAACGTCTGTCTATTTATTCAATGAAGAAAATGGCCGCAAAGATCATTTGCATTGTGGTTGACAATGATTCTTTAAAATGTTCTTCTGGGCCGTTCCCTTCTTGTTAGCTCCTGCTTTTTGTCGTTGGAATCAGACATTTCTACAAATATCATTGTTTAGTGTGTTAACGTAAATTTTTTGATTTGTTAGATTCGCATTCCAACACCCCCAACAACAGCTGGAGTTCAGGTCGTATGTATGAAAGGCAGAGCTAAATTCAAGTCTAGCGAGAACGCGATTGTTTGGAAGTAAGTACCGTATCTCGTTATTAAATAAAACAAGACGTCCATCGGGCCCCGTTCTCTCGGCTTACTCGAGAAAAGTGTCACAGTGTAGTGGATATACGTACAGTAAGTCATCTTCGTATGCAATTTTTATGCTAACTTCTACACCGTTAGCCATTTTTATTATTTCTGTTTGTCAAAAAAGGCAATTGACTGACTGCTGTTAGCCATTTTTATCATTCTTATTGGTCAAAAAAGCAGTTGACTTGCAACCAATATGGTTATCACATGCGTAATAAGATATGCGTGGCACGAAAAAATTCAATGGAGTGGCCCTACTGTATGTTCTCTATACTGTGACAGTGTTAAGTTATATTTGCGTATTACGATAGTTGCCAAACAGCACAACGAATTCACGGAGATGCTCACTCGTGAAACGATCCAAGAAAGATTTTGATTGGTTTAAGGATTTCGTGTCAGTCACGCGTGATTTATGTAATCACGCGACTGTACGAGAAAATCCGATATCTAAACTTGGGCCTTACCTTACCTTAATTTTTTTGACAAGAGTTCCCAAAAACCGATACAACAAGACTTCTTCTGCTCTTCCAATTTTAATTAAGAAGTTGGAAGCAGCTTCGTAAGTTCAACATGGTATGATTGACGCCAGTTGATAGTTTCGTTCTTAAGTCAAAATATTTGACGAACCAAGAAAGATATTGCCTGCTGTGAAAATTTCGGCGTGAAGAAATCATTGTTGAAATCTTCCATTGCTTATAAAATATTTGGATTGCATATGATATATTTGGATTGCATTGCAAATGATATATTTGGACGATTTTGACTGCAGGATCAAGCGAATGGCTGGAATGAAGGAATCCCAAATAAGCGCCGAGATTGAGCTTATGCCAGCGAAGGAAGGCAAGAAATGGGCGAGACCACCAATATCGCTTAATTTCGAGGTATTTGTTATTCCTTTTAGTGATAAAATCGGCAACGTTTTATTCAGGGCCGGATTATCTGTGTGGATGGAGGGGGGTGCGCACCCCTCAAGAAATATTATAAGATGGTATTACTTACTGTAGACTGTGGACTATTATTATAACGGTACGAGAGGCTATTTAATTGTACAGTAAGACTGAAAAGTGGAACTTCTCATTTCAAAGGCAATTACATATTTTGTACTACCATCATTTGTAATTGAGTATTACCTTGCACATTTCTATTTAAACATTAAAAATGAAATAAATAAGTATGCATTCATTAGCAAAAACATATGCATTTTTTGAAAAGCTAATTGCACTTTCTTTGCGCACGGCTCGCTAATCTGTAAGCCTAAAAATCCATAATAGCTCGAGGCCCTTGCAACTTTAGCTAGGATAACGATGCTCCCCTCTCCTTGAAAAATCTGCACACCCCCTGTCAAATGAGCAATGATCCACCCCTGGTTTGATTAAGATATCTTTTATAACTGTAAAGATGTTAAGTACTTTGATGCCATTGAAAAGTAACCATGAGACAAATTTTTGTCAATATAGATTTTGTGCACGACTTGGATGTATCATTATATTTTTTACTGCACAATTAAGCCCGAATTACTATAAAATCTTTTGAGTGAAACCAGAAAATTGTTTAAGCAAAAGGACCTTCTTCGCCGTAACACGATTGCAACCTACGCTTCTTAATAGTAATTTTGAACATCCTATCCAAAACCATTAGTCCAAAGACAAGTTCTGTTGACAAATTGCTAGAACTCAAAACAAACCAATGATCATTTTGTCTAGGTTCCGTTCGCTTGTTCTGGCCTCAAGGTGCGCTACCTCAAAGTCTTCGAACACAAGTTGAATTACAGTGATCATGACGTCATCAAGTGGGTGAGGTACATATCTCGCAGTGGGCTGTACGAGACTAGATGTTGATATCAGTCAAACTAAAATTCATTCAATCACGATATAGTGAGGTCTATCATTGAAAGATAGACAAGCATTTTACGTTTATGCTATATTTACAATTCTACTCTTTCATTACTTAGTAATATAGTGTGTAATAAGCAACATGAGCCGTGACCGTTCATCGTGTTTCTCGCGCTTCTCGTTCGAAGATCAACTTGCACTCTGAGATACGGTTATATTGGCACGTTGTTTTATTTTTTGAGCGTAAATCTTCATCATAAAAAGCATAGGCTGATATGTGCTTTGCGAAAAGCACGGATGAAAATCACACGTGGAAAACGGGTAGTTCTAAAGTTTTTTTCTTGCTGTCCGTATATAAATTTCTCGCACAAAACAGGGAGCTGTTGCAACCAATCTTCCCAAAGCTTGACATTTGTTACTTGTCCAAGCAACTAATACAGCCATCATTACATTGCCTTAAAAGGCCTTGTTACTTACAGTAGCCTAATCTGTAATGAATGCTTAATTACTTAAAGCTCTTGTGGTCCATCCATCGTGGTGGTTAGATAGGACTCTAGTCAAGCTGTGGATGAAACAACAAAATGTGCTTCATATAACCTACACTACTCATCACACCGCTTCATTATCGGGCTCGCGAGAGTGTGGGAGAAAACAAATAGAAATCCCCTGTAAACACTAGATGTACATATCAATCGATATGTAGAGTCTATGGCATTGCATAAAAAATGAAATCCCCATTGAACACTAGATGTGCATGTCAACCGATTTATAGAGTCTATGGGATTGCATGAATTGAAATCCCCATTGAAATCTAGATGTACATATCAACCGATTTATAGAGTCTATGGCATTGTATGAATTGAAATCCCCATTGAACACTACTAGATGTACATGTCAACCGATTTATGTACCGAATGACAAATTTCACGATTCTGTCCATCATCAAAAATATTATCTTATCGAAATCGTCACGAACGACTTGTACGTGCGGCTCCGTTGCTAACGATAAATTGACTCAAAAACTTGCCATTCAGTGATGCAGTATCGTTATAAGCATGGGCGAATCCGGGAAACCTCGACTGTTTGTCAATAATTTGCGACGTCGTACAAAATACAATGTTGCGTTTGCGTCATGTATGACGTCATATTTGACCTAATGTACTCGACAAGAACTTTTTAAACTGTTATTGGTAACAACTAATAACTAAACAACAAATTAGATTACATCCTATGACATAACTTAGTCCGATAAACTTTGGCACTTAAATTTAGCTTCATGCCATCAAAATAACTAGTTCAGAATTTTGTCAAACGCTCTGCTTTTTTGTCCCTCTTTGAGAACCGTTATTGGAACCAATGGATGTTTGCTGCTTTGAAGATATTTCTACAATGGCAGAAGACGGTTTGAAGTGTATATGACCGTAGGTAGCACAGAAATCTTTTGTGTTTATGTTTTTTATGCAATTGATTTATGAAAATAGTAAATGCATTCCTTGATGTTTGTCACGCGCGTGATATCGCGTGACCCCACGTATGTAGGGTTTTAACCGTTTGACATTTTGACTGTTCAGACCAGTACATACGTGGAAGTCTCACGAGATCGCGTGCGTTACAAACCTTGCACGTGAATGAAGCATGTATTTTATAACATAAATCAATTTATAAAATACCGAAACACAAACACAAACAGATTTCACGGCCGCCTATGATATGGAAATGAAATTTTGTGATTGTCTTAGATAAAAGATCTCCCAAAACTTTAATGGATTTATGGAAGCGATTAGAAAATTTACGTTCACTTATTTTCTTGTTTTACATTTTCGTTACTCAGTAAGAAATGAGCAAATTGGCCTGATAGTAGGTATATGAGCAGTTTACATAACAATATAGTTTCAAAGTCGATGGTTTAAACCCAGGAGTATCGTTACATGTTTGTAGATGTAGATCGTCCAGATTAGTAAAGTCTTGAGAAGGAATGTTGGTGTTGATGTTGACTGACGTTTCGACCACAGCCGTGTATTTGTAAGAGTTGGGACACTTTTTGTTCTCTACATTTTGCATTATAATCAAGGTGATTGGGCAAATATGGTCACATGGGTATCTAGCCGCCATTTTTGTTCTAAAAGCTCAAATTACAACCATTTTTTACATAGGAAATAAATTATAAATAAATTTACAACAATTTTATGTTGCGTTATAATGGTGGCAATCAAAGCGGCAAAGAATAGAAACATACGCGTTCCCTTCTGGCAAAAGCAGTATTAATGGCGTATAAATTACATCTACTGCATTAAATAAATGTTTTTCTATTATGACATCCATAAACAAATGAATTCCAAAGGTAACGATCATTGTCTATTCATGAATAGGAAAACACAACAGAAAATTTGTCTTTCCAACATTTAATGCTCTATATTGCTGGCTTTTAGACAAAAATGGCGGACGTTCGGCAATTTACTTCCGGTGTCCCAACTCTTTCGTATGTATGGCTCTGGTTTCGACAACCTTAGCGGTAGTCATCTTCAGAGTCAAGTGAAGTGAAGTGATGTAGTTTTGATAAAAAAAAAACAAGCAGGTTTGTTATGCTACAACAAAATAAAACATGATTTTAAGATATGTACATCGGGAAACGACGGAACCAAAACTTTATAATAATTCCACAAGTAAGCATGCTGACATTGATGCTACTCTAAAGTAAGTCATTTATAGTTTTAGGAGATCTTTCATTCAAGACAATAAAATATTTGGTATCGTAGGCACTTCAAGAGTTTCATAAGAGCAATATTAGAGTTAAGGTCTGAACTGCTTTAAAATGCGTCAACTTACATGAGCATAGGTCAAACCATTCTTCTTTTCAGCATCACTCGCTTGTTTTCCAACCCAAACAAAAACTTCTTTGCCCGTGTCGGCAATAAACACTAGTTTGAATGAAGAAACAACCTTCATTGTTATTTCACGAAGGTATAGCTGATATTTTGATACGCTACCTAGACCACACATTTCTCAATAATGGTCGCCGTAACATTTTAATTGTCCTTCAGTTTTTGTGGGCAAGATTTAAAGTGCCTGTATCAACTTTAGGGAAATAATCAATTTAAATAGAGTTGACCATTTTAAGAATATTTGCAATATATTTTATAACACGGAAATTTGATCTTCCTTGACGTTTTTTGCGTCAAAGTTTGCTTTTTTGTGTTTGACCGTGAGGTGCTTTGAATGGGTCGTATCAGTGAACTCCATATATATATATATATCTGGAATGATAACGACAATACATTTTATAGATATAAAATTGAAGCCAAAGTCCTAGTCTCTTGCGCGGTTTGTACGTCAGTTCCAGTCCTTCAAAGTCGAATATTCTCGCGGTTTGTACGTCAGTTTCATTCCCCTGAGTGCCAAACATACACGGCCAGTATAAATTTGAATACAAATTGCAAAAGCATAAACATATAAACAACATCACGACAAACAACACACGAGGCCAACTCTTCGCAAAAGGTTATTTTTTACAGCTGAAACTTTACTACAGTGAGTTCGTTGTTACTTACAACTTAAAACTAGGAAAAGCCAACTGAAATTACACTGTATGCTAAAAAGACAATACAATAAGAAAATATGACGAGAAAATATTCAAGCAAAAATTTTTCTTACATCGGAAGGTAAATTTTCAAATGGTGTCAGACAGTGTTTGTCTTTTTTTGTCATTTCAGTGCATTTAAAGATTTGTTTTTCCGAAGAAAAAAGAAACTTGAATATCCAGTTTCATAAAAAATATTGAGTCTATAACTCACATTTTTACTTTTTACAGAGCGATTGTATTTTTCATCGATTTTGATAGTGCTTGAAATACTAAATGGTTGTCATCTCGATATCAATAATTGAATATCCTTAAAGACTTTGATATGTTTTAAAGGAAAACCGCAGCGTAAGAGCAGATCGACTAAGTTCACCTCATCTTGCTTCTCGATTTATCACTTTGATTCACTTTCCGTGAACCTTTTCATTCCAAAAATTTCGTTATTTTTACGCTCTGATCAAGATCCGAACTCTATCATTACTAAGGTACAAATGATTTAAAAAATTAAAAGGAACACGCGAGAGACTCGAGCCTGACGTGTGATGACGAATAATGACGACAAATATTTTTTTGGCTTCGGTTATCATTCCAGTTATTCAAATGTCGAGTTCACTGGGTGTATTCGCCAACGTGACATACATTGGAGAACATGGTTATTTTTAACACTATAGAAATGTAGTGTGATTCAATAGTAAAGTACACAATATAACTCAAGTTTGATAAAAAATAAATTTCTTGACTTTGCTACAAATTTTACTATAAAGTACAGCGTTAAAAAGCAGCGTGTTCTCCAATCTACGTCACGTCAATTAAACTAGACCCAGTCACAGCATCTCACGGTCAAACACGAAAAAGCCAACTTTGACGCCCAGAAAGTCAAGGAAATTCAAGTTTTCGTCTTTATATATTAAATATGTTGCAAATGTTCTTAAAATGTCCAACTTTATCTAAATATATAATTTCCTTGAGGGTTAAATAGGCACTTTACAACTTCACAATACATAGAACTTTGCAAGTAACATACCGTATAGTCTCAAAAGTAGCCGCCCGGGCTACTTTCGCAATTACCGGCCTCAAGGAGCGGCTACTTTCAGTAAGGGGGAGGGGCGGGAGTGCGCTTAGTTTCGAATTGTGATTTTCAGCATCAGAACTAACTTCAATGTTGATTTCTTAAAACATGTTTTACAAACGAGATTTTTCGATGCGGTTAAAGATGTGTACGGTTGCGGTAGTTGACACAAATGTACTTGTTGAAGTTTTATTTGAACAATGAAGTACAAATGTTGTAAAGCTCTTGAAAATTTTATTAAGAGAGCGGTTGATTTTGCGATCCGTTTGTAAATATTAAAAAAAGAGGGCTAGTACTATTTTCAAGGCAGCGATTACTTTCAAAGAAGGCTACTTTCGAGACTCTACGGATTAAGCCAATATACAAGCACTTGTTATGACGTCACTGATTGTGAGACATTAAATCGGACATGAAAATTGGAATTCAATGCGTACCATCGTCGCTCTTCAAAACGTCACTGTGAAAAAGTCCTTCCTTTACAACTGTCATTGCTAAACTTCCATTTTCATCACTCAGTCTTGTTAGGAAAAAAGAAAACTTGTGTGTAAATTAACTGCCATTTCTAAACCAAAGTCTTGCAGCGGACAATTTATCAAGAAATATGTAAAATAAAACATACTCCAACTTGTAAACTCAAGATTCGAGTTTTATATGCAAGAGAGCAGATCTAAAAGCAAACTCTCGACTTCGTTTTGCTTGATAATGACTTTGAAGTAAAGTCGAAATATTGCTTTTAAATCTTGTATCTTGTTGGCAAAACTCGAATCTTGAGTTTACAAGATGATGTTTTTGGAGTGTGTTTTATGTTATATTTCTAAACATGTTCTTTCTGTAGTCTTTAAAACTCAAATGCATTTCATAATCTCAGCGCACAAAAATGAGAAGGCTAAGATATCTTTGTTTTACCTCAGTAATTTTGGTGAGAAGCTGTCGGAATCATCCGCTTCATCCTGTGAAGAGTTTAAAATATTAATAATAGACAATAGAGTTTATTGCAAAGCTATGCAAGTCATTGTTGAACGTTGGTCAATTAACTTCAACCCGTAGCAACTTTTCACGTGTGCGCAACTCGCAGGAGAACGTTCCGCTTGTTGGCATAGCGGGTTTGGACAAAGGTGCGACAGGACCGTCGGAGCGTCGATAAATGAGGGCTCATTTAATATATGACTTATGTATAATCCATAAAAAACAATCGATTTCAGAGTAATCAGATGTGTACCGGGAAACAGTCGAGGTCGAATGACGGATTTGCAGCCTCCCTCGATAATTAGGGGACAGGCAGTATTCGTATATGCATGATACTGTATTCAGCTCCTTGTAATCCATAGTTGACTGCGGATTATATCGAGCGTATATGAAAACGGCCCTGTCCCCTTTTGACAGAAAGTCCATTTTCAGGGGGTGTGGCAAATCACAGCTGTACACCAGAAATTTTCTCGCGATTTCGGCTCCGTCGCTACGCTGACTAAATTTTTAAAAATAAATCCATTTACCGAACTGTCGGTTTCGTCACCACCTTCAGCGAGCAACTCGTATACTTCGTGATTTTCGCTACTTTCTTCATCTACAAATTGACGTCATAGTGGCGGAGTTAAATTAACTGTGATATAGCTACACATGCTATTGTTGATATGGGGGGAGGGGGAGATTTTTTTTCCAGTACACCTGCTTACCGATTGTTTCGACTTTTGGTTTTCCTCCTCTTTCGGACTAAACATGATAAATCTTATTTGAACACGTGTGTAAAAGAGTATTTTCAATAAATAGACAGAAACAATTTCAATATATGACTAGGATAAAAACATGCACATTTTTTGAGCGTAGTTGGCTTAACGATATTTTCAAACTGTTTTTTTTTAAGTTTTTCATTTCAAAAATTGTTTACAAACCTTCAATTGTTGTAAATATTGAACAGCTTTGAATTTTTCGTCCTTACTGCATATTTTCCCGTTCCACTAAAACGCAATTGAATTTTCACATCTGCTCAAAACTGCAGCATTGATTGTATGAAAAAATTTAGATTTGCATTCTATGCAAAACTTATGTTAAACATATAGCGTGTTCCTTTCTGTTGTACGCATGCGCGTACCTGATAAATTTCCAGTCCGAAATCCAGAATGAAAACGTCGTTTGAATTCAAATTTGAGCGATTTGCTGGCATTTCTTTCAATGTGACCGTTCTCTACGTTTTTGTCGAAAAAATACAGGTTACAGATTTATATACAGACTGCAGCTTGAGTTCGCATTTTATTCACTTAGCTAATAAAATTAAGCTTCGAAGGAAAGCCATATTGTATTTTTATAGCTTCGTAGTTGTTTAGAAATTGACTTTAATCTTAAGAAAGGAATATGTGTCCGTGAAGACAATTTTGATTTATTGTAGCCATATAGGCTTTTGCTAGATATTTTTTCCGTTCCTCAGAAAAAACACGTTGCCATTATAACGTTAATTTAGGTACCTTTTCCTTTTTGAAACGAAGAAGTCGCAGTTTGTATTCCTGTGGTTTGACATGTCTGAATCCACTCTCGTAACTATATTGAATGAAATACTTTTCCTTAATTATAGCGTTTAGGATACGTTCTCAATGAATTTCTTGTTGCTTTGACTGGGTTTAGTTCGCCGACGTGACGTACATTGCAGAACATGCTGCTTTTTAACGCTATAGAATTACAGTGTGGTTCAATAACTAAGTGCGTAATATAACTCAACTTTAATAAAAAATAAATTTTTGACTTTGCTGCAAATTTACTATAAACTATAGCGTAAAAGCAGCCTGTTTCCAACGTATGTCACGTCCGGTGAACTGGACCCAGTCACAACAGCTCACGGTCAAACACAAAAAAAGCCAACTTTTACTCCGAGAAAGTCAAAGAAGAATAAATTTTCGTCTTATAAAATATATTGTAAATGCTTTTAAAATGGTCAACTCTATGTAAAAAGATAATTTCCCTGAGGGTGATATAGTCACTTTCTCCCTTATGTGGGCGGGCTACAATATAGCTTTGTAACAATACGAAACAAAGTGAAACTCAATTGACAAGAAATTTTGCGAGGTAAATTATTAAAGCAGAAAAAAACAACATGTATAGCTACTTACCCCCCTTCCAGTAAAAGGAAATAATCAAAGTATGATTTGAACAGCTCGCTTTCGTGATTCATTACCTCGCGATGCTGAACGGGTTTGTCGTCTAGCTGAAGTGTGAATTATTTTGCTTAAAAGACAATTACCTCCAATACATTAGAGTTTCTTGATCTGAAATCTGCGTGAGGTCTGTATACCTCCTGCATCTTACATTCATGTTTTTGTTCAAAATTTTGAACTTCTTAACGAATGTTGTAGTATGATTAGGTATTGAGAAATTCGAAAAAAGGGAATTTCTTGCCGTGTGCTTTAAAGCTTTGTTTTGAAATATGAAATACCAGAGTATCAAGCTCCACTGTCTTGTAAGCTGCCGCGCCATATTCATCTTGAGTTGAATACTGCCCGATCCAAAAGTGGACATCGTACAATAATTCCTATAAATGAAAAGGTACATGTTATGTGTTGTATGCAATAAAGTATATGCTATTTGGTATATTTTTTATGTTATATGCTATATGTCATATCATGTATGTTATATGTCATTTATAAAATAAACACAATGAAAAGCGTGCGCTGATTGGACTAGAGCTGAGTTTGCATTAGCCAGTGCAAAACACATCTGAGCTCAACCAATCAAATAAATCAAAACAATCAATCAGTCAGGGAGAATTGCAAATCGATCATAAATAAATTTTAGAGGAAAATTAAAATGTTCGTCATTTTTCGCATTTTGTTATTTTATAAAGGAAATAAAGATGTTTTTTGTGTTTGCCTCGACCTTCGGTCTCGGGCTTACACTGATCTGCTCTCGAGTTCTCCAAAGGATGTCCTCGATTTGCATAAGCCTGACTATGCAAATACAGTAAACATATTTTATTTCTTAAATGTTGCATGTTTAATGTTATATGTCATATGTTGTATGTTATATGTTATATGTCATATGTTGCACATTACATGTTATATGTTATATGTCATGTTGCACGTTACATGTTGTATGTTATATGTCATGTTGTATGTCATATGTTGTATGTTAGATGCAATAAGTTGTAGTTACATGTTGTATGTTATATGTCATATGTTGTATGTTATATGTTGTATGTCATATATTGTATGTTATATGTCATATGTTGTATGTTATATGTTTTATGGTACATGTTGTATGTTATATGTTATATGTCATATGTTGTATGTTATATGTTGTATGTCATATGTTCTATGTCATATGTTGTATGTTATATGTTATATGTCGTATGTTATATGTTGTATGTTATATGTTGTATGTCATATGTTGTATGTCATATGTTGTATGTTATATGTCATATGTCGTAAGTCGTATGTTATATGTTGTATGTCATATGTTGTATGTTACATGTTGTATGTCATATGTCATATTCTGTATGTTATATGTTGTATGTTTTATGGTACATGTTATAGATGACGTTTTCGTCAAAGTTATTGTTACATAAAATCGTCGTGTGCAAATGGATGACAAACATGTCAATTGTAATCAAATTATTTTTAATCGAAATTGTTTTCTAAGCCACATCAATGACAACTTGACTTATGGATATAAGCACCACTTTTGGCCTTCTACATTTTGTCTATGGTTAGCGAAATCTTTTTTTGTAACTTACATCGCTATCAGGCTTCTTGTAAGTGTTGAGGACGATGTAGGAATCACCGTTAAAGAATTTTCCATAATCTTCGGGTTCGTGATGTGTTACCTATCCAAATAAAAAAATCAAATTGATTTCTCAAGTTATGACCGGATTCGCAATGAGACAATAGAGAGCTTTAGCAAGAGTACGACTACGACAACGAGTACGAAGTTTGACCGTGTAAAGGAATGGCACGAGTAAGTTTGTTGTCGTTGTCGCTTCGTCAAAATTTAGTTTTAGCTGTAAGCAACAGAACGAGCCTTTTTATTTTGTAAAACACCAAAGTTTGCTAAGCAGCTACGGATCTATTTGTCAATAATGATATCAACAAATCGGTAATACTGATTTTGCAAGAATATAGAATTCTTTAGAGTGAAAAATCTTCACTATTTTAAGTTTTATGTACGATAAATTTGTACTATTTTATTGTTTGTTTATCTTTCACTTTGCGTACGAAATACATGAAAGTTTTGCAGTTCATATTTTCCTTTTCAATGTACATCTGCGCTCAAAAAAGTTCTAAATTAAAGCCTGGATGCTCAAAAATAGTACTGTAAACTAATTTCTTACAGAATGAAGAAATATATCTACTTTATTTGCTTAAAAAGACATCGTAGTCGCGACTACGAATTTTTTACAAAACATCGTACTCAGATTAATGACGGCTATGTGTTTTTGTTGTCACAACAATGTTTTCGCTCTAAAATGACGTAAATCATACTCGTTGTCGTACTCGTCTTTGCTAAAGCTCCCTAATAAAGTGATTTAGCAACCACGACGTTTCGTCTAAGACGTCGTGAAAATGGCGTGCATGCGCCTTTTACTTCCGATTCAATTAACGACGGCAGTTGTGTTGATGACGACGACATGAAAACATACAATTTGACGGCTGAAACAAACTTATTTTTAAACAAAAATAAGAAAATATCCTTGATATTTGCATGTTAAAAGATTATATAGGCCTACGTATATTCATTTAAGAAAAAACTGCGAATATTTTGTTTCCTAAAGCGAGAAAAACAAAAACAAATAAACAACCCGGGGTCTGCTTTAATTTCGGGGTTTCCTCGGAGTCAAAACAATTTTAGTCACAAAGCCGTATGCCGATGATTTTGCTTTTATTTATAATTTTATTGAAATGAATATACTGCAGCATATTTTTGATATCAAAAAATTAGTTTAAAATTATCGGAAAACAGGATTCAGCTGGAAAAATGCCGAAATGGATAAAACTTGTTTCATACTATCATTTGACGAAGTCCTACAAAAGGTTTGCTAAATCCTAAATACTTTACGACTTGGTGGCGCCCTAGACCCAGATCCCTCGTGAAAATTTATCGTCTTAGACGAAACGTCGTGTTTGCTAAATCACTCTAATTTCACAAAGTACGACTCCAAACTTTTACTGCCATAAATTTATCATCTTTACCTTAAATTGTTTTATACGCCATATCTGAAGCCCTGGTTTTTGACCAGCACCTTCCCAAGCTGACTCTGTTTTTGCAGATTCTTTTTTAACCTAAAAGTTGTGAAAAAGATAGTTTTTAGCATGAGCAGTCCTTGCTTACGCTTTTGCTGGAGGGCAGATTTGGTGGAGCACTTTTAGACAACATTAGCAACAACGCTTCACCTCCATTGGGATAAATCTGCCTGCCAGCAAAACGTAAACAAGTCAAGTCATCTACTGGACTTGGTCTGACCATAACAATGAGATTTAGTTTCCATGCAGCTTCGGCTTGCTACCCATTTATGCTGTTGTAAGTGTATAGATGAGTTAGATTGTTTGCGCTTGCTGTCAGGCAGATTTGGTCGAGTGCTTTTAGACGACAATAGCAACAACAGTTAACCTCCCTGAGATGAATCTGCCCATCAGAAAACTTTAGTAATCTCGTGCTCATCTATTGTAAACGTAAAATCTTTATTTAAACTGCGAGACTCATTGAGTTAATTGAAGCTGGTCTTATCTGGGGGCCTGGGGCAAAGACCATTTTATCCCAATGGCATGAATTTTGCAGTATACGCGATCGTAAATTTTGTGTACTTCTTTTGTATATTAGGGAAGGTGAAAGGTTGTAGAAGTTCCACCAGAATGGATGTGTGTGATCTCTTAGAGTAGCGTGGGAACGCTAAGTTCGTTACAAATGATAGTTTTTATCGTATACACCAGGCTGTATACTATAATTTTGTGAAGAATAAACATGTTAAATACATGCGCGCAAATTTCCTATGTACAATTATTTTACTTTTTTAAGGGGAATACAGGAAAGTGTAATTACAGTCGGTGTACAAAGAAAAGGACTGCAGCGTTTTCATCAAACAAACGGGAGCAATGAATTCGCTTTCACCGTCTTCCCCCTTACAACGCAAACAATTGCAGTATAATGTAACTTCAGCTGGTAAATATTAGTCATCCTTGGCCCACTTAACATACTCATAACGAATCTGAAAAGCTTAATTCGACTATAGTTTGTCGTATTCAATGAAACAGTTGGTTCATGGTTCTGTGATTTCTTCATAAAATTTCTTTCTGAAAAAACTGTCCAATACACCAAAAATCACTTCATTTATCTCCTCGTGTCCAACCTTTTGCTGCAACATAACGGCAAAACAAATCGACATTTTTCGCCGAAAATTTGGGAATTGCATATTTGTGAGTTGGGTATGACGTCATGATACTACTCGCTATCAATGTTGCTAGGCAACTTTGCACTAAAAATAGACGTGTAAAATTTAATTTCTCAAATTCGTTTAACTGAAAATATATCTGAACTAAGAAAGCCGAGCACAAATAACTGGTTGGCTTGTTAAACTGCTTACAAGTTTATTATTTATTTGCGTAAAATTTAAAACAAAAACTGGACCACAGACAAACATACTTAGACAGTCTCCATTCATTAATTTTCACACAGTAGAAATAATGTGTTATTAACCGACTGGAAAATGTCGAGTTTTCCTTAACCTTACGCAAACATTCTTTTTTAAAATCATGTATTAAATTTTACCTATCTGTTGATGAAGAAAAAACGACACATTTATGGCAGATTTGAATGAGTCTACAGATTTAATTGTTCGATAAATATTTACGCAAATCCAATGTGTTTCATGTCGACGACATGCTAGCAAAACTACCTTTTTTTCGCTGTCGGAGCCAAAAAGTGCTAAATTTGAGTCTTTCCAATCATACTTCTTTGCTTTTACCAACCCAGACATTTTTTATATTTTAATTGGAACTATTATTGTCACTGTTTAACTTTGTGTTGCTGTCAACATTAGTCCCGTCAGTCAACCACTAATGAGATCACATGATGTTTCAGAATAAGCAATTAGTTCATGGTTTCCTTGTTTGGATATGGCTTGAATGGCCTGCCCTCTTGTTATTTTACAATAAGCATCAAATGCCTTTCAAGTGTTCATGGATGGCCTATTGAAACAAATATAAGTGGAACGCTAACTTTCCCTGTAATCTTAAAGCCGCTTCCTCCCCAGTCTTTTCACGTAAGAAAAACACACAGCCAGATAAGTTCTTTCGTATTACACATCGTTAAAACTACTAATAACTACTTTATTTTAGGGAAACAATTCATTTTTAAGATCATTAAGCCAGGCTAAAAATTTTTGATTTGATAATGACTCATCGTTTGGAAATGATGACTGAAAGATCTATTTCTTTTGACAAAAAATGTTGCTACAGCCTCGCGTAATTTTTGTTCATCATCATGATGAAAAATTTGTTGTTATTATTCTGTGTTTCTATTTGACTGTTAGATTACCAGATTGAGATCTCTGTAAGGCGAAATTTTATGTGTCCGAATCAAGTTATCATGCATAAAATTGAATTGTTTTAGTAACATTATACTGGTAGTCATAAAAAATGTCGTTATACTTTTTCTTAATTTTTTGGTTTTATCACGACATATGTTGTTCATAACATTTGTTTTGTATCAAAAAGCGAATGACACTTCCTCAATGAATGTTTAGTTATTCCAATTGAATTTTTTTTTATTATGCATTTGGTGGCAATATTAGTCTTATCTATAATTGCTTTCAGAAGTAAACGATCAAGTTTACTGTCCGAAACTCTTAGTAAAACGCGAGACGGCAGGTTAGACAGCTATGTTTTTTCGCTATTCGCTATCTGTTGAAAATTATACATAGCTAGTAAAGCAGACAATCAAAATAAAGCATTTTCAATAGAATACTAGTTAACAATTAGATTGCTTGCTCTCAATTTCTCTGATGCGATAGTAGATGTCGGCAACGACGTCAGCAATAATGATTATGCCAACCATTTCTGAATACTAGTATGACGATTCTACTAAAACCATTATATTAACTGCTTATAGCGTTATGGAAACACGGGTTTTTTTGAGCATCCAACCAATCAGCACTGGTGTTACATTTCATTGAAAAAAAGGCCTTGTTAAGTACAAAGTGTTCTCCAATTATCTCAAAAAAAAAACATTATAAAACTCGTACAATATCACCACTAAAATGAATTATAAAATAAAAACAATAGAACGCGTGTGGTGATGGTCTATAGCTGTGTTTGCCTTAGCCTAGGCCAAACCGATCTGATCTCAATAAATTAAATCAATCAAAGAGAATTAGCAAAGCAAACACGAGTACATGTTAAAGAAAAAATTAAAACGCTTGTTTTAAATTTGTCTGTTTTACTATATTTTTATTTTATAAAAGAAGCAAAAGATGTTTTTCATGATTGCACAGGCTTATGAAAACCTCGGAAAAGTTTGTGAGAGCTTTCGAGCAGGAGCAACTCTCGACCTTCGCTCTCGGACTTGCACTGCTCTGCTCCAGGTCGACCGAAAATATACTTGATGTTGTAGCCATGCGTTGAAAGTTCTGTTTCAGAGCATTTGTTTCTCCAACTGAGAACAAGAACGTCATTGTCCGATTCTCGTCCTAAAGCTTGGGTACTAAGAAGATGTTCCGATAAGCATGAAGCCGTTTGTACAAGGTAAGCAAAACGGGTGGTAGAATCGGATTCGCTTTGCCATGATTTAGCTTTCCTGGCCATTCGCCGCAACTTATTTTGATGTCAAATATTTCAAGCCCAAATTTGACTCCACTTTTCTTTCTTGTCAAGTAATACAAAATGATGAGCAAAAAAACCGTCGAGAAAGAAGCAAAAATCTTTTTGAAGTCTACTACATTCATCACATTCGTTGAATCGTTAATGAAATATAATGTTGGACAATTCAATGCGCTGTACGTCATCAAGGCCGGACCAACGGAGGGGGACTACCTTTTGTAAAAATATACATGAAAATATTTCTGATTGGTTAAGAGCAGTGCAATTTGTCGTAAACACCAGGGCAAAAAGGCGAAACACCAGTGCAATTTACTTTCGATAAATGTCCTCCCGATGGTTACTCAAACAAAGAAGTGCCAAGAGCCAATCAAAATAAAACATTGTAAAAGCGGGAAAGTTAAATTATAATGTAAACAAAGCAATTACAATGGCGGGCATAAGTTTTAAGTAAATTTTCTTTGGTGAACGAGTTTGAAATTCACCGTTTTAAAGATGATTCTGGATATAAATATGAGCACTGCTAAAAGTAGATACCTAGTTCTAGCGGTGTGTGTAGAAGCTATGGTGTTGTGAAAAGTAATATCCGACGGAATTGAAATATAGGAGCCGGTCGATATTAATAACTTGCCGGCTGAAATGTACGTACGCTGAAGTTAAAAGTCAGCAGAATTTTGATAGTCTCTGAAAAACTCACTCGTGCTTGTTCTTTGCAAATTGCATTCGAAACCATGCTATTACATATACAAATAAGTCATTTGTTTTTGCTTTTCTTTAAGTGTGTGTGAGGGAGGGGTAGTTTTTTCGTCGCGAGAGGCTCGCGAGAAAGCTTGATCCCCCTCTTTATGTCATTTATGCAGTGACAATAATCTTGCATTCATTCATTAATTGAGTAGATTTTTACTCCTTCTGGATGATAATTTGCTAAATACTGCAATATATATGTTTAATATTTTTGAATAATTGACGCCATCAAGTTGTTACAACTTACAAATGCTCACATTGTATTGCGTACATTGCGGCCTGCAACACAAAGCAGACAAGTATTGATTGTACATTGAAATATTAGAAATAGCTACTGGAAATTGTTGTAGACAGAACCAGGGGCAAATCTGGGTTATGTACTAACCGTGTCCGTGAGCCTCCGCTAGGGGTCTGGGGGCATGCGCTCCCAGAAAATTTCATAAAATTTAACTCTCAGAAATGCGATTTCTGAAAGTATACAAGAAGGAATAAAGGAGAACCCTATCCATGTTCTGAACGGAAAATTCGTAAATTTTGATCAGTTTTAAATTTGGTCTGTAATTACTACTTCTTGTTTGCCAAATCTTACCATAATCAAATCAAAATAGTTTCATCCATCGTCATAATCATAGTAATGTTCATTGGTAGCAATAGAAAGATGAAGCACGTCATTTTTTGCAATAAAAAGTAAAAGAACAATACAATCCACTGCAAAAAACTAATGCACCATCTTTCTTTCTGTGTGCAAAAGTGAGCATGTATGGAACATGACAATACAAGCAATGTTCAAAGAGAATACCAAGTCTGGTAAAGAATCATTTCCAATTGGGTAGTATGATTGAATAATGCAGGACGTAACAGATGCCAATGAGAACATACACATCATTGATGAATACATAAAAACGTATGCATTATTCTTAGCTTCTTCCATAGCTGCTGCAATATGGTTGTGCTATTCACATACTGAAAGGGCAGTATCAGACAAGCACATGCAAATGCATTTTGAAAACATACCCCATCTTTATGAATTAATGGATGGTGAGCATAATATTCAGCATTCTAAAAAAATTCAGTGCTGGTAAGGCAACATAAAGTGATAAACTTTCATCCCCTACCAGTGAAATGGAACATGCATTGTACACCCAGTTCCCATCTGCCAGTGTACTAAACATAGAGAAGTTTTTGCAATATTCCAAAGAAAGAAAGTGATGAATACCAAACTTGCATTAACTTCCAAGCTACATAAAAATGATAAGAGTATTCTGTGTATATTATAAACACATATTTTGATAAATCAGAGAAAAGGTCATGAATAAGGTGTTTTAAGTGGACTTGGTTGATGATGTTGGTATAAAAATCCAAATAGTGAAAAATATTTGGTAGATTTCCTGCACTGTTGAGTGTCGAAACTATATAGGTAGTCTATCATAGCACTTTGATATCACATGAAAACACAGTGAAACCATATGTATAAAATAACACAAACACCAATTACTAAAACATACTTCATAACATCTATAATCATAAATAATTTTACTTTATTGGTAGACAATTTCCTTTGTAAGGTTAATGGTTAGGTTTCTTAGGTATATTATAGTTTTAAACACTGTAAAACACATAATTAATCAATTTATCATGCATTATTCAATTTTTTGCCAGACCAAGAAATGCATAATATAGTTAGCTAGAATCATGAATACAGAATACTATCATCATGTATCCTACCTTAAAACAATCGAAGATTTATAAATGTTTTAACATCAAATAATTAAAAAGTTTGAGTTATCACTTATTGAACAGGAGCCTTTGATTTCGATCGAACTCTCTGAATCTTAGGAAACTGTAGTTTTCTAAATTCTCACAGCTGCACTGTAATCTGTTTCAATACAAATTTCAATACCATGCAATCATTTTATAAATCATCAATGCGAATACCAATGCATGACTATTTTAATGCCAATACCAATCACATGAACAAGATGAATCATGAATACCAATATTGCAAAGACTACATAAATACCGACACAAATGACTGAATAAATGTCGATACCAATGACTATATGAATGCCAATGCCACTGAATATGTGAATGTCAATACAAATGACTATATGACAGCTGAATGTCAATGTAGCTCAAATTTGTAGCTCATTATAAAGTAATCTTGCTTAAATTAAAACGTTCTGACGATACAAAAAATTACTATACTTGTATATGACACGTGAAAACTTTGCTAAAAATTCAACAGTCCCAGCCGTACAAAATACTTCGTTCTTCAAACTGGTTGTGCAATACAAACCAATGAATCTGCATTTTTTAATTGACATCTAGATTCACGGGATGCAAAATTACGAACAATTTTTACTGTCTGACTTACGCTAAATGTCATTGTCTGTACACACTGCCTCAATAACTATACATCATTCATGGTTTTAAAACTGCATAGGTTTGGCACTTGATGTAAATGTAGGAATAGATAACACAACAGTTGAAATAGTCCTTGCGATATTCAAATAATTAGCATGATGCAAATGTTGCTACATGCAGTGCTATGTCATTGTCTACTCATTGATAACACACAATCAACGAAACTCAATGCATCTCCACGTCAACATTTAAATGGTTGAATATGCAAACACAAAATCTCGTTTGTATAAAACATCAAAATAACGTTGAATTGTTGGTTTACACCAACTGATTTTACAAAAATTGCTCATAGACGGTTTTTCAAACTATAGCCACGATAGTAACATATCCAGACTAAGTGAGGTTTTAAGCATTGCAAGGCATAATTAGTAAATCACTTGATTCACTTCAACGTTGAATAGTTGGTTTTTAAATAAGAAATATAAAAAGCCTTTGTTAAATAGTTAACAAAAAGTAAAGTCATAGTTGTGTGATACTCTATAAATCCTAAATAATAAATATGTTATGCAATTACTTCAGTCTGAACATCACAAAGACTTTGCTTTTGTCAATTCTTTTCTTTTCTATAATCTAAAAATTTTGCAGTGCTATGCGTAAATGCTGTTTCTTTCAGCAAATAACAGCGGGAAAAATACCTCATAACAACCCTTGCGTCACATTTTTGACGACAAAACCCCTTAAATTTAATTTACCTGTATAGTTCAGTAGGGGAAAGTGTTAGTTCTGGGCTGTGGCAATTATTTGGAATCTAATATAAAATGCCTGGACGTGAAGAAACATAAATTGGATTTTGGGAGTAATCTGTGCTTTGTGCGTTGGCGTCTTGCTGCATCAGTATGGTAAGGTATATTTTGTTTGGTTATTTTCAAATTTTAAATCACCGAGATTCGTTTTCTGCATGTGAACACATCACATGCTAACTGATCTGATATTAGCAGATCTGATCTGTATGTCCGTCTCAATTGTAGCCTTTAGCCACGTTGCTTGACGCATTTAAAAGTTAAAACTGAATTCAGCACTGGAATATAGACAACCACAGGGGCTGGCGTTTGGCAAATTGGAGAACGACGCAATAAGAACGATCAATTATATAAAATGGATTTCATTTATATTGAAAGTTTAGGTTTCATACCCTTGACTATGAACAGTGAATGATATTGATAACTGACATTATGGAAGCGTCGATGTTAATGAAGACGTTAAATAAAATTCCTATACACAAAAATAGAGTAATCATCCTTAATATTTGTATCTTAAAAGATTTTATAGGCCTACATGTATTTGTTTAGGTAAAAACTGCGAATGTTCTGTTTGTTTCCTAAAGCTAAAAATACTACGTGGGTCTGCCTTAATTTAAGGGGCTCCTCGGAGTCAAAACAATTTTAGTCACAAAGCCGTATGTCAATGATTTTCCTTTTATTTATATATTTATTTAAATAAATATACTACAGTTTAATTCTAATATCAAAAAATTAGTTATGATAATAGTTACATAAAATAGAAAAAACGTGCATGGGGAAAATGCCGAAATGGATGAAACTTGTTTCATGCATGCTATTCTTTGATGACGTCATAAATGGTCTGCTAAGTCCACTGAACTCTAATAGAGATAAGCCTTTCTGTAATAGAAAAGCCTAATGTTTTGTTTTGAGGCAAAACTATTCTTATCTCATTCTTTTGGTATTTTTTCATTTTACTTTGCACAAATCAAAAAAATAACGACGGAATATGAAAGAACAATGCTTAATTAGCTTTGTATGGAACAATGTTTTTGAAAATTTGATTTTTAGGTAGAAATTTTGTCCAAGACTACCTTGATCGTGCAATTGACTCAAGACTCTTAAATAAAGATAAATGGCCATCTGGCAGCTATTGTATTCTGGCCAACGGGGATTGTCCACCAGGTTTTACTCGTCACGATGGTTACATGAAAGCAATAAGTTTGTACGCTGCCTCTGCCAGCTACATCAGGAGCGGCAGGTTTGGTGACAGCAAAATACAATGCCATGGAAATTGTGGTCAATATGGTCATTGGACTGGTGAGCTTTACATCCACGCCTGTTGCAAATAGACTTTGCTGCTGTTGTATTTGACAAGTGATGAAGATTAATTGAAAATAATGAATGTTACTGTGAGAAAGTTTCTTATGTTAAAATATAAATGTTGAAGAACAAGCTTTCCAACTTGCTTTTATCTAAATATATCAGTGTTATATGAAAGATACAGGAACGTCGAGATACATTACCTTTTCACAAACTTATGGAACTCCTTTAAAAGTGTAAAAGAATGAAGTGTCTTGACCCTTAAATGCCCCGTGTGACCAGGGGCGGATCCAGCTTCGTATGTGAACTTAGGCACAATGTCGCACCGTTAGCGCGACTTTTCTTGGGGGGAGGTCCAGGAACATGTCCCCCCCGGTAAAATTTAAAAATTGCATCGCGAAAAACGCTATTTCCTGCGTTTTTGCAGTTGGTCTTCTAAAATATTTATTACTGGAATGAGCTAACATTCTTGCTCATAAATTATCGATTTTTGACCGTTTCGCTCAATATCAGAGCTCATCAGCATGCCTAGGAAACTCGCAGAAAAATATGCTTTGAGGGCTTCCGACATGGACGGCCTGGTTCATTACAAACTTAACCTAAAAAAATTCTTTACGCTTCATCAATATGGAATTTCATTTTATAATGGTCTAGTCATACCTATATGCTGATCATTATGCAAACGATTTTATGTCAACTTATCAAATGAAGTTGTCAATAAAAAAAAGCAAAAAAATGTTTGTAGATGTCGATCGTCCAGGTAAGTAAAGTCCTGAGAACGATTGTTTGTGTTTATATTGACTGAGGTTAGCGGAAGTCATCTTTACAGTCAAGAGTTTAAAAAAGGCATGAAGAACTTTCACTCCGAATTAGAAAGCTAGTTCAATTCTTCTTTTGTCTTTTGCAAAAAGATCTATAATTTTTTCTATATCTAGATTAATGTCCTGATGAATATACAATAAAGCAAGACCATTTAACCTGTCAGCAGCCATAGTACTTCTTGTATAGTTCTTTAATCTTCGCAAAGCAGAGAACGACCTCTCCACTCACCTAAGATCTTTAACAATACTTTTATGTTCTCAAAACCTGGAAAATTTACCGACTTTAAAGTAGAAGAGACATTTTCAGTAAGACAAGTTGTAGAAGACGATTCCCAGTATTTCTGCCAGAGATCAAGTTCACAATCTAAAGCCTTTGGATTTGGAAGATCATCCAAGAACAAAGAAGAGAATGAATAAAATTTTTCCTTCCAAGAAACGCCACAAGAAAGACACAAAAGTAACTTGGATGGAATTAAAAACAAGCCATAATATATGCTAGTTGCTGATGAATCAAACCGTTTTTCTAACTCAGAACACAAGTGATCAGCTATTGTTTTCTTAAAGTAATCAGATACAGATTCAGACGGAACATTACTTCTAATTGCCTGACGACCACAAGTTCTAGGTTTTTTCTCTTCAACACCCACCTTTTCTGCCATCGTCAATGCAATACTGTACCAGTTAGCATGATAAACATCGACTTCATTTCTTACAGTTCTCGACAATTTTTTTAGTGCCTCAATCAAGTTCAAACCGTCAGCAATATCATTACTAGAAGACTGAAGTAACTGAGTAACTGGAAGAGTAAGATCAAAAATACATCTAGTTATTACGAGTGCTGCAATAAAATCAAAAGATGTCAAAAGATGTAACAGAGGGGAAGCTTTACTAGAGGTCTCACGATTACACTTGCCTTCGACGTTAAAACTCATTTCTTCCAAGGAAAAGACAATAGCAACATACAGTTCTTCAAAAGTATCTAAGCTAGTAATACGCTTGACCCATCTTGTCTTACAAGCACTTTTCAATCTCTTTTTGCAGAATCTGGACAGTGCTCTCCAATGCATTTCTCTCAACTCTGCAGAGTTGAAAAAGTTAGCAGCTTCCTTCACATGTTCCAAAACATTTCTTACATACTGAACGGCACAAGTCCCACAAATACTAAGATTTAATCTGTGACTGAAACAATGTGTGTAAATGGCTTTCTCATTCAAATTCTTAATCCTTGCAGCAAGACCATTAATGCATCCAGCAACAGCACCTGCGCCATCATACCCCTGCCCACGACAGTCCTGAATGTTCAAATTCAACTCTTCGTTTAAACATTTCAAAATCACAGATGCAAGGTCCTTCCCAGACATACCCTCACTACAATGAATGAAACGAAAAAATTCTTCTCTTATGTTGAGCTCCTCGTCAACAAAACGCAAAACCAAAGACATCTGTTCTTTATTAGAAATATCACATGTTTCGTCTGCAATCAATGCATAAAACGTGCTCTTTTTTACGTCAACTAGAAGCTGTTCAGTGATGAATTGACCACAACACCTAATTAACTCATTCTGAGTAGTTTTAGAGATGTAGGAGGCCTTTTTATCATGATGCTTAAGATGGGAATCCAAAATGGTGTCCCCTGCACGAACACGGAAGTTTAATAATTCAATAAAATTACCAACATGCTTTTCAGAATATTCACCAACTTCAGGATGATACCGAGAATCTTCCCGATGACCTCTAAGTGGTAATTGAAGGCGACCTGCAAGAATGATGGTGTCAACTACTGGAACTAATTTTTTCCTATTCTCTGAAATCTTTTTCTTTAAGTTACTGTCAATCATGACATTTATTGGCTGGCTTTTACCGGAACTCTGATCCAAGATGTCCTTAAGAAGAGCAGAAGTGTGAACATGAAGACCTGATGATGTACTTATAAGCCTTTTTATTGCACTTTTAGCATCAGGCCAATGTGTTAATGGCTCTGAAAAAAATATTGGAGGGAAACCTATCACCAAACAAAACACATGGTAAGCAAAAAGCACCATTAAGACTTGGAGAATACGAAAGCCAAAGATAATCCTTCAGCCAATCATGTCGAAAGGACCTACTGCGACCATTTGCATCAACAGTTTTAGGAAATTCATAGCATTCATCAGGTACGAATACATTCTTCACAAGTTTTTCAATTTCATGAATTTCCATACCTCTCACCTTTTCTCTATAAAAACCAACATCATATGGATTTCTAGGCAAATCAGCATTTGCAGTTTTATTATCTGGTAATTGCAAGGTAGAAGATGAAATAAAAGAAGAAGCATCACAAGAACCCAAAGCGCTACTGTGAGATATACCATATGGATGAACCTTAGTTGTCATGGTTGTCTCAGTAGGACCAGAAGGTGTAAACCTCAACTTTGTTTGTATACTGGGCTTTTTAGCTTGTGACAAGTGACTACTTCCATTTCTTTTAGTTCCCTTCCCACCAAGTATCAAAGGCACATAGTGATTGTGTTTGAATGCAGTAGCTTGAGAATACGAGGTTCAATTCTTTGGTTAAATAATAAATTCTACCTATAAGCACTAGAGTATATGTCAGGATAATAAGAAAAAATGCTACAGGATGTAACTGAAGAGAGTGCCAACAAACAAACAAACCCAGTCCATGCCATATCTTTTGCATTTAACACAGCTTCTGCCCTGACCAGTTCAGCAACAGAAAAAACACTTCTAGCACTATCAATAGCTTCAAAAGAGACTGACATGGCCACCATGCTTGAGATAGAATCAAAGTGTTTGTTATGCTGAGTTTCAAAAAGATTTGAAAAACATGGATGTTTCGCATAATAATCAGCATATAAAAATAATTCTATAGAGGTCATCAGCCTCAAAATAGTCACCACAGAGTTGTCACCAACAAGCAGAATTGAAAATGAACTATAGAGGCAGTTGCCATTTGTAGCAGATCTGAAATAATGTTATGTAAATTTCAAATATTATGCTTCAGTTCATTTTTGTATATCTTATCTTAAGTATACTATTGAACACATCAAGAAATAAATCAATAGAAACGTTTTAAATATGATCGAAATTTGAAAATTTGTTTTGTTTTGAATCACATAAATAAAACACAAATGACAAATCCATCGGGCATCACATCAAGTCAATTTATATTTGCTTATATATTCTTGTGTAAGCATGCATGCATAACATGTCATAAGTTTTCTAACCTTAAGGCAACCAAATTTGTGTTCTTTGTCTTGGCACTCTGCGGTATGTAAAATTCGGCATTGATATTTCGGAAAATATCAACACCGAGACGATCTAACAAATTATCGTTGGTAACAATGCTGTTGACTTTCAGGCAATCCAACATCTCTCCGTAGAGTTGAGCCATAAAAGTCCCATCTTTCCTCGTAAAAGCATCTTCGACTCGATCAGTGAAAGATGCCATGCTTCTCATTAAAATCGTTGGTTTTGAAGCTCAAAGATAAAACCTCAGCTATCAACAATCTCAATCTGTGCTGAATTTCGCACAACACCGCTTGAACATTTCAGCAAAAACGGCGGCTCGTTAGTCAGCACAACGGCAATACACCAATCAAGAGACAGATTTTAAGCCTAGGCCACACTATCGTCCATATCGACGAAAATCAGAACGAAAACTGCCGCAACGAAAATCTTGAACGAAAACTCGACGAAAATTTCGTTTTCGTGCATATTAGAAGAGTTGAACTTTTGACCTTTTTCGTCAACGAAAACGCACACCATTGGCTAATAATATCAGACTTTGTATTCAAACATGGTGGAGTGGCAAGAGGTTTTGATAAATCAGGGCTAGTAGACTTTCTAAGATGTGTGCCAACTTTAGTGATGTGAGGTCTAATTAAATCCAAAATGTAGTCAAAATTTGTCATCGTCATTCGCAAGTATTTTATGTGTCTATTTTCATTCTTCGGCTCTCGTAATTCTTTAATCAAGTTGTTAAATAGTCCAAGACGACACGTCATTTATTAATTGGATGAATCCAGTATCGACGTTTGCTGTTGCTTGTTTTCGACTTTAAAAGCAGTAACTTTTTCTTAAGAAGAAGTAATCTTTTTCTTTTAGAGATCGCCATTTTTTCTAATCCGTCAAAAATGCCGCTTGCTTATTGGCCAAAAAAGTTTTGGCTTTGCAAACATGCTTGTGATTTTTCGTCGTGTCTGGCATGCATTTCGTGCACGAATTTTCGTTTTGTTTTCGTTTTCGTCAATATAGACGATAGTGTGGCCCAGGCTTTAGTCTCCAAATTCAGCACAATTTAAGGCGTGCTGACTCTGTGCGGGCTAGCTATGGGTATTTCTCCCGCAAGAGAAATATAAGTATTTTTAGCCACTTGATCGGTTGATCCCTTAATCCCATGCTTAATCCAGGTCTTGGAAACAATAACATTGCTCAGTGAATGCACGTTGTTGCACAATTTTCTCATAATACTATCCCTAACCCTGACAATATGTTTATTTTTCTAATGCTTTCGTTGTGAGGACACAAAAAATTTAATTAATTTTCGGATAAAGAATTCATGATCATTATTCACACAACGAAACAAACTACACCGTACCGAGATGAGATTCGAACCTGCAAAAGACGAATAGAAAAATGTTCTTGGTCCTTTCGACAAAACGGACTTCGATCCTCTCTGTGGACAAAATCCAAAACGAGAAAAGAGGTCTATTAACCACGGCACTTTATTTTCATGTCAAAAACCCATGCCCTTACTATTGCTCTAATAATATACACAATATAATATTTATACACAATCTAATTATGTATAAATATTTTATATAATATGTTACACAATCGTCGAAAACGACATATTTTCCCATGTTTATAACTTAAGGTGGTGCAAATCTGCAAACATTTTTTCATGTAAATATTTTGTATTATGAAAATAAATAAAATTACCATCAATAAAACGTAGCACCAGTGCATGCAGTGGTTTCCTTTTAGCTTTGCTTTTCTTTCCCCCGCCACTCTTTATTTTTGCATTGATTGTAAAGTAAAGGGCGCTGTTTGCTGTTGGCAAAATAGCTAACCTGATATCCACACACCCATATAACGCAAATCTTGATTTGGCTTGGCAATGAAGAATTTAACTACGTCGCGATGATGTGAAAGTAGTCAATTCTGCGTGTGACTAATTTGATCCACACGCGGCAAATTGTTTTATGTTCAACTAGGGCATTTAAAATTTGATTAACTTTTTCCGCTGCTGAGAAGAATTTAACTACGTCGCGTTGAATGTGACGTAGTTTCAATATGCGTGTGACTAATTTGTCACACGTATATTTGCTAGTGCTTAAAAATGCGCTTAAAAATCTTGTATCCATCATTATCAGCAATTAGCTGGTATTCATCATCAAATGATTCTTCACTGAAATCAATTTCACTAGTGTTGATATCATCTATCATGATTTGCTGAAAAAAATAATTTCAACATGGCAGTCATTTTTAAAATATGCGAAGTGAAAATCGTGTGAAGAAAATGTGAGAAATACACTGTATAAAAGGTAAGTTACTGTGATATTATATATTGAATCGTTTTAATTGACTCACAAGCTTATGAAATTAGTTTAGACTTTTTTTGATTATATATTTTCTTTCGAAAAAAATACATGGAAATAGTTGTGTGTCAAATTTGTCACAATGGGCATTTGAATGCCATTTTGATTAATGACACATGAAATTACAATTGTTACACCGATGGAATTCTTTATTATTTTTGAATGTTTAGTTAACTAAATCATTAAGAAAATTGATATTTAATAGAATTTAAAAAAAATTGAACAATATATGTATGTCTTAAGCTAGAATTTTGAAATACTATTAGTATAATTTTATTATGAATGATTTTGGGTTATGTTTAGTCAAAACTACTTTTTAATTTTTCAATTTCTAGAGTATGAATAAGAAAGAGGGAGGTAATAGATGATATCAACACTAGTGAAATTGATTTCAGTGAAGAATCATTTGATGATGAATACCAGCTAATTGCTGATAATGATGGATACAATGATTTGCTTTGTAATTCTGTAACAAGTGCAGATGAAAATGATGAAGAAAATACAAGAACAGATGGTGATGATTTCATTCCATTGGTTCAAAGAGTCAAGTCTTTTGCTGACAATGAGACAAAAAAGGGTGTTTATCGATGGCGAAGACATAGATATGTGCATGTTGAAAAGCCTTTTATGGGTGATCAGTATATTGTACCTGAACCTCCACCATCACCTTTGACAATTTTTCAACAGTTAAGTAAACAAAGAGATGCTTGAAAACATGTGTCAGCAAACTAACATTTATAGTGTTGAGAAAACTGGAACATCTGTTTTGATGAGGTAAATGACTCATCAAAAGGAATTACTATTGTCAGATGGCTGGACAAAAGGCAGTGACATTGGTATCTACTTACTGTTGAGCAGAACCATTAGGTGTTGCAAAGAGATGGGAAAAGAAGGAGAAGCAATATGTGGAAATTCCCAAGCCCAAGCTTGTAGATGAGTACAATAAGTTCATGGGGGACATTGACTTAATGGACATGCTTTGCTCATTGTACAAATATTCCATAAGATCAAGGCGATGGTATCTTTACCTTTGGTTTCATACCCTTACAGTGGCTATGGTCAATTCATAGATTCTTTTCAGAAAAAATCAGAGAGGAAAGAAACAAATCAAACTTCATGACTTCCAAGCAACAATTGCAGAGGGATTGATTAAGGTAGGAAAGGAAAGAAAAAGAAGACGATCTTCCAATGCCTCGACATCTCGAAAAAGACCAACCACTCAACCAAATGAAGAGATACGGTTTGATAAAATAGATCATATGCCTTCCTGGGATGACAGACATCGTCAGAGATGTAAAATTTGCTCTGCCTTTCGCTCTCATGTTGTCTGTTGCAAATGCAATGTTTATCTCTGCTTCAATAAAGACAGAAATTGCTTTATGGAATACCACACAAATAAATAAAATCATAAAAATTTCTACATACTGACAGATTAAAGTATTGATTAATTAAAACTCTTGTTATATTCACAAAATTCATGCTTTTGTTAATAAATACTATATAATTATTTTAGTTTTAAACTCTAGTTTTCTTTATTATACAAAGTAGCGCTTAATGCCCAATGTGACAAATCTGTCACAAAGTTTTTTAGGAAGAAAAAATGTTTTTTTTTAAATTTTTTAATTGAACTTGGTATTGCTTGTTATTTTAAGGAAAAATACCAAAGAACAGATTTTTGCATTGAGTTTCTCCCTCCTTGGGCATTTAAGGGTTAATATTGGGTGGGTGAGGACTTAATTTGACCGACCAAAAGGGCTACCGGCTATAAAGTCCCGCAACACGAAGTTAATCCGTCGAAGTTAATCCAAAGTTAATGGCCCTACCTTAACTTTTTGCATTTTTTAATGACTGTTTTTAACGCATTCTTCTCGGAGCAATCAAAAATATTCATTCATAGATTACGCTCCCCGCCAAGCAAATCAATTGAGATAATCATTCAAACATTTGCAAATTTCAAAACGTAAAACTGCTTACTTTTTCTCTTTCGTTTTTGCATTATTTATGTAAGAAAGAAATTTCTATCCGTTTAGGGACAAGTCTTAGAGATCAATAATTAGAGCAGTGGCGGGTCTATGGCGTCAAAATAAAATAGGAGCACACTTTTAAATTGAAAAATATCTTTCGAAAACACCATTGGTTATGAATTTCTAAAGAATGAAACTTTAGCAATTGAGTTGCCTCTAAATATATCCAAAAGTGTGATTTAGAGAGAAAATTCTTCTAGAGATCAATCAGGGTCAGTTGCATGAAGCCGGGATAGCGTTATCAATGGGTAGCAAACTTTTCTGAACTTTCATAAAATCTCTTTCTGCAGAAAAGTTTACGATTTGAACTGTGCAATCGCTGAAATAAAATATTGTTTCGAAGTTTACAAAATTTGTCGTAAGAAGAACATATTTTTAACAAGTTTGAAAAGTTTTGCTTTCCATTTGATAACGTTATCCAGGCTTCGTGCAACCGGCCCAGTATTCCAAGATTGTGATATTTATTTACCAAAACAATGAAATGTGAGAATGGGAACGGAAACACAGGTTGGTATAATTCAAAAATTAGACAAGCATGGCAGCCGGACCTGTAACAGAACGAAATCAAGGTTAGATTCAACTTATTTCTTCAAAGTCATTGTTATATAGTTTTATTAGAGAATAGCTCAATGGCACTGTTTGCAGTATTCTAGATATTTATTTTCTGTTTGAAAGAGAATGCCAACGAGACTAGCACTTGCAGTGATCTTCAAGTTAGGCAATTTGCTTTTAGTGATGTATATTTGTATATTGGAAAATGTTTCTGATAAATTATCAGCATAAACCTGTTTAGTTTATACACCGTAAAAAGCTGGTTCTGTATAAAATTTCACGTAAGAAATGATAGAATTTTTGATAATGATCATTTTTGAAAAGAGTCAATTTTATATTTATATAGATGCAACTATCTATGTTGGAGGTCTTGATGATAAAGTCAGCGAGACCTTACTTTGGGAGCTGTTTCTTCAATCAGGACCTGTTGGTGAGTGTATTTCAACTCTTTATGCTGTAGTTGCTTATGTAGTGAAATGCATAGGAAACCTTGAAAATTGCTCCTGTTTAAGTCTAATTTTGTGTTGAAATATGAATAATCTTGAGTTGTAGATTGTTATGTTGTGTTAAAATTTGGATTGTGAAGTTATTTGGCTTAACTCTAGTAATATATCGTAAATTCATTTTGATTTCCTCAATATTATACGTGGTTATTATGGCCAATTCTGTAATCTCAATCCATGTTATACATGTTATAACTAAAAAATAGTATTGCTGTTTGAGCATAGCTCAAAGTCAAGTAAAAATATGTTCTGATGTTTTAATTTTTTCATCGACAATTCAAAATTTTTTTGCATGCCATCACAAATATGGTGTGCTTTTGGCCATTGAAAGCCTGATATCTTGAGCCCCACTTATGGTTGATCAAAACATTCCATAGGCTCCATTTTTAAGGTGGTTTCAACAACTTGTTAACCCAAAATGTTAAATTCAAATGTTATTTCAGTAAATGTTCACATGCCAAAAGACCGCATCACTCAACTCCATCAAGGCTATGGTTTTGTTGAATTTCTTGGTGAAGAAGATGCGGACTATGCAATAAAAGTGATGAATATGATCAAAGTGTATGGAAAACCTGTCAGAGTAAACAAGGTATGGTATTATGGTAGACTAGTTAATGATTGGAAGATGCAAGTTAACCTTTGCCCTTCGCTGTACTTTGTTCCCCATGTATGAGCATTGTGGGAAGTGGGGAACAAATTCCAAAGCTCTTGTAGAACGAGATAAATCTTTACATATTTATAGATGTAGATCATCCAGGTTAGTATAGTCCTCAGAAGGAATGTTTGTTTTGATGTTGATTGACGTTTCAACAACCTTAGTGGTAGTCATCTTCAGAGTCAAGTAAAGAGTAAAAGTCAGGTTTGCTATATTTGCTGTCTGATTCATATGTCATTGTATTGTGTGTAGAGGAAGTGTGTGGGTATCGATTGTGTATTGTCATCATGGATTAGTCTAAAGAAATGTGCATACTTGGTCAATTGTTTGAGGTTATGAATAAATTGTTTGTAAGTTGCCTGTACTTGTTGTGATTTGTTCAGTGGAATTTGTTCTAAGATAGTATACCAACTTTCTAAAGTAAGCCGTTGTCTATAGTCAGTGCTGTAAGTAATGTAATATAGAGATAAATCTTCTTTCTATTTTGCATCATCATCACGTCCTTTAAAATTTACCATTGGTAAGTTTTCAATGTCATCAGAGTTTGGTGCTGTGCATTTGAAAACCACTGATGTCTATTTTGCAATTTAGCTTCATGAATGTACTCTAGCACTCTTTTAAGTTTTTAAACACGCTATATGTCAAAAGTGTTTTCCTGCTCTGCTTAGGTTAATTTGTTTTTACTTGCACCTGAAATTGTAAAAATTGACTGGTGGTGAAAATATTCATTGCTGTTCATAGGCGTTTAGGGCAAAAAATAATTTAGTCTGTGACTTTATTGGTTCGTTTAATGTTACAAGCCATTGGCGCCAGCAGGGGGGGGAGCAATTATACTTTTAGGACTGCTCCCAATTATACTTTTAAGACTATATACTTCATTTGTAAAGTAAAAAACTATAGTTTTGATGAACTATGTTATGATAATGTGCAGAAGGCATATTAAAAAATAATCTTGCGTGCACCCGTAGTATCACTGCCTGCAACAGTAAAAGCTGACATTGTTTGATTGTTACAATTTATAAATGAAGTACAATTGCAATTTATTTTAATGGTATAGGCGTCTTCGCACAATAAAAACTTGGATGTGGGTGCAAATATATTTATTGGCAACTTGGATCCCGAAATTGATGAGAAACTGCTCTACGATACTTTCAGCGCTTTTGGAGTGATATTGCAAACACCTAAGGTACATTGATGACAAGTCTTAATCATCTGGAAGATGATATCCAGTCTTCATTTTGTTAATTTTTTGTATTACAGTAGCAACAAGCAAGGTTGGGGCATCTGTGTACTTGCATACGTATACCGTATTTACTCGTTTGAGTGCCATGGCGCTCTTCAAATTTTTGAACTATAGGATGCGGCCCTCGTTCGGGAGCGGCGCTCGTTATCAAGAATATTTAACAACAATAGACGCGTTTTTACTACGTTTTTACAAGCAAAAGATTTCTGAGGTTAATTTAAGATTTTGGTTGTTTTGTGTCAGCATCTTCAACAATTTTTATGGTGTTTTTCATTAACCATGCATTTGAAAATAATTAGTGCGGCGCACGAACGAGTAAATATGGTGAGTTTTTTTTTGCTGTGTGCAGTTTATAACAGGTGAAAATTTATCTAAATGTCTTTTCAGCTCTTTGTGCCTTGTTTAGATCATTTCACATCTGGTGCTTTTGTAACGCACGTAGGACAGGAGAGGTTACATAGCTCCTCCATCTCAACAGTGGGCATCAAGAAAAAGTTAATCGAACTTTGATATCCTACATCGCATTTGACATACGGCAAAAGAGATGAGCTCTTTAGCTTTTTAATGATGTGCTTTTCATTTCATAGTAATCAAAAATGATCGAGTACTCTTCAAATGAAAATTTGCTGTCAACGAGGTTTCGCTTCCATTTAAATGGAAGCAAATGAAGCAGCGGTTTTTTCCTATTTTGTATCACACACTAAACAATTTTCAATAATTCTGTTCAATCCCCCGAAAATGCAATTTTGACTTGCAATTTTTTCATTAAAAACATATCATGGGAAAGCTAAGGAACTGATCTTTTCTTCTATTTCAAAATATAAGCGTAAAATTTTAAATGCACGATTGCTCATTGAAGTTCGGTTCAGTTTTTTGATACATGCTTCAATTTATGCCGGATTTTGGCTTGTGATAATTTTTACGTTTCAAAAGCAAGTTCAAATGGAGTGACACTTACCATACATTTCTGTGTTCCAGATAATGAGAGATCCAGAGACTGGTAACTCGAAGGGCTTCGCTTTTGTAAACTTCGCAAGTTTTGATGCAGCTGATGCGGCCATCGAAGCAATGAATGGACAACATTTGTGTAACCGACCTATAAGCATATCTTACGCGTTCAAAAAAGATTCAAAAGGCGAAAGACACGGCTCTGCTGCGGGTAAGTCTCGCAACGGTAGTGAAAGAGTATAATTGTTACCATTTCAGCAGAAATGAGCAGAAATCTTGCGATTCAAATTTGGGGGATGTTATTTATCTGGCGTATGATATTTTACTGCAATCACTGTATATGTTAACAAATTATCAAATTTCGGTGAAAAGTTTATCGAATGCTACAATAGTTGATGATGTAGAACGAGTTCAAACACTATTTATATTCTATTAAAAGTCTCCTTGCGAATCTTTTTCTGTTGCATTAACCTGTTCATGTTAGAGAAGTTGCGTCAATCAGCCACCGTATTCTGGCTATGGATTTTGGATTTGCTGTTCACGGTGTTTGTTTTATTTTAGAACGTTTGCTCGCTTCACAAAATCCTCTCGCTCAAGCCGACAAACCTCATCAACTGTTTGCCGACGCTCCCCCAACACAAGTGAATGCCTTTGATCCGACAATGATGATGGCGGGTGTTGTACCCCCACCTCCGACGATGCCGCCTCCAGGTTTGATAGTTTTCCTCTAAATGATTTATAAAGTAAAGATATATATGTACATCAGGGTTAGGGAAATAACTTCTTTGGATAGATGAAGTGATTTTAATAACATTTGAAATATATTTGATGTGTCGAAAAGTATATCTTTGCGGGTTTTATGACCTTTAGCAAGGAAAACACATGCATTGATCAATTTTCGATTATAATCGATCGCATTGGTGTAGCACTTCGGATCAGTGTTTAGACGTTTTTTATGTCCTTACCTAGGTCTTCCTCCTCCAGGTATGATGCCCGGACAGATGCCTGTTCCTGGGTTTCCTCCTCAGGGCCTTCCACCACCTGGATTGCCTCCCGCTCCTCCACCACCCATGCCGATGAGAGGACCCCCTGGAGATCAGGTATTGTGCAACTTTTCTTGTTTTTCAATGGTGTCAATTTTTTTCGTAGCAGGATGCGACAGTAACATTAAGTTATTTTGAGTAGATTTTTATCTTTTCAATCGTTTCTATGTAACGAAACTACGCAGGTTTTTGCTTTGAATCTGTGCTGTTTTCCTACTGGAGCTAACACGTTTATCACATTCTATCGAGACTGTTAGATAGTCCATTCAAATATGTATTTATGATAATTTTTGCCGAAAACCATTTCTGGCACACCTTGCTACATTTGTACATCTGAAGCTGTTATTGATCATGCATGTTGTAATTTGCCGATTTCGAAGAAACTTCATACGGCAGATCATGAATATAGGAATATTGCACTCCCTCTCAATTCTCGAGCTGGCCACGCCATCTGTGACTTGTACAGTTTGTGAAATTTGTATGCTCACGTGTATTTTGTTTCCAATACAAGACGGGTAGAGGTCCTCCCGGCCCACCTCCTCCGCGCCCTTTGATGTCGGCAGCTCCTCACGGATTCACCAACCAACAGCAACCGCAACAACAGATGAACGGACCACCTGGCCCACCCAATCGAATGCCTATGATGCCGCCGTTTGGTATGCCACCGATGGGTATGCCGCCTCAAGGCGCTTTTCCTCCACAAGGTGGATTTCCACAGGGAAATATGGGACCCCCTCAAGGTATGGGTGGACCTCCACAGAATATGGGTGGACCGCCTCAAGGTATGCCACCGGGCATGCCGATGATGCAATTTGGATATCAACAATTCCCAAATCAAGGTATGATTGATGTGGCTAAAGTGTTTATCAAGAATTCTATCGTGCTGTCAATTCCTCAGGTGATTTATGTAAAACACTGCAGATTTCATGCTACGTATAAAGCCCAATTGTTATAACTCTACCTCCTGTATCTTTGGTTCACATATTGTATTGTGCTGTGCAATTTGAATTTTGACAATATAACTACTAGGTTAGGGGTGGTTCATGGAAAAAGCCGATTTACATGTATTTAGCTACTTATGTTGTTCGTGTTTTTTTAAGGAATGCCTAACCAAGGAAGATAGCAGAACATTGAATAACGGAAAAGTTGTCTCGAGTACAGTGTGGCAAATCGTGGATGTCGGGTTTTGAAATAGACTGTGATTTTTGAGATTTCAAGAGACTAGTATCTGCTACGTTCTTACAGCAAGCGTTGCCCCTTTTTGAATCATAATTAGGCGAAATCAAGCATCGTCTGTTTTATATTATATTATCATTCATTCAGTGCTTACTGTCGTTTCATTTTTGAAATAATTTATTGGCAGTTAAATCGCACTATTTTTTCCACACCATCAGTTTGCATAATGCGATATCCTGGACTGCCTTTTTAGAACGAAATGAAAAGACTACAACAAAATTGAAGTAAATTATCATATGAATTTTTCCTTATTCATACAAAGTTATTAATTGAGCTATTTTTGCATGACTAGCTAAAAGACCCCGTTCACACGATGCCGTTTCAAGTGTTGTGTTGACTCACACAACGCCGGATTGATGCCGATATTCAATTTGTTTGAGGTCAATGACCTAGAATCCAGTCTACTTGATATCTGGCTCCGCCGATATTGTATTGTAATGAGTGAGGCAAGCCGCCATCTTGAAAGGTGGTAAAACTGACGATAAAGTAAATGGTTTGAACCCGGGAGTATCGTTACATATTTGTAAATGTAGGTCGTCCAGGTTGGTATAGTCCTGAGAAGGACTGTTTTTGTTGTTGTTGACTGACGTTTCGACAGCCTTAGCGGTAATCATCTTCAGAGTCAAATAAACCTTTGACCTTTGACTCTGAAGATGACTACCGCTAAGGTTGTTGAAACGTCAGTCAACAACAACAAAAACAGTCCTTCTCAGGCTATACCAACCTGGACGATCTACATTTACAATCATGTAAAACTGACGATGTTTAATATCTGCTCTTCTTGAGTATATATACAGTAGCAATATTGATAATCTAGGTTTAATTATTAAAATTTTTGATAGGATGGGTTTTTTAAAGTTTGTTTTAACTTACTTTTCATTTTGAGTTTTGCTTTTTGCCATCTTTCAAGATGGTGTCCTTGCCTCACCTTGAGACCGTAGTTGGACATCTAGAAGATTGGGTTCTAAATCATTGTTTGAGGTATATATATATTATGTCAACGTATTTTTGCTGACAATATTTATCGCATCGAAGGCTGTGTTCAAATATTTTACCGCGTCATTTTTGGTAGAGAAAATAACTTCGCCGAACCGTCATGAAACTCTAACGGTTACACAGGTGTTCATATATTACCAAAACGGTATAGTTTTGTATCGTTTTCAAATCATTACGGTTTCATACTTTTTCATACCACCATCGCGTGAACATTACCCCAAACTGAAAGAGTTTGTCATCATTTTCAAACTCTACCGGTATCGTATGATGGTATTTAAACATGATGATACTAAGCTGAAGTGTCAGTGAATATGACTTTCGTCACTTCCGGTGAAATGGCGTGCTTCGATTGGCTCAAAAAGATTTTTGCCTGTCTATTACTTCTCTGTAATGTAATGATGCAATTTTAGAAATAAATGGCAACAAATTTCGTTTATTAATAAGAAAACAGCAAAAGTTTTCATAACGGAAAAGTAAGCAAGAAAACGAAGAATGTGAGTCAAAAGAACACCACTTGGAAAAGTATATTTTGTCCTTCATACCACACAATTTCAGAGGATTTATTTTGATTACTGACGAAAGGAGTGAAAGTCAGACTTTGCAAAATAGCGACGACTAGAATTGAAAGAAAGCTTCTTTCATGTCAAACATTGCCATTTAATAAAAGGGATGTATAGGAACTGTTAGAGATAATAAAGGGTAGGTGCCATATGTACAGAAAGACATCACAAAATATGAAATTATGAAATCGGGATGGAAGGGCGATTTTTCACCTGTCCTATTTTGTGACAAATAAAATTCTTACATTAAAAAATCGGGTTTACCACCACGGACGAAACAGAAAATCACGCTGGTCATGAAACAGGTATGTATTATCTGCTAATTAAATCGCCGATGGAAATTTCGAGGAAATTACGCCTCCAATCTAAGGAAATTAGAGAAATTTTAATACCAAAATCGGCTATAGACCAATCAGCGCACGCGTTTTATTGGTTTTATTTTATAAAACCCAATAAAGTTATTGTATGCAATGCATGATAATTCGCAATTGTTATTAAGATTGTTGCTTTTCCAAAGCATAATGAACCCTACCCAAACACTAAACCCTCTGCTAACGTCAATCCAATAATTGGTTGATAACGAAAAATCCTAGTTACAACATTCGGATTCAGATTGTGAGCAAAGTTCATGAATTTATGAACTTTTCATTTTTATTTTAAACTTTTTGTGAACAAAGAGAATTTTGTGAACATTTCATGAACTTTTACTAAAAATTAAAAACTTTTTACGAACTTATCAGTTATAAAGGACAAGGTTGCTTACAATGAATATACAGTGGTTTAGAGACTCGAGACAAAGCATAATTCATTCTTCAATGTTGATGTGGAGAGAATTTTTTCTTCTGTGAATGCAATCAAACTAAAGGAAGAAACAGGTTGCACACAAAGTCAGTCTTCGGTATTCTAAAAGAGAACCAAGGAGTGAAAGAGTCAGGAGGCTGTGTCAAATATTCTCCTTCGACGAATGCTTATTGTCGATTTCAGTTAACTTTTCAAATGGCGGTTGCCAAGTTACTTTCTAATGTTGCCAACTACATTTCCAAATATTGAATATTCGATATGAACTTGTCAACTTGAGTTGACAAGTTGTGTACTTGAGTGCTGAAGTTGTGAACTAAAGTTGCGAAGTACTAGCAAACGCGAAAGGTCTTTGTACCCTGTAGACATTTGGCAATGAATCCGTTCAGTAAGCAAGGAAAAGCTTTAGCAATTCTAATCCGTTTGACGGCCCTCTAAGAGTGTTATAATATGCGATACGCCGTTTACATTATGTAATAAATTTACAGTAAATGTGGCACTAGAAGCGTATCGTTGGATTTCAAATGCAGGAGTACCCTGCATACTGTGCCCTCGACGTTTGTTGCCACTCGTAACAACTACAGACGACTCATCAAAGAAATGCATTCGGTTGCAATCAATCATTGAAATATTTGCTACGTAAGCTTCTAACTTCTCCATAACGCCCGGCCGTTCTGTCTCTCGAATAATTTGACTTATTATCTTGTAAGTGTAACCAAGATCTTTATTCAAAATTCTACTAATGGATGACCTGCTAGGTATGTTTGCTGGAAGGCAAACGTTGTTATGTTCTAGGTGTTGCTGAATCTCTTTTGCGTAAATAGATGGTTTATTAATTTTTAGATATTCAGTGTATGCAAAACGTCATCTGTACGCGTGGTTCGAACATCACGTTCGCTCTGGCGAGGTGCAACCAGTTTCTACCCATAGATCTATTATATTTGATATGGTCTTATACGGTAGGTTTAGTTGTTTCGAAATGTTTGTCAAACGCTCGTTATTTAACCACCTTTCAAGTATTTCATTTCTTACTTCTATTGGTAAAGCTTTTCCTTGCTTACTGAACAGATTCATTGCCAAATGTCTATAGGGTACAAAGACCTTTCGCGTTTGCTACTACTTCGCAACTTTAGTTCACAACTTCGGTACTCAAGTACACAACTTGTGAACTTAAGTTGACTAGTTCATATCTACGGTGGCCCATAAGTACGGTGACCCATAAGGGCCATCACTTAAAAAAAGTCACAACACAAGTAAATGTAATCACAACACAAGTAAAATAATCACAACGCAAGTAAATAAAGTCACAACGCAAGTAAATAAAATCACAACACAAGTAAAATAATCACAACGCAAGTAAATAAAGTCACAACACAATTAAATATAGTCACAACACAAGTAAATATAATCACAACGCAAGTAAAATAATCACAACGCAAGTAAATATAATCACAACACAAGTAAATATAATCACAACGCAAGTAAAATATGAAATACTGGAAATTCTTTTTGTGAAGTGGAAACATTGTTGTGATATTTTGCAAAATGGCGCTTGTTTAAATTTGTTCCACGAAAACCAGACTTATTATAAATTATATTCAATATATTGCTTGATGGATAGCAAAAAATGTTTTGTTCAAACTGTGGTATAGAAAGTGTGGAAAATGCGATTACTGTTATAAATGTGGCAACTCCTTCGCACCGATGCGCGAAAAACTTGAAGAATCTGCAAACACATGTTCTACGTCGAATTCTATAACTAGTGGGATCTCAGTATTATGTGCTAGCGGTACCCTTACTGGTACAACCCAGCCGCCTAAAACGTTAAGTTTTTACGATTTCAAGCGCCAGAAGGAAAGCGATAGGCGCAGCAGATTCGAGCCAAAGACCAAGAAACTCAAAGCAAATTCTGGTAAAGGAAAAGATAAGGAGCATGAAGTAAGCATAAATATTGGTTACATGAAGGTCGATAATGACGGAAATTTGAAAAGATGTCGGGGTAAAACTCTCCCTGTAAAAGTTTTGCCATTCCCAAGTGCGAAAAAGAGAGAAATCTTAGAAAAAGCAGTTAGAAAACATGCTAACCACGACAATAACATCCATGGCGAGTTGGAGCACGTCCTTTTGAATGTAAACGGGAAGGAAATCACAAATTTGCCGGGAACTGAAAAAGAGTTTGTGTTAAGCGAATACAGGAAGATATAGGGAAGAATTATAATCGCTTAACACTTTTCATTGCACTAAAATCTGCATATATGTACACAGAGATTTCAAAATTAAAAAGAAGTTGTGATGATAGTGAACCAGAGACAATCGCAGATCTTTCTGATGAGATGTTTTTAGAAACTGATGATACAATTGGAATTGAACTCTCACCTTGTCCATCTTCAAGTCCATGTGAGCCATCAACTAGCTTGTATATTGCTACAAATCTCCCAATGAATACACCTCCCATATATAACTCCCAAAGTGCAAGTAACTATGTATCACGTAGCAAGGAGCTCAAATGTGAGTGCCCAACATGTCAACAATACTTTTCAATAGATGAAATAGCAGAGCATGCAGATATATGTTGTGACATATGGGTGGGAGCACTTCAATCTCAAAATACGGATAGTGAAAAGAATATTCCCGAAGAAAATCCTAATGTGGTGATAAACCAAGATAACACTACAAATGTCAAAGATAAGTTATTGGATATTAAAGCTGTAACATTGTCACCAAAGGCAGTAAGATTAAATGTTCGTAGAAAAAATATATGGTGTGACTTCATTGAGTATAGATCAAGTGGTAAAGTGTCACCAACTGACAGTGTAAAGATAGTGTTTGTTGGAGAGTGTGCAATTGATGACGGGGGGCCAAAGAGAGTTTTTCAGGTACTAATATTGTAAGACATATGTTTCTAGGGTTAATATGAGCACCCTGTTGATTTAAAATAAATATATTGTTCTGCTACACTTCAATTCCCTTTGCAGCTTATTTCCCATAATTTGTCTATCATGCATCAATCAATGTTGACAAGTTTGGTTTAAATATAGGATGGGGACAATTGAAAAAATATGATTAGATGTTAATTCTTTCATCAGAAATGTTGGAGCATATGGAAAGAAGACTGTTCTGTAATGGAAAACCTATTAATTCAACTGTCGCCATCATGAATGGAGATTTTCGTTTTGCTGGCAAGGTCATGGTGATGTCATTACTTCAAGGCGGACCAGCTCCATCTTTTATAAGTCCAGATGTTTACAAGTACATCACCAAACAGGCACTCACAACAGAAGAAATGCCCGACTCCAAGTACAAAGAAGCTGTTAAAAGGTATGCTGCAACAAGATGGAGATTACCATATGCTTGATTATTACTCGTTGCTGTGGCATGATTTTGAAACAAGTCTATTTTTATTATATTCTCTGATGTCAGTAATGATTACTTTACACTTCTCCTTTTCAAAGATAAAGCAAGCTTGTGACGATGAAATGTTGAGGGAGATACTTGTCAGCGATGATATGATTGAAATGCTATCAGAGGCTGGATACACTGGTGTACCACATAAAGAGACAGTGCATACTGTTTCCAAAATTGCTCAGTAAGTACATTTTGAAAGTTAATGGAGATTAAAAAAACTATTCTTGTGCTGCTGGTTTATAAAGTCTAAGATTTATTTCTATTTTTAAAGGTCAATTTGCGTAATGGGCCACTTTTCATCAGTTCTTCCTCAAATTATGCAATTGGTTGAAGGCCTCAGCAGTTGTGGTCTTATAAATTATATGATAGAAAATCCAGAGTTGTGGAAGCCATTGTTCGATCCTTATAACGATTCGTTTAAACTTTCTGCTGATACTTTCCTCAATGAAATTATTCCAACATTCAGCAGTTCGCAGATTCACAAGGAAAAGGAGATTGACGTGTACAAGATATTTTGCGACTATGTGCAAACCCTAGATACTGAAGGTTAGTTTGAATATATATGTTGTAAATTGGGTGCCAAATTGTATTATTGTATTTACGATGGAATTTTTTGAAAGCATCAAATAACGCGTAAAATTTATTGAAGTGATGTTTTCTAATCTGAAGTTGTGGTATAAACACAAAAAATGGATACCTTGATTAGTTTGTTTATTCATTTTTCAGTCTTAAATGTTTAAAACGTTTTTAACAGGAGACGTATCCATATCAGCGTTTCTGAAGTGGTTATCGGGATGTAAGACTATTCCAGTTCTGGGTTTTCCAAAAAAATTTTCCGTAACGTTTGTACATGATTGCAAAGAAAATTGTAAATGTCGCCCCACAACATCAACATGCGATCTTCTGCTGAGAATTCCAGTTCATATAAGTAACATTAGTGAGATGGAGGAAATGATGACATCAGCACTTAATGACTGCGCTGGTTTTGGATGTATCTGAATCAATGTCCATACAATGGTAGCTTGGGAACATTTTTATATTTATGTTGTCATTGAAATATTTTTGTTTGTTCCGTTCTAATTTGCCAGTTTGAAAGAACGTTTCAAGGGACAAGTCTTTATTGAAATTTGACTTTTGGTGCAGAATTTATATCAATAAGAAAGATGCCTGATTTTGCTTGCATCGGTACGCTGCGCAATAAAAAATATAGAAAACATACAATCATCATGTATAGAAATACAAGAAACATCTATACCATGCAATATAATAGGCAGAAAATTCAGTTCTCAGAACTTGCAAATTCAATAAGTTTCAGATACAATTCAAATGCATCGGCTGCATTTGCTGGCAGATAAGATCTTCTTTATCCAGTACGTAATTAAAATATTCTTTGTATATTTCTAATGTATCAAACTCCTCGTCGCCTATTGCGTGTTGCTCCATTTCATGAATTCGTTCATTTGCTACTGCACGCTTACATTCGGCAGCACCAAAATTCCCTGGGAGATAATACAGAACATCTGGAATACCTGCTACTGTACCGTAATTTCTTGTTGGACGAATGCGATGTGTGTTCCATTGCATTTTGACAGCTTCTAGCTCACATGATAGGACAGGAGAAAAACAAAACCATAGACACTCCATTTGCAGTGTATTCCCTATTTCTAACTGACCAGAAGCAACCATGTCTTTGAAAAAGTCCATCCACCATCCTGTTCTGGCTCGGCGAAAGTAAGACCACCAGCCCTCTATTCGCTGGTTAGCAGAGGAAGTTCCATATTTATGGGCGTTGTGGCCAGCGAATACGTCATTTCCATCCTTTCGAAAATAACACTGCATGGCCGCAAGTACTCCATTTTCCGTACCACAATCACTTCTAACAACAAGGGGGCAGCCTTCGATGTTTTTTACACAGCCCAAATAAAATCTGGCTGGAACTTCGGGTTTATTGTTTGATCGCACAACTTCTAGCCATAAAATTTTGCGGCTGTATCCGTCTATTGCTCCGTGGATAGGAAACCCGTACGGCTTTAATTTGTCATATCCTGCATAATACCACATCAGAAAATGTATGCTTTCATGCTTTTATGCTATAGAGAGTCGACTAAGTGCAGAAAAAGTACACTCACCATCGACATGTCAGCAAAAGTTTGGAACAAAACTTGTATACCTGCGTCTTGATAGCCTTCTTCGACGTCTTTGCTGAACACCTTCGGGATCGATTTCCTGAAGAACCTGTGCAACCACTTGACGAGGCACGTGAATGTGGTATTGCAAACGAAGAACATGCCATATTGATCTGTAGCCCAAAGACGCACCAGATCCATTTGAGATTTCGTTTTCAATGACTTCCCTTATTCTCAATTCGTCATTTTCGTTGACATTGGAGTTTCGTCTCAAGCCAAAGTCCTGCAATCTACGTTTTAAAGTCCTTAAACTCATTTCTATGCCGTGATAGTTCGATAAGAAGTCTTTTATGATGCTATTTGAATAACCCAAATGAAAATATTGTGTTATTATCTCTTTCAGCCATCTTGTTTATGGCATATAGAATATAATAGAATGGCTTATATCCGGTGATTTTTCTTGCGTTTCGACTACATTTACTTGTGTTGTGACCATATTTACTTGCGTTGTTTTTATTTTACTTGCGTTATGATTATTTTATCTGTGTTGTTACTTTATTAACTTGTGTTGTGATTATATTTACTTGCGTTGTGATTATTTTACTTGCGTTGTGATTATATTTACTTGTGTTGTGACTATATTTAATTGTGTTGTGACTTTATTTACTTGCGTTGTGATTATTTTACTTGTGTTGTGATTTTATTTACTTGCGTTGTGACTTTATTTACTTGCGTTGTGACTTTATTTACTTGCGTTGTGATTATTTTACTTGCGTTGTGATTATTTTACTTGTGTTGTGATTACATTTACTTGTGTTGTGACTTTTTTTAAGTGATGGCCCTTATGGGCCACCGTACATATCGAATATTCCATATTTGGAAATGTAATTGGCAACATTAGAAAGTAACTTGGCAACCGCCATTTGAAAAGTTAACTGAAATCGACAATAAGTCGTATGACAACCGACATTCTTTATGCTCAAGCGACGATTCTGAATCGAACTAAATAACTGTTTTTCATTGTTATTTTTTTTGTTGTTTTGTACAAATGTGCAATGTGCATCATTATAAATTTACATTTGATTTAGCTTATTTCATTCATTTGGTGCAAATTATGCAATTTTTGTCGATTTTTTAACATTGGTGGATAATATGTGAACTTTTGAACATGCCGACATGAACTTATTTAAAATTCATCTGGCAACATTGGCATTGAGTATCAACTTCCTTCAGCATAGTGAGAGCATACAGTGTTAGCATCTATTGTTTAGAGCATATTACAAAACAAAACTAAACATTTCTTCAGTGTTTGTGTATGAGAAGCGTAAAAACCTAAACCATAAGCATGTTTGCTTCAAACCTTATGTCATTGTTGTCGCTAGTTTTGCTGATATCATTGATTTTTCAATGTAAGGTAATACTTTACGCTTTCTAATTGCATAAGAAATAGGTCAATCCTGCTGAAATTTGTTCGAGGCAATATCATCGTGTTATATTGTTTGTCGAATATCATTTTTTAACTCTTCATGTTCTTACTTCTCCATTTATAAATTATAAACACTCTTATACACCTCAACTAAGGAATCAGATGTCATTGCTAAATTCAAGGAATAATCTCTATTTATAAATTATAAACACTCTTATACGCGTCAACTAAGGTATCTGATATCATTGCTAAATTCAAAGAATAATCTCCATTTATAAATTATAAACACTCTTATACGCGTCAACTAAGGTATCTGATATCATTGCTAAATTCAAGGAATAACATTTGGGTGTTGCCAAGCTTTTGCGTACCTAAGCGTCGCAAAAACATTTAAAGCAAACTAATACTTTGAAATAAATCATCGTTTCTTTATTTCGTATTGAAGTAAACTCGTGAACATATCGGTTCGTTTGTATGAACTAATTGATCTCTGAATATGATATTTTAGCTATTTGAGCTGCGATGTTTTGCACTTTTGACCTATTTTAATACCTAGAACATGTTGTGTCGTCAAGTTTTGATTAGTTAACTTTGCAATTTGGAGGATTACTTTATTTCTTAGGGTAAGGACGATGTTTTTGATCATAATGTCAAGAGAGTTTGGAAAATGGGATATACAGGCAAGAATATAACCATCGCTGTCGTTGATTCTGGATTGAGATTTACTCACAAAGATCTAACTGCAAGCTACGTAAGTGAATTTATGTTATCATGTAATTTCAACGTAACTGATTCCATTGGTTTATGGTAGGTCAGTCTGTGTAAAGCCTAACACACGCAAGGCAACAGCTTTGGCGACATAGATGCCAAGGTTCAAGTTTGCTCATGCGCGAGATTGCCTGTGCGACATTACATAGAGTGGTCAATCATCCTTTGGAAATTTTTTAAAATTCGTTTTCAGGAATGGAAGTTGAAATTTAATTTTATTAAATATACTTTGAATGAAACATTTTGAATTAACCAAGCATGCTTTTGTTAAATCAGTAAATTTTAGCTTTTTGTTTATGTGTGAAATACATCGTATTATGCGTGTGAGCGCGAGACGTAATCCTGAGGAATGTGTCAAACGCATGCGAGAGAGTTGGCATGTATGGTAGCTGATTCGCGTCAGCCAGTCGCTTTGAAAGTAGAACATATTGAAGTTATTCCAAATATTGTAAGCTGTTTAATTGAACGTTTTGACTTTATTTAGCCATCATTAGGACTAAATAAAGTCGAAACGTTGAATTGAAATGCTTACATTATTTGGAGTTACCGTTGTTATGTATTTTACGACATTTTTGAATTTATTGGTCGCTTAACTCACTTATTTTTGACTTCCGAGACTCGACTGACGTGTATCATGTTTACTGTCACAACCATCACACAGAAAAATTTATAGATAATATACATGCAAAACGAGTGGAAGATTAATGAATTCGTACTCGTACAGGAATCATTCAATTTCATACGACTTATCGATTAGGGCAACAAGAACTACAAAAACGAACCTATTAACCTAAATGCATGGAATAAGATTGTGGCCGATTGTCCATGATCTACGTTCTATGGGCTATTAACATGTTGGTGTGTTTCAACTTTAACTTGTTCTCTTTTGCCCACATATTTATTTGTTCTGAGTGTATATTCATCATTCATGTATGTATAGTAGCTGAAATAAAAGCCAAAATGAAGACTTAAGCAGCTCAATGATCGTTGAATAGAACCTTCCAAGTACAAGTTACGCACCAAGCGCGTAATTTGTTACACAGTATAGTGAATATACAGTAGGTCCACTTCGTGTGCAACTGGCCACTGTATATTTAATTTTTAGACGACTTACGCGTTTTATGTTGTTTACGTATTGTGTGATAAAAAAAACAGGCTCTCTGATCTTATTATTCTGTTGTACCAAAAAAAGCACATCTCGTGATTAATTTTTCTTTTCTTACAATACGCAGGATCCCAAGCTGAGTTATGACTTTGCAAATAATGATAAATATATTTCAAATTCTGACGAGTAAGTACAACATCTTGTATTGCAGTCTCAAGCAGTTCTAAATTAACCTTCGTTTTGATAATATTTGATTGCACCAAACAATTAACAATTCTCCCTCAAAATAACTGCAGTTTATTTTGAACTCAAGTAAGCATTTCTTTTTGTTTTACATAAATTCTGTCAATTTTTAGTGAAACCATATTTGTGATAATTTTACTTAGTCAGCTTATCACACTTAAATGCGGAGTGGTTCGCATTCCATTCAGAGCCTTAAACTATGCATAACAACTCTTCTCAACTTGGATAAAATTCTTTTCTGAAAAAACGACAATTTTTTGTATCAATTCTTATTTTGCATAAAGCGTTAGCTGTCGTGAAATGCCACCCTAAAAAATGAAGAACTTAAACTGTCCATATTTTAAAAGGAGCGAGTTGATTTTCCTTGAACTGTTTTGAAAGTTTAGCAGTGACCAGAAGTAAAAGAGCGAGTGAAGTATACCTACTTTTATTAATGAAAGAAGGAAAATGTTGAAGTGTCAATGCAATATATATTTGGAAGTTAGCATTACTCCAATAAACAAATTTAACTTATTGAGGACAACTATGTATTTCCAAATCGTGTTGCCCAATTGCGTGATTTTCATATCATGCAGAACTACAAACTTTTATAGAAAAGATAAATGCCGTGCTTTTATGTAGTGCCTGTATTTTATCAGGTCTGGTACAAATTGTGCTGGAATAATTGCTGGTGCTGTTGGAAACAAAATCTGCGGTGATGGCATTGCTTTTAATGCAAAAATTGCAGGTACTCGCTATTAGTTCGCTTTCATTGTCTTTGTTAGATGCAAACAGTTCATTGATGACGCAAAACAACTGACACTCTGTTTAAAGTAAACGTTTATTCTTAACGTTTTGGCAAGTGTTACATGTTATCATCAGTAGAAATGTTGTGTTTATTTTTTTGGAAGTCGTAATTGATTATAATTATGTCAGTAGAGGTGGAGACGTTACATAAAAAACTTTCTCCTTGATAGCATAAATAAATGATAACAAAAATTGTGGAATCATTCGATAGTCACTTAATCTCGGTCTTTAAAAACTTGCGATAGATCTGACTATGATGATCGTTGTACTTTTTTAAAGTCATCTTCAATCATCTATTTTATTGTTTCCATGCTCTTTGTTTTCTTGATTTCAGGCATTCAAGTAATTTCTTCAAGTTTTCCAAATGACACCGTTCTTGCTCAAGCTATGTTCCCATTTCATGGTCGCGGCATCGATATTTTTTCAAACAGTTGGGGTCCTCCCGATACTGGATTCATAGTCCAAGGTCCAGGCCCTTTGACCGAGCTTGCATTTCAAAATGGTGTAGCAAAGGTATGATTATTAGTTGGGCTTTCTTGTCTGTTTTCGTTGACTAAGCTCAAACAATTATAATTAAACTTTCAATTTACAATTTTCTGAAATGAAATTGTCGAAAAGATTTGATCGACGTGTCCATTTTTAAGCAATGAGTTTGAAATCATTAATTCAATTCGAAACTTGACAAAATTATAAACTATTCAAAAAACAAAGATTGTCATCCAAGAATCTTTCGTTTCATATAATTGAAATATATAATTTTTTTGAGTGCTTTTCCCATCTGTAAAGGAAGAAATGATTAAAATTTCGTTGGATAAACTAATAATGAATGCGTAATTAGGTCGTGCAAACTTATTATGCATACATTATGTTGGCGTCATTTATGAGGCGGAGGTACAATGTACGTGCAACCTCTTTGAGAGTGCCTAATTTTTCAGTTCTTTATTCGTTCGTAATTTTTTGCTTGATCAAGGGACGCAATGGTCGTGGTTCAATCTATGTCTTCTCCTCTGGAAAAGGTGTAGTTTTCGGAGATAACTGCGCTTTCAACGGGTTCGTAAACAATATCCAAACGATTGCTGTTGCTGCTCTTAACAGAAATGGAATGCCGTCGATTAAATCTGAACAATGCAGTGCTGTCATGACAGCTGCTGTTTGTGGAAATTGGGTATGAATAGCTGAGCTTTCGCGTACGATGATAGAAAGCATACGCAAGAACGCTATATAGAACGCTAAAGAAATTTCCTTTGAAGCCTTTTGCAAACTTTATTTTGAATGACTAAAACACATAAACACAATTAATATGAACAATGTGGAAATCTTCTATATGAAAAATATAAATAATATATAATATACCGTATGATGACAATTTTGTTTTATATGATAACAGAATGTTATTTTGTACTATTTAGGTGACTACATCGGCTGCAAACGACAAAGCTTGCACCACCAAATTTGGTGAAACCTCATGCGCTGCTGCTGTGGTGTCCGGAATAATAGCACTTGGTCTTCAAGCGAAGTGTGTACCTAAAACGTTATGTCATATCTTTTTATTAGATCACTCAACATTTACCGCCCTTACGACTTTCAATATAAGTAGTTCACGATAGTGGAGTTATTAAACATACATGTGTAAAAGCTACACCATATGATTAGGTCGCTTTGCTTTTCATTGTTCTGATTTTATTCAACTACATCAATGCATGCGTTAATTATTATTTTTTCAAATGTACTTTTTTACATGCAATCTCTGTCCAAAGGACAATTTGGGGCAACAAACATAGTTATGGTGTGGTAACTTTGATACCTTATAACAAATAAGTTTTTAAGACTTTACTCGACTTGTTAATTATTAGGGGTCGATCGAGGTGCAATAGTTGTTGGAATTTCAAAGTATTATCTCTATTGACTCTATTGGGTTGAAATGTTGAAAAAATCTTATTCTGAAGATGACTACCGCTAAGGTTGTCGAAACGTCACTCAACATCAACAACAACAGTCCATCTCAGGACTATACTAACCTGGACGATCTACATCTACAAACATGTAACGATACTAACGGGTTCTAACCATTTACTTTAATGTTAAGAGAGTCTAAAATGAACGAGTTGTCAATTTTTTGTAGGTTATCTGTAAAACAAGGAATGGGGAATCGGGGAACGGAACTGGAGGAATGGGAAAACCCGGAATCCGTAAAACCCGGAATGAGAAAAGCTGGAATCTGTAAAACCCGGATTGAGAAAAACTGGGATCTGTAAAACCCAGAATGAGGAAAATTGGAATCTGTAAAACCCAGAATGAGAAAAGCCGGAATCTGTAAAACCCAGAATGAGAAAAGCCGGAATCTGTAAAACCCAATTGAGAACTGATTAACAAAGATGTTAGATTAACGGATATCAGTCATTTACCTTTAATTTGATATGGAAGATGAGAAGTTTATATAGGACTAGATAGATTAGTTTGCTAAAAGTGGAATTTTAAAATTTAAAAGTGGTTTACAAAATCCCCATAAAAGGCATTGCGCTTTGCAATCGAAAAAGTTAACTTTTACTCATTCTTTTTACTCGTAATGAACAAGGATCCACTACCGCGGTATTTGATAAAACTATTTGACTGACAGTAGTCCTTACTCAATGGTTAATAGTCAACAGTCCATAGCCCACAATCCAGTCTATAGACCACAGTCCAGTCAAGGTTTCAGCACATGCACTTTTCTCATACCAGGTTTTAAAGATTACGGCTTTTCTCATTCCGGGTTTTACAGATTCCTGTTTTTGTCATTCCAGGTTTTACAGATTCCGGCTTTTCTCATTCCGGGTTTTACAGATTCCGGCTTTTGTCATTCCAGGTTTTACAGATTCTGGCTTTTGTCATTCTGGGTTTTCTTATTTCTCTATTCCATTCCTTTATTTCCCATTCCTTGTTTTACTGATAGCCAATTTTTGTATGGGTATTGGTATTGTTTGCCTAAAAGTGTAACTTGTGGTAACTCAATAGCGATGACATAATACAGCCACTTCACAACTAAGTTAAAGTTCAAAAGCGAACCGCTGCAATTTTGACGTTTTCGTGAAAGACAAAATTACAATCATTGCTTGCCTTTATACACGAAAACTGTTCATGGTTAACGTAATCATGAAGAACTTACCACCGATAATTTAAATGTCGATTTTACAGAAATTCGTTAACTTGGCGAGAGGTTCAGCATCTGATTGTGAGGTCAAGCCGAATGGACAATGTTCATGGGAATGTGAAGAAAACATTGAACAAAGCAGGATTTTTAGGTATAAATGACAAAGATGGGATTTGAATTTTGTACAAAAGCTCATGTCAGACATATGTAATCAGGAAAACATGTTGATATATAGCTGTATATCGTATCTAAATAAATTAATTTACATATGCTGTCAATAATGATGCCAATTCTGCATCATTTTCTTTTTTATCAATAGTGAGCAACCAAGTGGGATTTGGTTCTCTTGATGCCTCATTATTTGTAAAGAATGCCAAAAAATTCAATCAAACACTGCCCTCGCAATTGAAATGTGAAGTTACTGTTTCTTCTGTGCCACTGACGTAAGTTTTTGACATCGATCGATCGTCACTGACGTAAGTTTTTGACATCGATCGATCGTCACTGACGTAAGTTTTTGACATCTATCGATCGTCACTGACGTAAGTTTTTGACATCGATCGATCGTTACTGACGTAAATTTTGACATCGATTGATCGCGACTGACGTAAGTTTTTGACATCTATCGATCGCCACTGACGTAAGTTTTTGACATCTATCGATCGTCACTGACGTAAGTTTTTGATATCGATAGATCGTCACTAACGTAAGTTTTTGACATCGATTGATCGTCACTGACGTAAGTTTTTGACATCGATTGATCGTCACTGACGTAGTTTTTGACATCTATCGATCGTCACTGACGTAAGTTTTTGACATCTATCGATCGTCACTGACGTAAGTTTTTGATATCGATCGATCATCTCTATAATTTAGGACGCATTTTTTTACATTTGATCCCTTTCAGCTACTGCTTACGGCATTGAACGAAAGTTTGTCAACCACTTTTTACTGCTTTATTCACTATAAAAAGTGAAATATTTCATTTCTTTTAAACCAAACGTAGCTACTTGAATCACGATAAATTGGTATGTCGAATGTAATTGTTCCAAAAAACCTTGGAAAATTAACAGCTTCTTTGCGTTGCTTCCGATGAAAGAGGTCACCTGACATTGTAAATTGTAAACATTTACATTTTAGATCTCACACCACGACGTTTAATGTTTCAATCAACAAATTGAACTGCAAAAGTGGGATCATAAACCATCTCGAGCACGTTGTGGCAACGTTTGACGTTGATTATTTTAAACGCGATGTCCTTAGCGCTTATATTCAATCGCCAAGTGGCACTTTGTCAAAAGTCATTAGTGCTCGCTCGATGGATTCCCTTACATCGGCAAGAAGGTTCACTAACTTGAAAACACTAAGTCTTCATTTTTGGGGTGAGCCTTCGTTTGGATCTTGGAAAATTTCTTTAAAAAATGAAATCCCCTTTTTTGGGTTTGGCAAGGGTAAGGAAAGTCTAATTATTATCTTAGCATCGAGTCATCTTGTTTTTTGCACTTATTTTATATTAGATAACTGTAATTTTTCGTTATAAAAATATGTGAGTACGATTGTGCATTTTGTGTAGTTGCAAGATATTACATGATCAGAAAGCAAGTTTTGTGAAAACGCAATTTAAATTGAAAAGTTTCTTGTGTGAAGACGAAAAGTTTCAAAAGAGCTGTGCAATTCCAGAAGATCTATTTCGGTTTCGGTTATTTTAGAAGAAAAAACCTCCCTAACGTTCGGGTTTTTTCAGGAAGAACAATACAAATGTACTTGCTCAATGCAAACGCGTATTTTTGTTTTTCGGAAATATTTCAAGATGGGGCTATTTTTGTGTTGTTTTGAATATGGAAAAAGGAACTTAACTATTTTGCTCTCCGAAATTTAATGGTTATTTTGAAACGTTTCTGCCTGCAATAGGGCTGGCATTTTGCGGCCGTTAAATATTTAAGAAATAGAAAACATTTCTAGAGTTTCTGTAGAGTTATACAAACATACGGCAAAGTTTGAGAGAAACGAGAACTTGCGTGGCAAGCCCGAGTACGAAGTGCGAGTATTTCCAAGCAATTTTGAGTTTCTCCCAAACTTTCACAAGTGTTTATATAATTCAATAGAAATAAGTAAATATTTTTATTTCGTTTATAAAATAGTCTTTAAATAACAATATTTAAAAGATAAATTTATTGCTTTTAATAGCATGTTAAATACATTCAAACCATGCAACATGCGAGATTCTTGCAAGACTGAACTCTCGTGCATTATTGAGTTATACACGTTTTTTCTAGCATTTGACCAATCACCACCCGTGTTTTTAAAGGCTATTTTTAAATCAACATAAAACCGAAACCATCGCTGTTCTTTGGCCAATGAAGTTTTTGTTTCATATAAATGGACCAAAAAGACGATGTTTTCGGTTAACCATACTGATTTAATGAACAAAAAGTTTTCATCTTTCAATGAATTTTTTATTTTTTTGAAAGGTACAATTTATCGATTTCGTCTTTCCCTGTATGGCACGGCAGACGCCCCATTTAACAACACATCAGGTACAAGTGATGAAATCTACATTGTCTGTTTTTCTTTCAAATTAATAACCTCAAACATCCCTGCTTATCTTCAACTTTTCCATGGGTCTAATTTTGTTTTGGGCTTCTTCATCTACAATAAAGTTGATTTTTACAGGGACCACGGAGCTCATTTTTTTTGTTGAGGGGCCATCGACCAGCCGTATTGGTAGCCCCCAGCCTCCCTCTCCCGCTCTGTAGTACCTGCATAAAAGTTAAGAAATCTTTAAATGTGGGTTGCAGTAATTTAGCTTTACTCTTGAGCAAATACAGCTTAATTAAGAGATGGCTCTTGGAGATACCGTTCTGCACTTTAACTTCCCTTCATAAACACCGTTCAGTATGAAATTAGGGGCTTAAATGTCCACGTTTGATATAGACTAGCTGAAGGAAATGCTTCAAACATTTCGCATTTTCCAAATCAAAATTTTCACCCACAAATTTGCTCGTAGCTTGTGGCTTGTGACATACGAAAAGCGCTCAATACCCTCGTGGTAGAGGGAATGATAAATATAAAAAGTATGGAAACTGACTAAAATCTCCTTCGCTTCTGCTCTGAGTTCAGTCAAAAAGAACTGCTCACAGGCGTGATAATAGTTGAACAGGACATATAGGGTTTTTACGGTATAATTAAAGCAAAACAAGTTAAAAGTACTGTCATACATTAATTTTTATCTTAAATTTATCTCCCATAAGCTTTCTAAAATCAAAGCGACATTAACTGAGTTACAACAGTCTTAAAAACGTAATCGTATTTTCCATAATTTTCAACGAACATGCAATATACCCAGGTTTCAACCATTTACTATAACATCTTAGCTTCTAAAACATAAGTTTACTTTTCAAATGCCGAAAACTAGTCGAAATAAAACATATTTAGTCAGTGAACGTCTCCTATTAGTATTAATTAGGAGGAATTATTACTATATAAAACCGAAACGCTATATCTGTGTAGCATTTTTTCTTATTTTTTATAGCATGATCTAAACAACATTTACCGAATCACTGGGAAACAAGTGCAAAAAAATGAACAGTTTTGCATAAATGAAGGATAGGATTTTAGTCTGTTAAAACATAGATTGCATCCATAATTCGCTACTTCTATAATAAGTCATTTCATTTCAAAATTACTCAACAAAGCGCGCTTTTGAATTTGATTAGGTGATAATTGTCAGCAACACAAAAAAGTCCAACTTCTGAAGGCGATGGATCTTATGCTTTCCAAAACTTTCAAGATTCCAATGCTTGGGGATATTGCATTTGACATTGAAGATCTAAGGCAATTTGTCGGAATTAGCTTTGGTAGAAGACGTTGTGCTATCACTCAACTGGAAGTAGCATCTACGAAGGCTTTTGATAAACATGGCCGCCATTTTTCGAGAAAATTTCAATGGTCGAACTTGATCACACTCTACGGCGATGCGATCAGGAATATCGAATACTACGTACATAGTTTTGAGCAGCTAGCAATAACTTATCCATATACGCATGCCCAAGAACAAAGAACATTTGCTAGGAAAGTTCTTGAACCTGATGGAGTTGCAAAATGGCTGTATGACATAAATTTTCTTTTCCTTGGAAGAAGAGGAACACCTTTGACAGCTCATCAACCTCTTATGATCGTCTTCATGAACAGGTAAAACAGCACGAATTTACTCTATGAAACAGAACTTAAAGATTTAACTCACGTTAATGTTTCGTCTTGATTGAAAAGCTTATTAACAGCAGATTACTTTTGTATCGTTGCAGATACAGTAATGAATCATGTCTGCAGCCATATAAAGCTGCTGTTGACAATATTTGGCGACAATTAGTACTTCTTCAACAAATGGGCTTTATGCTGTGGGCCAAGGCACTTGATGTAATGGGAAGGTCATCGATGCATCTTGCAAAACTGTATGATTTACGTACATCTGCTCAGGTGACTTTTTTATTCTTGCTTGTGTACTTGTTAAAGTTTCTGTTCCCATTATTTCTCTCCTACACTTCCGTTAAATTTTATCTTCTGTATCATTATCGCTCTTTTGCTGTAGGGGCCTCTTGTCGTCATTTTTTATCTCATTTTTCTTTTTGTTGTCTATATTACGTCTTTATTACTTTATCTTTGTTCCATGGAACGATTTACAATCTTTAGGTATCGAAATTCATCAGCTCCACGTGCAAATATAGCATTCCTCATTCAGTGACAGTGCAGTGTCGCGGAGGACGATATATACATCCATCATTGGTTATAAAAAATGAGTGCAAAAGGAACTATTATTTGTCAGGACATGTTAAGACGACTTGTTTGAAAAGACAGTCTGAATGCTTGGCATGTTCGTGTTATGCAAATGGCACTGTCTTCACTAGCATTCTAGTCAATGATACACAAAAAAGCGTTAGTACAGGGTTTCAGTGCGCTGATCAAACTGGGCAGTGCAAGTGCAAGCCCAATTATTACGGCAAGAGCTGCGATAAACGCGATTGTATGTGGACATCTTGGTCGAAATGGTCTTCATGTTCCAAGGCATGTGATTACGGGGGCGTTACAAAAAGAGTTAGATCACATAAAGTTGTTCAGGTGGGAAAAGGAAGACCATGCATCGGATCAAATGAAAAAAGCAAGCCTTGTTTCCTTGGTTGCTGTAGCGGACAGTTTCACTGTTCCAACACAAAAAAATGCATACCTCAAAGTTACCGATGCAATTACAGACGTTATCAGTGCGGGGATAACCAAGATGAATTGTCTTGTCGCGAATCATGTACTTCTCGCCACACACCCTTCAATTCAGATGGTGGTGGTAGTATGTTTTATCTTGATCGCCATCACCTGAACTGCGGAGGCAGCGGTAACGTCATGCAATCATTTAGGTTCAATCGAAATCAAAACCACCAATTCAGATATACCTATACATGCTGCAGGCTCACTAAAACAGTGTGTTCTAACTCTACCAGACGAAATGGATACACCTTTGCAGGCAATGGTGATACTCGTTATTTGGACAGACAAACAGTTTCATGTGGCAGTAACGGGCTTCTATCGAGCTTTCGCTTAGAAAGAAGAAACGGAGATGTGAGATATAGTTACAACTGCTGTTTTTTTTCTGGCTTTAAATCTTCTTGTTATAATAGGTATACTGCATTTAGCGATGAAGGAAGTGGTAGAAATTACTATCTGGACAGGCATCATATTCAATGCCCAAACAGATATTTTCTAACATATTTCAGATTGACGCGATCTCCCCCTAATTATGGGTATCACTATCGTTGTTGTCAAATTCGTGGCTGAATGGGATTTTTTAAGATGGCTTGTAATGTTTTACAAGGAACTAAATTATATTTCTTTAATTCAATATTCGACGACGTCCAATGAAAAATTACAATCAGTAGGAAATTACAGAAGTAGGAAAGGTAGGAAAGGTAGGGCTCTTGCTGCTGTATGTCTGTTTCATTTTCCCAAATTATCAACAAAAATTTTGGTACAGGTAGTTTTGACATTTATCGTCTTGATAATTCTTTTCGTGTATTATTACATTTTCTACTTTACACTATCATATGACGTTTTACTCAATTGGTGGATTGCAACCATCTCCCTGGGAGTACGAGAACAATGGAATGCTCACCATGTTGGATGAAATTTGCATTGTAAATAAAGAAAATCTTTTGTTGAAATCATTCAACATGGCGGCTATGACGTAGCTTGCAAACTATAAATTGCGTAAGGTAAAAAAACCCATGAAATACAAGCTTTATAAGATATCAGCCCTACCCCCCTCGCCTTCAACAGGCCTGTATCAACAGCGTATAATAAATAAGGATCACGTTTAAGTCAAGCTTTTTCCAAAACTATTCAAATGACAAAACTCCTTGTTTAAAATTTATTTAGTGTTCGCATTAAGTTCGATTCGCATGGGAAAATCGACCTAGGCCTAATAGCCTGGAGGCCGTTCTTAAAAAAAACACGTTCGATGGAAATTTATAGTAGAATCAAGAAACAGAGCTTAAAATTACCGTCTTGTGATCCGCTTTAAGAATATCGCTGTTTCCAGCTCAAATATAATCTCAATTCGTGTAAAGGAGGTTTTAATTGTGGCATTTTCTATCCTCAACGTGATAACGAAGCTGAGTTGAAAAAACGTTTTAAAATCCTGGAAAGAAAGTTTTTCAGGCTATGTAAGTGCAATTATAACTATTAGACTATGAAAGTATTTATATTTGCCAAATGAAAGTTATAGGTTTTTCACTTTGCTTGAAGGATTGATCACGTGACTCGATAACTTATTCGATACTTGGTTTTTTGGCAATTTTTACTTTCTAAAAGCAATTATTAATTTTTCTGATCTCTTCAGTGGGTAATGTTCTAAGTTGGTCTACCAACTTTCTAACGTAAGCCGTCCTTTGTCTGTAGTCAGTACCGTAAAGAATGCATTTTGCCGAGTCCCAATCAATGTTGTGTTTGTCGGTAGTTGTGTGTTGGTTTTACGTACATTGTGGTTCGTAATTTGTGACTGCCATGTTTTACTACAAAGTTAAGAAGAGGAAGAGTTCTCTTTTCCTCGTAATCTTTGGTATGTTTGTGGCTGTAATTGTATGCGGCTGTTCTGTTTGTTAATTTGAGTGTGAAAATATCCATCTTGTCTTCGTGTAGTGTTGTGACTTTATTATCTATTTAGCAGAACTAAAAAGGTAGTACGTGTTGGTAAGTCGCGAGCGTACGTTCTTATATGGTCTGCATTACAAGTTCAGCAACTCTAACAGAAACGGGTAAGCCATTGCTGTTCTGTGTAACTGTTCGTAGTATGTACCGTTGTACTGGAAGTAAGTCCAGGTAAGGCAAAGCTCCAGTAGCTCAATAATGTCTTCTGTCGGTAGTAGAGTACGCCCTTTGTGTTTGTAATGAAAGTTTTCGTACAAGTCAGTGAGTGATCATAGAGAATACTTGAGGACAGCGACTTCACATCAAAAGACACTAGTGTGTTGTTGTCGGACTTAAGCCAATTACAATGTTTACAAAACAAACAGCTTCGACTGTCACGCCTACTATATTGGGGGACTGGTGGAAACTTAAACATTAGACTCACTGAAAACAAACGAGCAACAAAGAAACAAGACAAAACTAACCACATTGCTGAACATCGCCGAATGAAAAATCACAACATTGATTGGGACTCGGCAAAATGCATTAATTATAGTACTCACTACAGACAACGGACAGCTTACGTTCAAAAGTTGGTATACCAACTCAGAACAGCTCCACTGAACATATCAGGACAATTACCGGCACCTTATAAACGACTTATTCACAATACAAACAAACGAAAAATCAAGCGCATTTCTTTAGACTAATCCAAAATTCACAACTGGCATCCACACATTTCTTTTAAACACAATGCGACGGTGTATGAACAAAATAACAAATGCGGCGAACCTGGAGTTTCTCCTCACGTAACTCGTAGGATGTCCACCGCATCGGTTGACAAAACATCAGTAAACATCAATTTCAAGTTCCAACAGTCCTTCTCAGCACTCTACTTATCAACCGACGATATACATTTAATAACATCTATGTTTACTTACGAATGTATTTTCAACTACAAACTAGCTGTAAGAATATAATTGTATTTTACAACGACAGACAGCTGCCTCTGCTGCAAATCAATTATATTTTGCATAGAAAATTTAGTTCCATTTCAGAAAAAGTCTAAATGCACATTTTTTCTTCTATATTTCATCTTATTGTGAGTAATATAGCGTTATTTTAAATTAAGAATTGCTTTCAGAATGTAAAAATTGGCAAAGAAGAGCAAGTATCGAGCAAGTTATCGAATCACGTGATTAACCTTTCATGCAAAGTGAAAACCTGTAACTTTCATTTGGCAGATATAAATACTTTCATACTCTGAATAGTTATAATTGCACTTAAACAGCATGAAAACCTTCATTTCCAGGCTTTTAAAAAGTTTTTTTCAACTCAGCCTCGTTATCACGTGGAGGATACGAAGTGCCACAATTAAAACCTCCTTTACACGTATAGAGGTTATATTTGGAGCTGGAAACAGCGATATTCGTAAAAAGGATCACAAGACGGTTATTTTAAGCTAAGTTTCCTGCTTCTACTATAAATGTCCGTCGAACGTGCAAAATAGAGCTATTCTTGGATAGTGCTACCAGATTATAACTATTGAATATGCGATAACTTCAGCATCCCAGCTTCCGTTATCCGCCGTCAATCGTAGTGATAATCATTTTAACCTGAGCGTAACAGCTGATTTAATAAATTTATAATCATATCTTTATATATATATATATATATATATATCATATATTTATATATATCATAACTTAAAATTGCGCGTACAGCAAATGAATTTGTGCAAATTAGCTGTCCTTTGATTCTGACACCACATGGATGAATCGACTAGCAATCTTGTCACAGAACTACGTCGGCCTTCAATAACAAGAATTGTACTTAGAATAATAGTGGCATTGCTTGTATTATTCATTGTTCTGTCGATTGCGTTCGTCGCTCTTTACATCCACGAAAAAAATACTGGAGATGCGAAAATGGGGAACGTGTGCTATGATACATCTTGCATTATAACTGCTGCAGGTACGACGGTGTTCTATGTTTTCACAATTATGCTTGTGCTACACGTTAAGACGCTATTATTATAATGAATTCTTACTGCTTCGAAATAATTCCCGTCTGCTATAACGTAATAGTCGTTCGAAGAAATTCAAGTTTGTTTTTCATCGGTCGAAATTTAGGAAATTTGATACGTTGTACGTGTGTGCTTGGTCACTTGGTTTTAATCACTCAATGGTTTTAATCGCATATGTATCCGAACATAATCGATGAATGGGCCTCTCAACTGTGCGTACGTAAACCGTTAAAGTAGTTATGCAACGAATTTTTCACTTTGCTTTTATTAGCTTATTTTATAAGAGTCTCTTTCCTGATAGAATTCTGAAAACATAATTAAGATTGGCCTTTTCCAACTGTTTCTACAGTCGCCTAAAGTTGCGATTTTTGTCAATTTTGTGCGAACTTTTGACATTGGCGATGACGTAAAACGAGCACCACCTTTCGACATGGCGTATAGAATTAATAGCGACGAGCAGCGATGGAGTGAAGAATGTTGTATTGCTGGCAGTTTGAACTAAATCCGTTGCGATAATACTCCATAAAATAAAATAGTAGCTATCCATCTGTCTTCTACCGAGAAGACAGATCGTCAAAAGCGAATATAACCAGTGAATTTTGTCCACAAACATAAACAAAATTTCGACGCTATAGCCACATCCGTGTTTATGTTCTACAAACTTTGGAAATTCGTACTAGAATATGAATCGTGAAGTGGTAAAATCTTGAAATCTGAAACAGTGTTTAAAAAAAGATTTTCTACCTGTGATAAAGGAATGCTAGCATTATCGAAGAACTGCTAAACCGAGATAAAACGAACATATGTCTGTTGGCCATGTACATTGCCAAGTGGTTTCATATGACGCGAGGAACAATAACAAGAACAAGAACGTGCAATCAATACGAATAAAGTGTAGTAAAGGCCATGAACTTGTGAAAAAACCAAAGAAATTTTATACAAGGAAGATCTGAGTGTCTCTTGTATGTGATATGTAATTCTGCTAACTTATAATTCCAAATATTTACATAACTCTGACTGTGGATTGCATTTTATACATATTTATATTTAAGATATTTCCACACTGATCATATTGACCCAGTTGAGTAGTGTGACTCTTTTATTCAGCTATTGAAGACTTTTATCATCCCATCTTGGTAGTTTGCCCAATAAAGCTCTACACGGGCATCGAAATTGCAAATTATAGCAAATATATTGCACTGTAAATAGCAAACATTTAATAGCTTATATGAAACTCTTTTGATTTAATGACTGCTACCCATGAACAGCATGATGTGTTATACTACTTGCACAAAATCTCTTTTCTAGGTGTTGTTGGTTATGCATTTTATGTATTCATTAATCACAAGATATGTTCTCCATTATACCTTCCATCAAATATGTTTGGCAATATTGAAATTGCACTTCATACTTAACAAATAAGTCAAATATTAACTTTGCTTTATTCATCACTTATTTTAAACTTCTAACAACTTATATCAAAGACATAATATTCATTGAATAAACACTACTATTATTTCTTTGGATTATTGTGTATAGAAGGATTATGTCCGTTCATCAGTTCTCGTTTCGACATTTTATGCTTTCTTGTGCAAAAGATTGGTCGTCGTGCACAAAAAATTTTCATCTTAAATGCCACACTATTGCTAATGTACTTATATGAATTGTATTAGAGGTAGTATTATACATATTCAAAATTTGTGTGATTAAGTACTATTTGAGAACTCTTTACCGCATATCCGAGAATAACTTGTATTAAAAGGATTTGATTTGATTTCAAACAAAATTATTTGGTTTTTACCCTTAAAAATCTTGTAAAATCACGACAAATACCTCGCACGCTATAACAAATACTATAAAGTATTTAGGGGGCGGTACCACTGATATGTATATTTGACTGGATAACGTATCTCTTGGGAATATTGAAGCCGGAAAGAGCGATTATTTGCTACTGGCTTCATGGGGGTATCGGTCCCACTTTACTATACTTTTGTATTACAAAATCATAGTTTTCACGTTTTTATTCCTTTTACAAACTTCTGATTAAGGCAAAATTTTTATGACATGTAGAGGCTCTGTTTTTCTGGCTTTGTAACGACTGAAAAATAAGATGGCAAGTTGTATTGAAAAGTTGAAGGTTGAAAATTAGAAAGTTGAAGGTTACGAGGACAATTTCAGCCGTGCGAGGCATTTTTAGAAGATGAATACTTAAATTACAAATTTACAACAAAGTAAAAACAGAGGTATTCATTATCTTCAACATATTCATCGATATTGAAGTTGCTCACATAGGAATTGGTTGAAAACTTTGCTTCGCTTAATGACAACAGGTACTTTAGTTCGCATATTTTGATGATGTACATGTCGTAGAGTTTGATGATACCGTTTTCAACTTACTATTGTTCATCAAAATGTCTTTCTAATTATTTTTCTATGTCGATTTGTTTTGTTTCTTCACTGATATAATAAAGACGTATTTGAAATTATTATGCTATTAGCGATGTGAATAACAAAGTGATGTTAACTAAATTTGTAGCAATCTTCCATAAACGTCATTGCAGATGAAATTTTGGTAGCAGTAGTAGGATTCTGTAGTGTATTTACATTTTTTAAGAAGCAGCAGCATCATATAAACTCCAGTTTGTTTCAAAACAATGCAGGTCGACCTTGTACCATCTCAATTTTCTGCCATTATAAAGCCAAGAAGACAAACTTTTTAGGATTAAATTTTTTGCCGGTTGTTCTGTTCCTTTCGCAAAAATTTTCTCTAATCAAAAGTTTGTAGAACGAATAAAACGCAAAACTGTGATTTTGTAATACAAAAGTATAGTAGGGTGGGACCGATACCCCCACAAAGTTCATAATCAGATGAGCCAACTTCCGGTTTCAATTATCTTACTATATTTTATACATGGAGCGTTATCTAGTGTATTATACATAACAGTGGGCGGTACTCGTTCTTGCGTCACAACGAACAAAAACGGCAGCAAAAAAGTTCGCACGAAATGACAAAGTTTGGAAATAAATTTAGTTAACGTCTACTCAACGCACGAAAGTCATTTATGCACCAAATTGCTTCTCAAAAGCTAAATATTTTAATAACCTAACAAAAAGCATAGCAAAAAATTCGTTGCATAACCACTTTAAATCATTCTTTGTTTATCCTCTGTCATCTATAAAGTTGATAAACTTCTTTCTTTATCCATCGTATGAAATGCGTTTTGAAGTGCGATGCCAATTGTTTAATGTAATTGTTTTTACGCTGTAGTGCGATGTGATTGTAGACAAAACATGTACAAAGCTAATTAATGCGAGAACGAGAACGACAAATTTGGTCTTCATGCACGCGATATTTATTATAATCGCTAAATTAACTCGTATAAAGACAGCACTGCAATTACCTGTCTTCGACATGGCTTATGACCAAGAAATAGAAAATAAATTCATGTGATGATACCACTGCTTTCTAGTAAGAAAAGAATGTGAAATACGAGCACCAACGTTGGTCAGTAGGTACTTGTCGTAGCAGCATGGCTTTTGACAGCTTTTAGAAGTTGTGGCTGTTCCATAATGCTCACTATGTCATCATGCGCAATAATTAAATTATTTACGAAATTGCTTGATGTTGGTAATTTTTACTTGGTTTTCTTCATTTAATTAGGACACCCAGACACCCATAGCTTCCCAAGCCTATGTTTGTTTAATGTTTATTGATTTCAATGATTTAAAAATTGGTACGCAATTCAAAAACTAAGCAAGCAAGAAGCCAAATTTGTTTGGTTGTGGTTGCCCTTCTTGTAGGGGACTCCTTGACTGTGGTTGTCCGGATACCCAGACTCCAATGGCTTCGGAAGCCCTGTATGGTTGTGAGATACGTGACATTGTTTCAGACGTACCTCCGATGTAAGATATCGTTGCTGTTGGCGTTTCTACTTTCGTTTCGTTGTGTTCATTGTCTTGTTAAATATATGGTAATATGACTTTACCTTTCCTCCTTAAAGTGAGATCTCGGTTGATCAAACATGTCTCTGTGATATATGATAAACTTTATCTTTCCTCCTTAAAGTACAATCTCTAGTGAGGAGAAATGTCTTTGAAATGTATGTATCTTTAGTGCAGTTTATTCTGGCAACTGTTGTCCATGATTCCACAAAAGTTGTTCTCGCAATTGAGAGGAGTGTATGAAGATTTGGCTTTTTGGCTACATACGAATCAGCTTGTCGCAGGGCATTTTAAAGAACAGAAATACGATAGCTAAATTTGTTCCTTCGTTTATTTATTTGTGCCCATTTTATCGCAAATACTAAGAGAGATAAACCCTGAAAACAGCATTTCGTAGTTGGAAATTTGAGTTAAAACAAAAAAATTCAACAGCAACATTTCGACTTTATTCCCTCGAGGTCATTGTGAATCGGACAAACCTCGGCGACATCTGATGCGTTAAACTTTACATAAAAGATATTTTGGATAAATACTGTTGAGTTACTGTAGTATATATATTTTTATAAGTTTTATTTATTTCTAATCTTGGCGTATGTAGACTGCAATGAAACGAGTCAGTTATGTGTAAAAACGATTTTCACAGTAGTTATAACTTCAACATCATTATAACTTTATGTATTGCTATTGAACGTAACTTATATGAGACTACAAGGTCTAAAATGATTCTACAAAAACTGTACTGATTCTTACGTAGCTAAAACCTCAAATTATTGCTCAGTTCTAACAGTTGAAACAACGCAAGCTGGCAATTGTTTATTGGAGAGGCGATATCTTAAAAAAATAATTTAACTCCTTGAAAAAATAGCTCAGGTTTTCCATAAATATTTCTACTAATTATTATTATTATATGGCAAAAGTCACTTCCGGCAAAATGAAGCGCTTTATTGGCTCAGAAACATTTTTGCCGGCCATTATTTTGCCGTAATTGACCACGGTCCAAAAACCCGTAATTTTACAGTTAAGTGTAAACAAACTTCGTAAAGCAAAGAGCAAAACGCAAAATAAACGAAACAAAAAACCATTTACGAATGTGATTCGAATGAAAAATACTTGGAAAACAGCTTAACAAGCCAGACGATACAATTTGAAACAATGTATTTTTTATGGACGAAAACTAGAAAAGTGAAAGCCAACCGGTAAAAAACAGCAAGGACGAGAAAGAAAACAAGCTTCATTTCAGGTCAAATAATGCTATATAATAATCCTTTTAATAACCTCGCTTTCTCGGACCTCTGTTTTTTTGTACAAACCTCGCCCTACGAGCTCGGTCTGTATAAAAACACTTCGGTCCGTTATTTCTCCGTAAAGACCTCGCGCTCGGTGATTAAGGGCTTAATATTATGGCAGTAAACTAGTAGAGGGTTTCTGCCGACGTATAGCAATATTAGGAGAGATATATACGTTTCTTTCCCCGCACTAATACTGCCGCACTGCAATGACTTTTGTAACTAATCTCTTATTTGACATTTGACAAAACACTTATAACTGCAAGAAACTGTACGTTATCGCATTGCAAAAGTGTACGTGTAAAAGTTGATGTCTAAAATTTAGTTTTTTCGAGACTAGTTTATCAACTGTGCAATAGCTAATTTTTTTAGCAACTCTAACAATTTGATTTCATACACGTAAACTTGTCCTTAAGAATCCATTTTCATTTTTTTTGTTTCCAGAAATATCAAAGAAACTAAATACATCCGTTGACCCGTGTGATGATTTTTACCAGTTCAGCTGTGGAGGTTTCGTAGAGAATAACTTCGTTCCTGATGAAGACAGTTTACTCGTGTCTTTTACGATCGTTAATAAAAGAATTCAAGACAATATTGCCACTTTTCTCGATAATGGTTATTCAAGAAAGGTACAGTCTTGTGAAGCGACGCCGCTAGCAAGTTTGGTCGTGCTATAGACCGGTTTCGCACCCATAGCAACTGTCGTTAAGGTCGAGTTCGGAATTTTCAAAGTAATCGGGCAAAAAAGCCTTGCTTATAACTTTCCCTCGATTCAAAAACACAAAATGCTTCTCCAATATAGATAAATACAGAATTCAATTGTAGATTAATAACATTTTTTAGTTCGTACGAAGGTTTCTTGGCGTAGAAATGGTGCGTTAGTGGCGTTTTCTTGCCTCCAAGTTTTTTCAACAAAGGCACAGCGCGGGGAGGGTTCTTGGCTTAGTGATCAGCTATGGTTCAGTGGTTTGAAACTGATTATTTATTAACGTACTCAATATTTAAAGTGGATACTAGTTCCCGTTTTGGTCGACAAAATAGATATCATCTATACCTTTTAATCAAAATAAATATCATTGACAGCCAATACACTTTAATGATATAGTCAATAAAGGCTTTTTCATTAAAAGTAAGATTGATTTCAATTTTATTTTTGCAATTTGCACCCTCTATGCACCCCTGTAGTTCATTGCCTAGAGGGTTGAGCACCCTGTGCCCCCTCTCTATTTAAATCCACAACTTGCACATTACTCTCTAAAATTTGAAAAGCTGAATGAGTGAAATCAACTTAGCGCTTCTCTGTCATATCTTTGTTCGAAAACAGCCTCAATCGTACTTCAGCAAAAAAAACACTTTTCTACCAGATAGGGCGCTTGCTTATGGACCGCGGAAGATTGAGAACTGAGAGGGTCCATACTATGTGCATGCTCTAGTTTATTAGGTGAAAGTCAATTGTGATTGTGGCTTAAAGTGGATTAAAACATATAAACATACAATGTCCCCCCCTACCAATTATCGAACTTTTTGGTCCCCGTGGCTATACATAATGACATCGAACATTTATTTTCACAGATTTCTGGTTCCGCAGTTGGCAAAATGTTTAACTACTATACTTCGTGCATGAATGTAAAGTACATTGAAAATTCCGGTAAAGTTCTCATTCGTAATTTGCTGAAGACCTACATCTCAACTCCCTTAAATGCGAACTGGACTCTCGAAAAAATCTTGGGTCGTGTTTTGCGTGATTTTGGCGTAGGAGTGTTGGTTTCTTCCGACGTGACACCTTTGCCTTACAATACGTCTGTAAACAAAATTACTGTAAGTATTATTGCCTAAAAATATTGTACAAAAAGGTCCGTGTTTCTCAGGAAAGACCAAGAAAGAAGTTTTAAAAGGTTTATTATATGGCATAATTTGACCTGAAACAAAGCTTTCTTTCTTTCTCTTCTTTGTTCTTTGTAATGGTTGTCTTTCACTTTTGTAGTTTTCAGTAAAAAGAAATCGTTTCAAATTGTATCATCTGGATAGTTAAACCGTTTTCCGAGTGTTTTTCCTTCGACTTATATTCGTCAATGGTTTTTTGTTTCTTTTTTTTTGCGTTTTGCTTTACGAAGTCTGTTTACTAATGACTGTAAAACTACGCGATTTAGACCGTAGTCCTTTACGGAAAATAATGGACCGGCAAAAATGTTTCTAAGCCAATAAAAGCGCGCCATTTTGCCGGAAGTGACGCTTACATTACACATCATGATGCATGTGTGGTCGCATCTTTTCAGTTTTGTTATTTTACCAAGAAAGTGTCGTTTTTGTTTTAGGTCGGTGGAGGAATCGTTGGTACGATAAAGAAGTCGTCAATGACTGACGAAGATCAGCCGGTACGTTTCTTTTGCTTCCCATTGACTATGAGCATCGAGCTCAGCTTATAATATCCCGTATTTTACGAATTTTTGATAAGTAAGTTCTCTCGAAAAGTCGCTCGTTATTGATTTTACATGCAAATTTATAAAAATGTCTGAAACTCTTTGTGTTAAGTCATGTTAGATTGTTGCCCGCGGATGTCAACTGCAATTAAGAAACAGTGCAAATAAAATTTTATGATTTTAGCTAACCAGTGGTGACCTTTCAAAACAAAGACTATTTCGTATATAATAACGGCCTATAAGAAACTTACGATACCTCCCTCGTGATTTTACCTATATCAAAAGTAACTTGTTTTCTCAGTGTGTGCATACTCAATTGAAATTAGGAATATAAGGTATATTTTCGATTTGAATTAGCTAGGTATTGGTTAAAAAACAATTGTTATCTCGGGCCGGTTGCATGCAAGAAGGCCGAATTGCGCTATCACTGGACTTGCGATATTTTTGAACGCTTCAATAATCTAAGGAGAAATTTTGCGATTTGGACTGAACAGTCAATGGAATAAACCGTTTATTCTAGAATTGCAAAGTTTCACTATCGCAAGAAAAGAATAGCTATAACCGCTTTTGTACAAGTTTGAAAAATATAGTATCCGAACTATAAAACTATCCAGGCTTCGTACAACCGTATCCTGAACCTATTCAAATGGAAATTGTCGATTCTTTATTTCTTAATTTCGATGTTAATTTGTAGAGAGAACTTGTGTTACAAGAGGCTTACAGGCGGTACATGAACACAACCTTTAAATTACTTGGTATTCACTCCTCTGTTAGTGATGTACTGCAAATAGAAAGGATATTCTTAACGGTATGTAGGTGAACATTTGTTTCGTGAGCGAAGAATCTTTTCGGACCTCCATTGGCGTTTTGCCTTTTGGCAAACAAACATGATGCCATGCATTTTAGCCACCAAGTATAAAGTCGTGTAAAACGTTAGTATAACATCGAAAATAGATTCGATTCTAAAAATATTTCACGTAATTTTGATGATGGAAACGAAAGGCATATGTATATTTTCTTTTATACGACAAACTGCTAAAAATCTATAATGCATGCTATATATATATAATATAATCATGTGTAGAAGAAAGGTTTCTCGGTGTGTATAGTTTTTACACTTTTGGGCTCTTTCATATACATCCCGTCTGTCACTTCTAGTAAATAACGTTGTGTTTAAAATTTGTAGTTGAAGTATTATCTGAACAAGACAGGTAATTTCACAAAGGAGATGACTGTGGCTGAGTTGAATGAGCAGTCTCATGGCAAGGTTAGAGACTTACTAAGCTTTAAAATCAAATACAGTCATCATTAGCCTACTTCAAACAACTTCAGGCAACCTGAGGCGCAAATCTAATGAAAGTATAAAATTTGATTCAACTATAGCAACCTTATAGTAAATGGTTTGAACATGTGAGTATCACTACATGTTTGTAGAAGTAGATCGTCCAGGTTAGTAGAGTCCCCGAAGATGTTTGTTAGTTGTTGATGCAGCGATCATCAGGGATGGATCTAGCCTTTTGTGACTAGTGCCGAGCGCCAAAGGCGCGAGCCACCAGGGGAGTCCGGGGCATGCTCCCTGAAAAATTTTGAGTTTGTAGAACGTCGGAAACGGCAATTTTCTTCACTCTGGAGATCGTTTTTTTCATCATTAAAAAGCAATGTTGTTTCGCAATCTTAATGAATTTTAGTGTGATCAATTTAGCTGACTATTCAAAATATTTAGAAAAACGTATATACCGCAGTATAAAGCATGCCAGGTCTTTTTTTAACCCTTCTCCTTTCTCATCAGGGCTTGGGACCGGCAATAGCGAAGTTAAAAATTTATTGTTTAGGTGTCTTATAGATTTTTTATATTCAATCTTTTCGGCTGTTCTTTTGGTACAGTTTCATGTTTTAAGAAATTTAGTTGTACATGTTTGTACATGTAGATCGTCCAGGATAGTAGAGTCCTGAGAAGGACTGTTTGTGTTAATGTTGTCTGACGTTTTGAAAACCTTAGCGGTAGTCATCTTCAGAGTCAAGTAAAACGTTAATGTCGGCTTAGCCGTACCTGCTGTCTGGTTGATAAATAATATGTCAAAGCAGACCACCACCTCAAAGAAAAAGAGCAGCAACTTTGGAAGAATTTATTAGATATTGAAATTCTAGTCATAGAAACACTCCTGGTATACTTTATGAAAAGAAGGAGTGAGAGATGAAGTGTTTCAATGATTATTTAAATTTTGTCCATTTCATATATATTAATACAACAATATCAAAATGTGCTACAACCTTACATGGTTGTCATCTATCTTCGTACGACCCGCCCCAGCTGTTTATTATCTGCCTTATTGTGAAATAACAACCACACTGCACGCGTATGCTTATATATCTATACCTGAGTTTGTGTGAAAACCGATCTGTGGCCAGTTGCACGAAGGGCCGAATAGCGCTATCCACTGGACTTGCAATATTTTTGAACGCTTCAAAAATCTCTTAGCTAAATCGAAAAATCTGCTATTTGAACTGTAAAATCAATGAAATAAAATATTGGTTCTAGAATTACGAAATTTCAATATCGCAAAGAAATATAAACATTTTTTTCCTAACTTTTAAAAAATTACTATCCAATGGATACCATCATTCAGGCTTCGTGCAACCGGCTTCCTGAACTCAACCATTTGGAGCTCAATCAATTAAATGAATTAAAGACAACTTGCAAATCAATTAACCATCAATACATGGTGACGAAAATTTAAAACATTTGTTCTAAAGTTATCTGTTTCTCGTACGCAATTTTATAGAGTTGCAGACATAATCGGAATACAATATTTTTATCATCAATTTGAACAAATTTGGACAATTAAAACCTACCCATGATTGTGTTGTTCAATCGATTATCTCTCATCCTGCTTGCTATTATGAGATAAAAAATTTCGATTCACATGCACTTTATTAAGCCTATACTTACGTAGCTAGAACGTTAATTGGAGCGGGGAAGTGTTTTTACAGCTGGAACGTTAATTGAAGGGGGGGGAGGGGTCATTTGGCCCGCTTTCTAAAGAATTCAGTCGGGCACTACTGAATGTATGAATATACATTTAACACATGTAGAGCGCATGTATTATTTTGTTTAAAATCAAGCAAATTATATGCTTCGTAATGTTTTTCTGTAGTTCAACTGGACGATTTATTTTAATGAAGTTCTGAGTGCCGTTGGAAAATCGGTTGTTAACGACACACAAGTGTTGGTTTACTCACCGGCAAAGTTACAGTTGATTGTTCGCTTCATGGCTCAGCATTCAAAAGAGTAAGTTTGACTGAAAACACTATACATGGTATTCTTTTTGAAATAAAATATTTACAGTACCTCAAACATCATTTTAGCTATAAATAGCAACAACCTACAACTACACCGCAAATTCTTCAAAACTTGTCTAGATAATTTTTTCTTATTTTATAAAATAAATCTGGTAATAAGAAAAACTTTCTTGATTTAAGAATTCACTTTTTAATAACAGGAAAATTAATCTTAGCAAGAAAATTTATCTCGGTGTGATTAGTAATATATTTTGCATTAAGATATAATTTCTTATATATGAGATTATTTATCTTATGATCTTACCAATAAGACAAAATGACTAGTTTTAAGATGTTTTTATCAACACATTAGGTCATATAATTTTGCCCATGACACATTTAATAAGATAATTTTCTTATAGTAGAGACAAGATATTTTTCTTGTTTTAGGAAAAATATACTTAAAACTAGTATTTTTTCTTTGAAATAAGTTTTGAAGAATTTGCAATGTAGCTATATCTCTTATGGTTGTAGCTATGTATTGTGATTTTGGTTGAAGCCAGTCATCTCAATAAATAAACTGAAGGTGCAAAGATTTTGACATCACAGGCGATACAACGTTTTCACTTATATGACCATATATAGGCTACGTACAAACGGTCTCAACCTGTTGACCGAACAAGCGCTCAACATTGTTGACTCAACTTGTTTAGAGCATTTGCACACCCTGTTGAGTGGTGCTGTTGAGCGTTGTTGAGAGAAGTATTTGAACTTGCTCAAACTTTTCTCTCTACAGCACTCAACATTTTCTTTTTACCATGGTCATCAAAGCGTACCTCAACATTTTTTAGCGCGTGGTTTGAACAACACACACTAGCTCAACAATGTAATGCAACATTTTTGGTCGTCCATTATTTCCCCGTAGTGTATGGACCGATGAATGCTAAGCGTTTTGTTTTCGAAATAAAGTGAACAAGCAAAATATAAAATCCATGTACGAATTTTAATCTGGGGAAGAACACACGAAAAGTGACGTTCTTATGTGTAGTTCTTACCACGCTTCTATTATGTTAGCATTTCAAACAACATACTAAAATGCATATCTCCTTTTTTCAAGTAGCTAGCCAGCAATGTTTCATGCCAAAAAAATTTTTTGTTAGCCTCGTTTCTTCCGTCTTTACAGAAAAATACTGCTCCTCTCTCTTTCAGTTGAAATGCACAATGGAAGCTACAATCTAAGAAAAAAACCGTCTTATATTTTCTTAGTTATCATTAGCTTTCTGTAACATTAAAATTAGTCAATAATATTTGTGTCTGGGGCCGGTCGCACTAAGCCTGGATAGCGTTATCCATTGGATAGCAAAAATTTTCAAAGTTTTTAAAACGGTGATTATATTTTTCTTACGATATAGAAATTTTGTAATCTTGGAAAAATATTTTATAAAAACAGCAATTGCACAGTTCAAATCGTTCTCTTATAATAAAGAAATTTTTATTCGACCTTTGTGCAACCTGAACCACGACTTTAATTTCTATTGTGTGAATAGAGTAAACATAACACTTGTCCCAAATATTGGCATTTATCTCTTGTAGTTACTTTATAAAACGGTACTATGAATTTTCTCCAATAGGTATAACCGCACACATGCATTATAGGCAGTTCTTGGAATCGTTTTGAAATGTATACGACTTTGTATTTAGAACTATCACCCGTGAAATCACGTGGGTTCTTGTGAATAATATGATCGCGGCATTACCCGAGGATTTCCGAAATGCACGTAACAAATACGTCAGTGTAGTATCAGGAGTCGAAACTCCGCCAGCAAGACGACGATTATGTGTCGATGAAACCAATAAATACTTCGAATACCCCATTGCAAAGTTGTACGCCGAAAGATATCTTTCCCAAAATGCCAGGCAGAGGGTATGTTGTCGTCCACAAAGTTGTAGTAAGAAAGAGGAAAAATCTTAGTATAGAACTTTAGGGACGAATAACACATCGCTTTTTGTCAAATTATGTTGATTGCTAACATTAAACATGACGCTTTTATTCTCTATAGGTGTTTGATCTTTTCTATGAAGTGCGAAAGCAGTTTAGTGAAGGATTAAAAGAGCTCGAGTGGATGGATGATAAAACCCGGGCTGGGGCACGTTTGAAGGTAGTGAATAGTCAGTGGTCTCTGTAAAATTTTTTGTTGTGGACTATACAAGGTGTCGGAACCCATTCAAATACATAGTTTCTAGAGGGTTGGAACCCACCCCTACATAGACATACCCACCCCAAATTGGTAACCCACCCTACATTTGGGTCCAAAATTTCCTTACCCACCCCTACATACGAGCCGAAAAAAAATTCGTTTTTTTCTACGGGAAAGCTGATTTTAGACTTATTTATGGTCTCTCTATGCATACTATATACAACACTGATAAAGTCTATGGATGCAATTAATGGCTGATGCAATCAATGGCTGATGCAATCAATGGCTGATGCAATAACATGGTGTCAAATTTGGGAGATATTTTTGGTCCCTTATATGGTAATATGAAGATAGATGATGCAATAACATGGGGGCAAAAATTGAGTGATGTTGAACTTTGAAGTTATTAACTTTTTTATCATAGATGCATTTCATCTATTTTTAATTTTCTAATAGGGAAAATCTCGAACCCACCCTACATAGACATACCCACCCTAGAAATTCAAAAATTTTCGACCCACCCCTAGAACGCATTTTGGGACCCCCTAAATTTGGGGGGGTAGAAACTGTGAAATAATTATGTATGCATCAAAATGAAATCTGCATAAGATAGTTAATCGGCAATGGCTATTTTTTCCAACTGCTTAAATTTAGTCTTATGCTTCTCCGTGTTTGTTGCAATTTATGGAAAATATGATTACGTTTTTGTGGCTGTTATTACTCAATTAATTTTCCTTTGGCTTTACAAAGGTTTTGCGTAATGAATTTAAGGTAAAAACCAGGGTATGATAGTACTTTTAGGTTTAAACTTTTTTTAATACTGTACAAACTCTAGCAAATTCCATGCAGAGGCGCACAAGTTCATCAAACAATTTTAAATTCTAGTTACGTTATTGCGCTTAATAACTTAAGCGAATACATATTTTATTTACGTTGGTTCATTTTTTTGGGACACCTTTTATACTTCGCATTCTCGAAACCATGTTTTATCATGTTACTAATTTTCGCCATGATTTAATTTTCTCATCTTACACTTTTTTTTAGTTGATGAAAATGAAAGAAAGCGTTGGTTATCCTTTATTTGTTCAAGACACGGCAAAATTGAACAAAATGTACGAAAATGTACGTAAGTAAGGAGTTTTTTAACTCTACATTGTGAACATATAAATAGATCGTGTGCGAAGATTTTATATCAAGAGCTTTCTTGTAGCTCAATTTACTTTTTGTATTGTTCAAGTTCATAAATGAACAACCTTTTAATCCATATAAATCAATTTTGAAACTTATTGTTAGCTACTTCTTTATATTTTACATCACTAGTATTATAATTTTGACATATTTTCTCGACTGCAGTGCGGTTTATCGGTAATTGAACTGTGGAAATCCCGTAATTTACACTGTAGAAAAGTGAATATGCACTATAAATACAGTTTCCTGATGGGCTGAAAAGCAATGAAAGAGCACAATCTTTTTTTCAATTCAAAAACATGCTTGGCAGCAGTTGTTAGTAAAGAACGAAAATTTCCACAAGTACAATGATCTAAAATTCAAGAATTACTAAACAGTGCAAAAAATAAAAACACTACAGCGAGCTTTTTTTATTAAATGTGTGTGTAAAAGTTGGGTCGCACATACACGAGGCTTTTTGAAGCGATAGATCGAGTTACGAAGCCAGACAGATGCAAACGGTGTTTTGACAAAATGTCTAAAAGTATAAGAGTACTGCGCACTTTTAAGTTAAAAAGCGTTTATCATTGAAAGTCATTAAATTGCCTTCATCATTATCTGCAACATGAAAGTTGAGTTTTTTTGAACGTAATTATGATTATTTTTTTGTAGTATCTTGTGAATAACACAAACTTCTTCGACAACAAACTGAAAGTTTTAAAAGCCCGAGTTATAGATAGACTGAAGGCCTTAGATAATCAACCCGATGATCAAAGGTAAGTGCACGAGACAAAGATTGAAGTCGACACGATTACACAATATGTTATTACACAAACTGCATAAGGATGGACAACAAAAGCCAGTCTAAAGTCAAATACAAAAGCACATGTTTATATATATATGGAAGAAACAAGCGTTTTTATAAACGCCGCTATAGGTAGTAACACAATAATTCCAAGAACAGCAGAAATCAATAGAATACCATGCAGGAGACAGAAATATCTGATGGAATAAACTATAATCATACCGATTGCAATTTCTGAAATACATCCAATCAATTAATTTACCAATCGTGGGAATCTTGACCGATTGGTAAATTCATTGATTGGATGTATTTCAGAAAATTTATAATAAACCTGGCGATTTCCAAGCTGGACTGTTAAAGATTTAATACCTCATGAGATGCTTGAATTATGATTTATGTTGTGTTTACTTATAAGAATTGAAATTTAAACATGTGTTAATACGCTTTGTGTCTTAAAACGACATTTGTTTGTTTATTTGTTTATTCATTTATTTATCTATTTATTTATTTATCTAATTTTTATCTATTTATTTATTTTTTATTTATATATTTATTTATTCAATTCGATCGTTCGGAAGATCAACTTTGTTTTGTGTATAAGTGATGGTGATGATTTCCAAGAAAAGTAAAAAATACCCTGCAAAAAGTATTTTAAACATTTGATAAACGCTGCATTATAAATCATTCAATAACAAACGTGTTTTAAAAACTATAAAAAGTACAAATCAAGCTTCTTGTTAAATATTTCAGTGCAAATTAATATATAGATTAAGACATAAATTTTTGGTTAAATGTAATCTTTGTTGTAATGAATGCAAACTGCATTTCTTTCTGCAAAACAAGAAAGATTCTTATCTTATTAATGTTTTTGGTAATAGAATCCCAAAGAAACAACGATTAAAGTACACGAAAAACTTTTTAAGTTGTTAGCTAATATTTTGCTGTTTGGCCAGAAACATGAAATAATCCAAAAGTCAATCCCGAATGATTCGTATAAATCATCACTTCACTTATAGAAGAGTACCAAAAGAAGACTTTGTAGAGCACTACACTTATAAATCAATATTCCAAATAAAGAAATTATTTAGCCATTTAAGATCTTCAGTTTGTATTTCAGAGATACGAACTGAACAGCCATGGAGCATCTCTTTGATAAAGGCGCGGTTCTCTTTTCTTAGTGAACATCCAGTCCTTTACAATAATAACTTTGCTTTGTTCCATTAGGTTTCCTGCTCCTCCTGTTGCAGTGAACGCGTTTTATTATCCTTTAAAGAACAAAATATGTAAGTATTGAAGTAAACGTCAAGTTTTTGAAGTTAGCTAAAATTGCACAAAACTCTTTGCTTGCCGTGAACCTATATATTCATGCAGCTATAAACTTAGCTAATCTTTGACAATTCGTCCTATTTGCTAAATCGCAACAATTCCACCGACTGTTAAGACTTTCCCCTCCTCTCAAGTTAAAACTTCATTTCATGTTGTTCTAGATGTTCTTGCTGGAATTTTGAACAAGCCGTTTTATGGACCCGAGCAGTTAAAGTAAGACTATCATATATGTTATGCATGAAGAATATAATATGGCTGTATAGTGTCGATAACTATGTTTAACGTTGAGAATTAGTGGTATGCCAAAGCGTGGTTACAGGAAAAATTGAAACATATTTTGCTAATGAAGGAGTAGTTCAAAAAGAACGGGAAGAGACTGGCAGATGAAGAAAGAGTACAGAGCAAAAACAGGTTGTCGAAAGATTATAGAGTTTAGGAAAATAAGAGAAACGAAGAAGAAATAAGCAAGAGACGTACGATTTCGAGAGAAATTTTGACGATTAAAGGAGCAACAAGTGATGTGGAAAAAGACGTAGAAACTCGATCAGATTCCAGTTTTAACTCAATAGTCACTAAAGATAAAGAAATATTGTTGAAATCATAACTAATGATGTTGTTGTGAGGGAATTACTGTGTGAAAAGGAATCACTTCTGAAGTGCATGGCAGGTGGAAAGAAATGTCACTTCTTAAGTGTCAGGGGGAAAGAAATATCACTTCATAAGTGGCAGGTGGAAAGAAATATCACTTCTGAAGTGCATGGCAGGTGGAAAGAACTATCACTTCATAAGTGGCAGGTGGGAATGAATATCACTTCTTAAGTGGCAGGTGAAAAGAAATATCTCTTCTTAAATGGCATGTGGAAAGAAATATCACTTCTTAGGTGGCAGGTGAAAAAATATCACTTCGTGGCAGGTGGAAAGAACTATCACTTCATAAGTGGCAGGTGGAAAAGAATATCACTTCTGAAGTGGCAGGTGGAAAGAAATATCACTTCTTAAGTGGCAGGTGAAAAGAAATATCTCTTCTTAAATGGCATGTGGAAAGAAATATCACTTCTTAAGTGGCAGGTGAAAAAATATCACTTCGTGGCAGGTGGAAAGAACTATCACTTCATAAGTGGCAGGTGGAAAAGAATATCACTTCTGAAGTGGCAGGTGGAAAGAAATATCATTTCTTAAGTGGCAGATGAAAAGGAATATCTCTTCTTAAATGGCATGTGGAAAGAAATATCACTTCTGAAGTGCATGGCAGGTGAAAAGAAATATCACTTCTTAAGTGGCAGGTGAAAAAAATATCACTTCGTGGCAGGTGGAAAGGAATATCACTCTTAAGTGGAGGTGAAAGGAATATCTCTTCAGTGGCAGGTGGAAAGGAATATCACTTGTTAAGTGGGAGGTGAAAAGAGTATCACTTCAAGTGGCAGGTGGAAAGGAGAATCACTTCTTAGTGGCAGGTGGAAAGAAATATCACTTCTGAAGTGCATGGCAGGTGAAAAGAAATATCACTTCTGAAGTGCATGGCAGGTGAAAATATCTTAAGTGGCAGGTGAAAAGAATATCACTTCGTGGCAGGTGGAAAGATATCACTCTTAAGTGGCAGGTGAAAGGAATATCTCTTCAGGTGGAAGTAATATCACTTTTAGTGGGAGGTGAAAAGAAATATCCCTTCTTATGTGGCAGGTGAAAAAGAATATCACTTCTTAAGTGGCAGGTGAAAAGAAATATCACTTCTGAAGTGCATGTCAGGTGAGAAGGAATATCATTTCTGAAGTGCATGGCAGGTGGGAAGGAATATCACTTTTTAAGTGGCAGGTGGAAAGAAATATCACTTTTGAAGTGCCTGGCTGGTGGAAAGGAGTATCACTTCTTAAGTGGCAGGTGGAAAGAAATATCACTTCTGAAGTTCATGGGAGGTGGAAAAAAATATCACTTCATAAGTGACAGGTGAAAAGAAATATCACTTCTGAAGTGCATAGCAGGTGGAAAGAAATATCACTTCTGAAGTGCATAGCAGGTGGAAAGAAATATCACTTCTGAAGTGCATGGCAGGTGGAAAGGTATATCACTTCTTAAGTGGCAGGTGGAAAGGAATTTCACTTCTGAAGTGGCAGGTGGGAAGGAATATCACTTTTGAAGTGCATAGCAGGTGAAAAGGAATTTCACTTCTGAAGTGGCAGGTGGGAATGAATATCACTTCCTTAAGTGGCAGGTTGGAAGGAATATCACTTCTGAAGTGGAAGATGTAAAGGAATTTTACTTCTGAAGTGGCAGGTGGAAAGGGTTATCTCTTCTGCAGTACCAGAAGTGAATGAATATCACTTATAATATAACTGAAGATAAAGACGTAAGTGATGAAAAATGTCAAATTACGACCAATAATATTTATTGTTTTAAACGAAATGCCATGTTGGAAGGAATTCGTTTTAGTAAGCTCTCGACTATGTTAAAGCATGAGTTGATACAGTAACTAAAAATATTGCAAAAGTGTCTGGCAAAAGTAAACAGTTCCGTCAACATACCTTTAGAGAAGCGAAGGAAAGGTATGGAAAGGTCGAAGATTTTCCTTAAAGAAGTCAGTCGTGAAGAAGACAATGTTGTTGACTTTCAGTCCAGCAAAGTTGAAAAACTACTCTTAAAGAAAATGCGTAATTGAAAGGACTGTTCTGCTAGAAAAAGTCTCTAGATGATAGTCATTTGAGCAATTAACGACATTATTTACGTTTTAATTGCATACGTGTTGAAGTGAACTTATCTCATTTGTTGAGATTTATTTTTAGTTTTTTACCATGAATATTATAACACTAGTGAAAGAATGCCTGCAATTCTTCGTTAATGGTTGACCACACGTGTTTCATTGAAACTGCTTGAAGAGGGACAATGTTTTTTATATCGACAATGTTTACCAATCGCGTGTCCTCCTTGGCATGAAAATTGCTATCTGGTCTTATGGCTGACGAATTTGGCAACCATAGGAAAGACATGTACAATTTTTTCCACATGGCCATTAGACGATTTCAACATGCATGTATAGAAAGAAATTAAGGACGAGTACTGACTCATAAAATAGCTGCTAAAACGTAGTTGTAGAAGACAATCAGCTATGAAAATATTTGCATTGGTTATGAATGTAGTACATTTAAGCATTACCATCAGTTTTTGAAAGACATGATGGTTACTGCAGAAAAAATGACTGGAACAATGACTTAGAACCCAATCTACTTGATATCTCACTCCGCCAAAATTTTATAGTTAGGAGTGAGGCAAGCCGCCATCTTTAAAGGTGGAAAAACTGACGATGTTTTCTATTAATATCTGCTTTTCTTGTGTATATATACAGTAGCAATATTGATAGTATAGCTAGGTTTGATTTTTAAAATGTTTTGATAGGATTGGCTTTCTAAACTTGCTTTTACCTTATTTTCATTTTTGAGTTTTAGTAAATTAGATAGAGACTAAATTAGAAACAGACTGCTATAAGCCTTGTTATCGAGGTCCTTGAAATTATTTATCGTGAATTTCCATTTTTACCCATGACAATGAATTCTTTTATATTCAATTAGGGCGTTAAACTACGGTAGCATTGGTATGATCGTCGGTCATGAAATTACCCACGGATTTGATGCTTTGGTATGCTCATTTTCATGCAGTTAATGTTTTGTTTGTGGTTGTTTGTATGAGTAAAATATACCGCGCAAACTGATCACATGACCAACGTATAAAACAAGTAATGCTTTTGATAGCATGTGGCCCGTGGTTTGTAATAAAATGATGAGCACGTTATTGACGTCGTAATTATAGTCTTTGAACTTCCTCCCCGGCTTGTCGATTTAAGTTTTGAATCTCGATTAGCGCTTTCAACGTTTCTTCTACATATATTAATCTTGTCAATATTTGATTAAAACTGGGCGTTCTTCTTTCTTCAGGCAGTAATTACGATGAAAAGGGTAATCTAAGACAATGGATGACGGAGAAGGCAAAAAACAACTTCGACGCGAGATCACAATGCTTGGTTAATGTGTACAACAGTACGTATGTCTACGGCAGAAAGGTTAGTGTTGATTAGGTCGTGCATACCCATTCTTTAGATACGGACGTCCCAACGTTGTGTGTTTAATTCATATATTCAGTTGTTCCCGACTGTTATCTTTTGAAAGCAATTCACAGAAGGAATTAAGCATTTTGCAAAAAATAGGAATCAGTCTGGCACATCGGAATATATGAATAAATATCACGAACCAGTCACCCCCACAAATTTACGTTCTCAGTATGGTTATGGTCTTGGAAGATAATCGCAAAATGAAGGCAAAGTAAAAAAATCAATCGTTAATTTTGCGATTTTAAATGATTACCTGTTTTATATGGGAAGTGATGCCAACCTTAGTGAGCTTTAGCGTTCTTAGCACAGTACATAAAAGCAAACAGCAGTCGCACTCTACTGAAAATTTTTGTTGCGGATATCTTACTACGCAGTTCTGACCAATAGGAGCGCTGAGATGGCTAACCGGCGCCCGTAATCTAATTAAATATACAGCACCAAATTGCACGGCGAAGTGGGACTACTGTTTGCTTCCTATACCGTGGTATTTGGTACAAACACACGCACATGGTCACATGACTCACATTTTTGTCGATATTATGTGATGATGTAAAACTCTGAATGCGTGTTTTTTCTTGCCTTCCGTTATGTACTTATAGTGTTAAGATCGTGTGTATTCTATTTTAGTTAGACGGGAAGATGACACTCTCTGAAAATATTGCCGATAATGGAGGACTCAAGTACGCTTATCGTGTAAGGCAGTAAATTGATTGCACCCATGCAGAGCACACTGGTAGCTATATCAATGTGTACAAACAAGAAATTTCTTGTCAGACTGTGTGCCCGACCAGTTAATCAGTGAGAAGACTGGGTATCAAATTCGATATCCTAAACTTTTATCCCAATAAGGATTTATACGTTTAAATGGTTCTGTTTTCACGTTTCCAGTAAGGAAGAATTTATAGATTTGTCCACATTTCGATAGTTGTGAAGGCCCATGTCAATTTAATTATTTTTAATTATTATCTATATAAATATGGTCCACGCCATTATCCAGCATAAGCATTTGCTGTCATTATGACATATGAAGGCTGCAGGAAGTTGCAAGATTCGAAGAGCTGTGATCATACTTTGGTTCTACCATAAAATTAAGAAAATTTTCTTCAAAACAACTGTGCATACAACGTGCACGAGCATGTCAATATCAATTGATTATCATTATTTTGAAACTAAGCTGCAACCGTCAACCCCTAATGCGGCAAATTTTAGCATATTTTTTATTCATCCAGTCCTTGCCATGTTTTATGAAGTGGATGAAACGCTTTGTTTACAAAAGTCATTTGAAATATGTTTTGGTACACGTACATGGCTTTCCTTGCGCCATAAATACTAGTTAAAAAGTTTGAGTTATTGCTAAGTTTTGATTGCATTTCTGTCAAAGAGAAGTTTTACTTTTTATACATACTTATATGCATGTCTCTAAATTATCTTTTTCAACAGGCGTACATGAAGTGGCGTGAAACCAATGGAGAGGAGGCAAAATTACCAGGATTAGACTTCACAAACGAGCAGCTATTTTCATTGCTTTCGGTCAGGTAAAACTTGTAGACGCTCATATTTAATATACATTATAATTTGTATTCGTTTCTAGGAAATTTTCTAGCAAAATTCAATTGTCTGCGAGTCTTTTGTCATATTGGTTGATTTTCCTTGCGGTATAATTAGTTTGATTTAGTGGGCGCTCGTTGAATGAGCTCGTCAGATGGTTTTCATCTTCTTTTAAGCTCTGTGCTCCTGGTTTGTTTTGTTTTTCTGTTTTTCAGCTTTGTTTCTTCGATGTTAGTTGATAATGTGTGAATTACGAACATTTTGAGAGTAATGCTGCTGGCCTACGTAGTTGAGAAAGTTTTGCTATATGAAATGCACATATAATGCTAGCTTTTGTATAGTATTTATACCAAGATCCAGTCCACATATACATATCGATGACTGTGCCATACTTGAATTCTCGTCCTTTTGTACTTAAATTTTTGTTTGGGGCGGTTGAATATGGCTGCTACGGAGAAATAAATGCTAAGATTGTTGGTTGTGATGTGTGTCGCTCGCATGTGTCCTGTTTCTTTTAGTCTGTTATTTTAGATTTTATCATTTGAACTTTGTAACTATCTTGCTGACTTTTGCCGTTGAACTTTGTTTCATTGTATCTGGTTCGTTGAACAACGAGCAAAGAATGAACCAACAAACTCTGCATCCGATTTAACATTAACTTTTGAACTATGTGTTTCTTTTCTTTTAGACTTGGTGCTCAAAATATCGCAGCGAAGTGATCGACTATAATTTGAAATACGACTCACACTCGTTAAATCCAGCCAGGTAAAAACGCCATGTATATTGTGTAGGATGTAGCATGTGGTTTTTTATAGAAGAGACTGGCGTTAATCTGCACAGTTTAAGAATGGAAAGAAATGGGTGGACATTTTGTTTTTAACATATTTTACATACAAAACAGAGAGAAAAAATGTTTTTGGACACCAGGTCATTTGCTTACATTTTTTCTTTATCCTACAGACTGCGTATAGCCCGAAATTTGTAAACGTTTCATGAGTTCATTTAATAGTATTGGATTGAATTAGATTGGACCTTGGTTGAATTGGATTATATTATATTTATTATATTCTTAGAGTGCGAGTGCCGTTATCAAATTTTCCACAGTTCAGCAAAGCCTTCAACTGCAAAGCACCAAAACACGATTGTGTTCTTTGGTAATGCCATCGACATCATAATTCCTACTTTTAATGCTGTTTTTTTTACTTTCAAAGTAATAGGCACTTGTTTTAGTTAGTTAATTTTAAGAAACTCAATGCTGAATATTTTTCCTTAATCCAATGACACCACAAGTTTGAGTGCGAAAAGAATACTGGTCTTTGTTTTTAAATTTCCCAAGTATTTATGTGTTCGAAATTTGTAATTGAAACTGGGTTTTTAAGAAGAGAATAAATCTTGAATTCAGTCTTGAAAATTGTAATCACGTTTGTCACCGCTGTTCATTAATTTCATACATGTATTAAATATATCCTATAGTTCTGTTCATTGATATAAACTTTAAAATAAAATAGCATGTATTTTGTTAAAGTTTGTGCATATAAGTTACTTATAGTTTAGTATTGATTGAATAATATGACCATCTACGTACGGCCTATATGACTATTTTAATAACAATAATAAAGGCGAACTCGATAAAAGTTATTTATATTGCAGTTTCCATGCAATTTTCTTTCCACACTTGTCAAGAAACAGGCAAAATCCCTTCTATCAAATATCAATGTTCATACAAATGTTATCATGGCATAAAAAACTTGCCATTGATGAAAATATTCTTGTGCCTTTATTTATCTTCAATCAAAATATTTCCCGCCTTTTTTGTTTATTTGTTTGCTGTTTAAAACGGTACGAATAGACTTCCGGCTTTATGAATATGACGGCCAGTTTTGTCAAAAGATGCGGAAATGGAGTCCTTCTTTTCGACAAGTATCGTAAAAGGTAAGGTTATGTTTTGAGCAATATATTACTTCGATTTAAACGATATATTTGTTTGAACTGAGCTCAATAATTTCTCATAAGACGACAGACCTCGCTGTACATATGGCTATGAATAAATCTAAAGAACTGAATGCAGAATAAAACAGCGTTAAAAACGCCAAAATATAGAATAATATGTATATACACTATTTTGCGTGCAAACTGTTTTTGCGTGCAAAATTTCAGGTGGGAATTGACTTTATATACACAGTTCGTTCAAGCATTTGATTTTGATTTTGTCAAAGTCGGAGAAGATTCTTTTACGAGCATACAAGGTTAGAATTGAACAACGCACTTTAACATTGTTACCAAAAACTTGAAATCATTCAGGCAAGGTAATATACTTGAATACTTGAATATTTGGAAAGAATTTTGCATCCAATTCTAGACTTTAGAGTATTTTTGAGTGTTGACAAGCCTGCCTTGTATTACCCTATGAACTAAAATACATGGAGCCGCTACCTGTAATACAAAACCCCAGTGCAAAACCCTAATAATTTTTGAAGCCGTGATTTTACCCAGACACGCGTGTCTGATGTAAGATGGCTTCAATTATTTACTTCAGGTAGCGTTCCATGGTTCAATGGTCTTACCCCATGTAACAATGTTAAAACTCGAATTTGGCAGTGAATGAAGCAATGAACTTCTTGGAACAGCTGTAGCTAGATCAATCCGTTTAGATACCGTCAATGTAGACTCTACCCTAGTTTGAACAAAATTTTTGACTATCAGTGCACGAGAAACAATTGCTGCATGGGAAGACAATTGACCATTTCAGTCTACATGAGAAAAAGACCATGTTAAATTTTTGACAGTGGAGAAACTTGCACAATTCTCGTATACTATATGTAAAAAGTCAACTTTGTAGATAGAAAGGAGAATTTACACATTGTACCTGCTGTATTTTGCTATTGGAAGAGTGAAGAAAGCAACCTCCAATTGAAGATACATACATGAAGTGACACGCCAACAGGTATGCATTATATACAAAGTATTTTGGTTAACGCAGAGCTAATTGTTAGCCATTATATTGGAAAAGAACTCGGAACATTGTGCATAAAATTATTACATTTTTTATATTTTGATTATTATATTAAGAAGATACTGGTTCGTTTTTGTCGTCACTAAACGCTGCTTTTTATCATCTTTCAGTTTGCCAAATTAATATTTAATGTGTTTGCCAAATTAATATTTAATGTTTCGACCAAATAGATATTTTGCCATAACATGGATTGTAAAGAATTATCTCAACAAGGCAAATTCTGATATTGATATCTTGGGTGAAACAATTGAGCAGTATGGAAAAATTTAACAAGCACAAAGTGACTGAAACTTTAACTGCAAAAATTGTACAAGAAATTCACAAAAGAGGTATCTTAGGTTGCAAGCTGCGTCATAGCGGATGTTGGATGATTTCAAGAAAGGATTTTCCTTGAATACAATGCAAATGTCATCGAACATGGCAAAAATTCCATTGTTCGTTTACTCCCAGGGGCCGGTTGTAGAAAGCTTTTAACTACTGTTTAACTACACTTTTTGCAGTTAACTACGGTAGTTAGCGTCAACTATAGTTAAACTTAACTACGTTTTTATACAACTGGCCACAGGAGAATGCTTGCACAGTATCTATAGTAGGTGAATTCGGTCCGACTAATAAAATATTCTTTGGTAACTGTTCTGGAAAAATGTCATGATTCATGAGATGTGTAAGAAAGCTTTGACAAATATGTGAACAATAAAGGCAGCAAAGAAAATCAATAAATGCAATTTAAACAATGTGATTTATGTGCAATAACACTTAAGCTGGGCGTTTTTAAGTTTCTAAATGGCAAAGCTCCTCTGGGATTCATTTTTGCAGGTCATTTCTCAAGTCTTATGCAATGGTGAAAATATGCAATTTCCAACATGACTATTTTCATTGAAACCGTGTTCACTGCCACGAAAGAAAAACAAAAGAATGATAACAAGTCCTTATGCCGAAGTTTGCGAAAGTGCAAGAACTTCTTGAGTTCATTCAATATTTTTGAAGTTATGATGCGTTAAAGTTGGATTCAATTTTATATCATTTATGTGCAAGCTACGTCATAGCTGCTATGTTGGATGATTTTAACAAAAGATTTTCCTTATTTGCAAGTCAAATGCCATCCAACAAGGCAAACATTCTATTTTTCTCTGCACACCAACTATACGCACTGTACGGGCATTTACAAATAACAAATTGTATTAGCTATTTAGACTGAATTTATTTAACGATCAACCAAACAATATATGACGCTTTTGGGACGCCCAACTTCCGTTACGCACTTTCATCATTGGGATAATTAGTTTTACAGCTGATTTATAATCATTTATGAAAATCTATAAATTGTTCGTGCAACACGCCTTGCTACATATTTGCCATACTCTTCACCGAACATGGATATACCGCCTCTGATGAATGACAATCTCGTTACAGAACTACGTCGCCCTTCAAAAACAAGAATTTTACTTGCAATATTAGTGATATTTCTTGTTTTGTTGCTTGTTGTGGCATGTGCATTCGCCATTCTTTTCGCTCTCGAGAAAAAACATGAAGATAAGGATATGGTGAACGTGTGCTACGAGAAGTCATGCGTTATTACCGCAGGAGGTAAGAGTATGCTTATTGTTTCACGTTGTGTTTAAATATTCGCTGAAATAATTCCCCTTTCTCATAACTTGGTGAAAACGGTCGTTCAAGGAAATTTTGATTTTTTTATCATGCGTTGGATAACGAAATTTAGAAAATTTGATGCGTTGTACTTGTCCATCAATCGCGTAACGTCAAAGCTAAATGGGCCTCAATCACAGAATCTTGTAACACAATAGAATATAGTACAACTTCTTACATTGAAATGATGAAAATTGCAAATTGAATGCTACAGCCATAAAGCTGGAAAAAGCAAAATCACGTTATATATTAGAAAACATGTTCTTATGACGATACCTTGTATCTAAAGACAAATTGTAAACGTTATACGGACTCGCTCACACTATTTGCGATACAAAGCAATATGACTGTACTCTTTGGAGGAAGTTTAACGAATGCAATGATATATTGCTTTAAATTCGGTTGGAAAAATGGCATATGTGTTAGGCAAATGAAGGCTAACGCCCTTATTCTCCACTCACTGAGTGCGTCACTGAAATTACGCTCATATACACCAATCAATAGCTTTCCTCCATGATCATTGGCGATATTTTTTTCCAAAAATTTTACAATAAAGCAGTCATTGAGGGATAACGTACCGCCTTCGAATAGGTTTGTTATGATTAAGAAGCTCAGTTAGAGCGAGGGAGCTAAAATATATGTGGAAGAGTTTTCAAATTTGCTTTGCTAATTCTTGGATTGTAACAAACCTCCACGGAATTATGATACAATGTGACCGCCCACGACGGCTAGTTCCTTCAATTGCATTTATAAAATATTCTTTTGTATTTGACCACCAAAATGGCGGCTGTGTTGTAATGTGCTAACCACCAAATTTACGTAATAATTTGCCATCGAAAGCTTAAGTGCAGTGTGACCAACCTTCAACTAGGAAATTTTGACGATTTAGGCTGCGTTTACGCTATACCGGATTCGCTCATCACGACATCTTTTGCTTTAATGGGGTAACTGTACGGAGTAAAAGCTTATTAAGCTAATAGACTTTGTCGATTTGAATGTGTTTCTGACGTTGAACAATTTCATTTCCTTTTAATACAAATAAATTGAATATTCGAGAGTGAACATTTTTCAGTAAATTTTGTCATAGGGCATTTCTCATTCAATAATTGAAAACCAAGTAAGCAACGTTATAAAGCATGAATGTGACCGTGAAGTGGATATAGTAATCTTATGTACAATTATATTAAAAACAAAATTTTGGTGAAACTTATTTTAATGATGTAATATGTAGCCACTAATTTACTCATCCATTTCCAAATTACATTTTGACGTCGGTGGGAAACTCTGAAGTCTGGATCGCTTGAGTTGATGGCTGTTATTCAGTCTTGGAGTTAGCACTGTTTTCGATGGGGAAGGAAAGTGGATAATTTCGTTTAAGCATTATCACTTTTACATCAGTTCTTGCTATTACACTACCTATAATTTTATTTTAGAAATAAAAGATGTTTAATGTGTTTGCACAGGCGTAAACCAAGGAGATCTTTTGGAGACTTGAGAGCAGATTAGTGCAAGCCCGAGACCTAAGGTTGAGAGCTCAGAAAAACGTCTCCCCGATGCCTGCATAAGCCAGTGCAAACATGAAAAGCATCTTCATTTCTTTAATAAAATGATAATAATGCGAGACAGACAAATTTAAAACAAACTTTTTCTGTAAATGTATTTATGATTGATTTTAAAAATGTCTTGTCTTTGTTGATTGATTAATTTTTGACTGGCAGCGACTGGTATGCACAAGCTAATGCAGCACAGCTATAGATTAATCAGCGCACACGTTTTGTTGTTTTCACATTATAAATTCGGTTATACCATGAAAAATAATTTAAAATAGCTACAACCCTAAACGTTTCGTTTTTGAAAAGGAAACTTTACAATTTTTCTAAATCATATTTTTGATTATTTAAGAATGAATGATTTCGGGTACGTTCGACTATTTGTTCAACTCTTCGCCGATCACTCTTATAGCAAGTCTAAAAATTTCTTTTTTAACCTATTAAACTGATCTTTGACCAATTTCATTTTTTTTTGTTTTGTTTCCAGAAATATCAAAGAAACTAAATACATCAGTTGACCCGTGTGACGACATTTATCAGTACAGCTGTGGAGGTTTCATAGAAAATAACTTCGTTCCTGATGAATACCGGAACTCTCAACTTTGACATCTTAGTTCACAAAGTTCAGACAGGATTGCAGCTTTTCTCGATAAAGGTCATT